TGTTACACGGGTGCGTTAATACCCTGCCTTTAGAGTACGAATAATTCTTCGGCAACTTATGGTTGTCCCTGATGCTACAACTGCATTGTTGATTTGACGAACTCTACATCATGTGCGTCATCGCGAGGACGACAAAATACTTCTAGATGGACAAGGGGTATTAATCACGCAGGACAACAATAAACAACCCCGCTTGATGAATTGCCTACACTGTGAGAATCCGAAAGGCAAATGACAGGTCGTCAAGCCTTGCCCTAGCACATTGACCGCATACAACTGTTTCATTTCCCTAATCACAATAAGTTGTTAGAAGTGAGAGAATCCCCAATAGGCCCGGACTCAATATTTCGATATGATATAAGCCTGGTTCTGACGTAACTACAATAAGCAGCGACGCTGAACCAGATATATAGAAACTCTGGAATGGGCCGAGGTTGAGCGTCGATAATATTGAACACTCATAAGGGGCCAAGTACCTAAAAAGTCTTTTCTAAATGGCTTTGCCTTACCGACCTTACGGGTTAAAGAGAGGCACGGGCCGCTTCTTAAATCCGTCAGGAGTAGGTCAGTAAGCACTCTAACTTAGCCTTAGTTACTTGAAGTACGGCGGCGATACCATATACGGACAGATGATTTCCTTTCTTACTCTTTTCCAATACATAGTGATACCGGGCAAGAGATACCTGGTCATAGGATGTCCTTATCCAATAGCATCTTTGGAACTACAAAGCAATAGTCTCTATCAGAGCAGTTACTATGCTTCAAGGGGAAGCATCATAGAAGATCCCTCTATCGAGAGCCTCGTCCAGACGGTGATATCACTTTTGGTCTGGTTACACGACGACTCAAATGTCTAAGACCCCTTGCATGCAGCTGGGTAAGCCACGCGGCCTCGTAACAAAATGACTAGGGTTCTATCACAGAGGGTCAGGGTAGGTTATCTATTCAGGGCCCAGGGGTCCACGAATGTGTCCTGTCATTTATGATAGAAGCATAAGCCGTCCCCAGCACGGCTCCAGCTTTCGACACGAGATTTCTTCCCCGCGCTCATCATAATTAAAGCCTCGCAGCCGTGGGGTCCTGATGAGATCCTTCAAGGCGGTACATGTATTACCCTTTCAGGCGCCGAGCACAAGGGGAATTAGTCAGTCTCGAACACTATGATCTCAATCTAAGGACCAATTGGATATCATCGACCAGACAAGATAAGCTTTGTCTCCAGTCTTGATTTGCAGGTGGCCTATCCATCCAGAGGATCGCCCGACGACTGTTAGGGACATACTCTATCTCCTCATAGATACCTACCTACCTACCTATCTACCTATCTTACCTAGCATTTAGAGTGATCTGGCGCTTCTGCACCTCCCCAACAAACTAGCTCGTGACTGACATTTGTCGCAACTTGATTTATGCGAAGGATTCGTGGCCTAATGATCCAAGTCTATTCATCGGCGTCCCATTCTTGGATCCCCACATCAACGGCAACCAATATGTATTGACCTATAACATATCCTGGGCGTCGCCCGCAAACATGTACTCTCGCCAGGTTGTAAATGGTGTTGATCAGCTCGGCAATCTATCAGGGGGATTGATTTGTAAGCTGCTTTGTGCGGGCGAATCTTACTCGCGTGGTAGCTGGGGCAGAACGGCCTGAACGGCCAGAAAACCCTCGTTATTGTGAAGGCAAGATTTAGCGAGACGTGCGGCGCCACTGGAAGCCCAACAACTACATAGTTCATGAGCGGTGGCTAAGCCTCCTATAATTGGCGCAGATCTTTCGAAATTTGGGCAGCGATACTCAGTACTTTGATCACATCCACCACAATACTTGGGCGTATATGGACGAAGCCTTGATGTACACTTCTCTACCAAATTTCTACACCTTCTGAAGGAGTGTGATCTTGTGGTATAGGTTATCGAAAAGCGCCTCCTCAACATCCACATCAGGCCGTCCTGTAGCTTCCAGTTCAACAACAAGCAGGTTTCTCATCAATCCCCAAACCAAGAAAAGAGCACCCTGTCTATTCGCAGATGCACAGAATAACCATAGCTCGATAGCTCAGAGACGTAGACTGCCTGGCAACTAATACACGTTGAAAGCCTCTGGAGATTGGCGCAATTAAGCTAGCTCTCTTTCTCAATTCCATGCATATAAGGAAGAGAAGTTGACCGGAACACGGCAACTAACCCAGCAGTTTCACCCCTCTCTGTTGACGGCTCTACCCAATCTCGTCTTTGCCAACTCTGCAGCTTTCTGGGCATGATGCCTCTGGGTGACATGTGGACGCCTCGCTGTTCTTGGGCAGAAGGGAGAAAAAGGTCATAATGGCATGATGCTGCATTGGCGACGATCGTGGTATAATTATGAGTGTCTGCCTCATATATGCCGAGTTGATCCGAATCTCAACGTGGGTAATGATCGGAGACTACCTTTCACACAAGGTAGTCAATGGTGCTTCATCACTGGATTATATTATTATAAAGATAATATTATCTTGGCCTATTTATGTGCTTAACCTAGGTCCTTCGATATGCAAGGAACTGTCAAGATTATTTCTCATAAATGGAATTATTTATTATTTAATCATGTTACCTACCTCAAGTTAGTTAGCCATCCTATGTCGTGCCATCTCAGTATTATGAGAAATGCTTCGGAGATATTTACATACCGTCATTGTACTAGATACTTTTATCTCCCACAGAAAAGTTATAGGCTCTGTAGCAGAGACCCCCAAGTCCCTGACCCATGCTACATGTAGCTCAGATCATTAGATACGTCATCGAACGATTCATAGGCAGACAGCGTTGCGAGCTAATGCTACCGTCGGAGGGTGCTCCCGAAATGCCATGGCTATGAGACCTTCCCAGGACACCGTGTCGACTATCTATGGCGCCGTTCATTGAGAGAACCAAGTTACCCAGGTAGATAGCGTCCGTCCATATACACTCCAGGCTCGGAAAATGCCCACATGGGACGGATCTCGCCACACCGCACTTTGAGAGGACTATGCATGAATATTCAACAAGGGATCATCAGAGCTTTAGGTAGTCCACCGCCACATAGCGGATGAAAGGAGGTTCGTCCACATACAAGTAAGTTATACTAGCCATTTACAGAATCGACTAGGTTCTTGATAATAGACGACTAGGTACCATTGCGAAGTCTATCAACATATTGCGTATAGTTATAGACTATAACTAGCATGTGCCAATATAGATTGGACTGTTAGATGTCTTTTATATAAAACCAATATTTGATATAAGACTGTAGTCGCGGAAGTGCCCACCTTTTTTTCCCTCTTCCCCGGGTCAACTCCTACTATAACATACCTACCTAGGTACCTACCTACCTACTATGTATGTAGGCAGTATGCAAATCTCCACTCCCTATCTCTCTCCCTTCTCCACATCCACACGCGCGAACTCCTCGGGCTCCGTACAAGCTGGAGAAACCTAGAAGATGCATTGACTTCGAGTCTTGGCGCCTCGAGGATCTATGTATGCACTGATCGTATGTTCGTAGCGGCGCAACGCTGGGCCCCTGGCTTTTAAGCGTATGTACACACTACATGGAAGCGATAGCCAACCAAGCATGCTAGCCTCCTTGCTCGACGAGGCGGTGGCCCGATATGTAGGTACGGCTTATTAAGACTCTAGCTAGCCTAGCCTCAAGTGAGGCGGAAGAGGCTTAGTCTATCTGGTATGAGGCTCGCGCTTTGATACATAGATCCGGGTTGGACTGACTAGCCCTCATGGCAGGGGTAGGCGAATCGTTCCGACCCGCGATTGTCGCTAACTCTCATTATCCCTGTTAGGTTTTGGTTGCCTGTTTATCTATGTGTCTATGTGTCGTATTAGTTATGACTTTCTTATACTCTTTCGAATGTGTTTAGTTAGGTCTATCTATAAGCTGGCTTTACTTAACTGGCATTTCCATCTCTCTTATATGGGATAGTTAAAGAAAAAAAAGTCAATGCTTATTAGAACAACGTCAACTACCATGTTAATAATACAAGTTTAATAAGGATAAGTCGCTTATCGAAAATAGTGATTACTGTAGGCTTTATCAACTAACCATAAACGTCACATCGTCTTTTTGCTTTAATTGATTAACTAACTACTTAAAATTCTTGTTTCTCTAAAGTCAGGTAGTTATAAAATAAGGTTCACGAAAAGTATTGTCTCTATAATATCTTAATGGCATGATGCCTTTAGTTGGGTTTAATAGACCTATATTGGGTATAATATAGCTTGGTGGGGTTAAACGTAAACTCGAAAACAACCTAACAAGTAAAAGATCTTATGCAAGACTATTAGGCATATACTTATGATATCTTACAATCTTACATCTAGAGTATGCTCTATCTTGTTGGCTTATACCTATTTTAAGCGAGCATATGTCTCGAATACGTGTGTAATGAAAGAATATGGCACAACATAAAGCGAGGTACAAATCAATCACACAACCATTTAGAAAGTAAAACCTTAAGTCTTTGCAAAAGAAAATATAATTAATATAGGTAACTATACAAGCCTAATAAGGCATGAAGTAACTTAAAGCAAGTCCCATTTTCTATATTATATTATATCTCTTATTTCCGTAGGGAGGGGTTGTCGGCTTGTACCGAGATCCGGGAAAATGGTAATAGTGTGCGTGGTATGTAATATAGCACCTACAGGACTATCCTATCGGGGAATTAGTAGAGCTCATTCTCCACTATACGTACCTATTTATGTGAGACGGGCACTTACACTAGGTACTTTGGCCACCGGTGTTCTCTATAGGTAGGTAACGTACGAACTATGTGAGAGTGTTACGTGAGATATACATACCTAGGCGAACGTATGACGAGTTCCTCCTTTACACATTTCCTTCCTAAACCCTCGAACCCATGGAGCCTTAATACGACCTTCTATACCACTATAGACGCTAGGTACGTCACCTTCACCGCCATAACGGTGTCGATGTTCATGATACATAGCATATACTTGAGCTCTACTTAAGGCTGACGGCCGGGTAGGAAGGCCTTCTTTGGGTCGACCGTCAGCAACCATATGACATTGAACCCTGAACGGGGTCATCATCTGCTTCTTCTGGAAACGATTTCTAGGCAAATACGTGCAGCCCGGCTACGCTAATGCCGCTTTGCTTCCCCGCAGCGGGTAGGGCAAGCCTATTGTAGTCTACTCGTGGGGTATGCGCAGTGTCAAGTTGAAGCTCGGAAACAGGATATAAGCTGACCTGACCAGGCTTCATTTCCTCGGGGATGGGTGAGGTTACAAACAAACCCCGAGCGTAGCTGATGGCCGCAAGGCTGTATACAACTGTTTGCGAGCTGCGTCTCGCGTTACCCATGGTGCCCGTAAGCCACATACGGCATAAGATTCCGGGCAACTTGGTGTCACATAATAAGTTTTTGCTTTGCTTCTGTAATGGGAACTTAGAGTATCCCGGCTGACGGAGTCCAGAATGTCGTCTGAGTAATCGAATAATACCTAATCCTCGCGCGTATGGGGCACTTGTAAGTTATACTCCTAGCCGGAAACGAGCACGACGAGGGTTGCTACGGGCATGGCATCGTTACCAACACCATGCCGAACGGCATGAAAAATCCTACGTCGATTGCTATAGAACCGGGTTGGTTGCTCTACCACTCCTCGATAGAGTATGGGTTCGACCTCGTATTGTAAAATTCCGAGCCACATGATGGTCAAAGATGAAAAGGGCGGGAATAAGAAAAGGTGGTATGTATGCATGTGTCCTTTTTTTCTTTTCTTTTTCTTTTTCGGACCACTAGAGAAGCAAAGCGGGATCGGGCCGCGGGCCTTTGGCTGCATTTCGAAGGGTTCGAATACCACCTCCCACTCACGGGAACTTAGTAAGATGCAACCGACAGTCTGGATCCAACTCGCTAAAAAAGGCTGGCGAAGGGGTGAGAGGTCCCGAGCTCCCCTCGTCAGATCTGCATGGGATGGGGGGAGGATGAAGCGCTAACGCACGACCTCCGATGCAGGCGATAGAAAGCAATTACTGGATCGTTACTGGATCGGCCCCGGAGCAGTTCGCTGCTCCCAGCAACCAATACGATCTTCATGTCTTGCATGTCTTCGTCCCACTCCGCATGCCTATCCGGTTGCGAGAGTCGGGGTTAGGTGGAACGGTGGATGCTTGGATGATAGCTCTCTGTATGCAGTATATGCAGTAGATATTGCGTAAGCTTACCATCAGGCGGGTAACCTAACGGATTTACATTACAGGTTGTTGGGTAGTTTATTATTGATCCCAGCCTTAGGACAAGCACTTTATATCTCTATCTGATACTCTGCGCATATGCACGTGCGCCCACATTCCTACTCGAGGTATGTGCGTGTCCTTGGGACTCTATATTCCGGCGTGTTGACGTATAGGGCTGGCGCGAGCGTGGGGGATGCCGTTCCCAGGACCCAAGCATTGACATACATACCTAGTATAGGCCTAGTGGTAAGGCAGCAATGCTGCTACAACTCGGCCAATATTTCCCAGCTGCTCGGTGACCGGCGTAGGTTCTCTATTCCCATTAACAGGATTATATCTTTAGCATGGTTATATCCAGCGCCACAGGGTCATGTTTGCAGCCGAGGGAGAGGAGAAAGAGAGACAGGTCATTTCGATAACCCGAGGCTGTCACGGGACACAGCATACGGCGGGCCGAACTCCCAGCCAATATATCCCTTGGGGAATAGTAAGCGAAACGCTGCGTAACTCAGCTTTTGCTTCGTAGGTTAGTTAGGTATGCAGCTTAACTTCAATGCGGCTGTGGCCAACAACGACTAACACCGCCGCAGATCGTAAAAGTGACGACAGCGATGCCAGCGCTAGCGGCAAGGTCGGACAGATTGTCATTCCCATGCCACCACCCGAGCATCGTTTTCGTGAGTCATTATGAGTCTCATCATTATTGCCTTAGGTACACAGATCTTGTACCGAGGTGTTACGGAGACTCTCCATCCACGAATGGCGCATGTGATGTTACCGGTGTGGTGATAGGGTATCTAAAGAGCTTTTATAAAACGACGGCGGTAATGACGAGGATGATGATGATAATGATAACTTCGGCTATAGTTACAAGTTTAAAGAGACGCTCGAGGTTTCGTATAGGTAAGTAATTTAAATCTGGTGTAGGTGTTCAGGGCGCATGGTGGCTCGTTTGGTAGCTTAAGTGGACATCAATATACTAGATCAACTAGCCTTAGTTATTTACATGACCTTCAATAAAATCAATTAACTAATACCTATTCCATGAAATTTCTTTCTAAAACGTAGCTACCGGTAAAATAGCCATTTCTCTACTTAGATACTGTCAGAGGCGCCCTTGGTATATCACCACTACAGAGTGACAGGTGACTAGCTGGTGAATAGCTCATATGGTATATATTTCGGAATACTACTGACGTCTACCTCTTCCTAAATCTAAGAGGGAACCAAGGTCCCTTTATATACAACATAGTGAATGACTAGCTGGTAGATAGCTTCAAGCTAGATCTTAGACCCCTTATCACGTCATATACCTATCGTAATCCTTGTCATCTGACAGATACCGCAGTAGCCTCCGCGTGAACTTTCTAATGGTTTCTGACTTTACTACTTCTCTTAGATATGGGTATATCATAACCCCGTGACTACTATTTTAATATTGGGTAGTATCATGAGATAGTCATGTATATATAACCGTAAAGCCAACGTATAGGAGTCGAGCGGGGTATCGAGGAGTATCGTGTAGGCTCTACGTATAGACGACTGCTAGGATCTTCCGTGGCGATATACTGTTACTCTGGATCGTACTTGCGAGGCTTACCTGTAAGGATTCCAGATAAGACATCTAGAGTAAAGGACACTTGTAATACGTATAGCCGTAGACTCCCATAGTTAGCTTAGAGTTAGTTGCTCGCGGGACAACGAAGTTGTTTCCTTGCCCCTTGCTCTACATCACGATACTGCCTGGGGGTCATCCTGGGATATATTAGATAAATACCTTAGCTACCTGTTATATATGTATCGTTCCAGGGCCCCAGTCAGACCTACGGTTTTTGATATAGAAGTAGAATTGTTTTTCTATTGTTGGATCGCACTGTAATAACCGTCTAGAAAGATGCCGTGCTCGTTTAGTACAACTGACAAGAAGTTACCTAGGTAGATATGAAGCATCGTATATATATATGACCACCTTTGACTATACGCAGCTGGAAGATGAGTCTATAGCATAGAGAGGAGCTAAGCGTTATCTTGGCTCCCAGGCACTATTAAACCCAGTAGCGACCGAGTCCCAGCCCTGACATAAAAGCATCCATCTTGACTCTACGCTGAACCAGCACCACGGAAAGGCATACAAGATATTCCTGTTAAATACTTAGAAGGGAAATCTAAAGTGAACTATATTTTTGGTGGTTAGTTATTTATAGTTGGTACCTTACTTTAGAAATCTAAGTTGAATTCCTTACGGAACGACGAAGTTGTTCCATGCCTTCTCAGTCCACCTCATGATAATTCCGAATAACCAAGTCAAGCTCATCCGATGGCAACCCTTTCCGCTAGTACTAATTATAAGCAATAAAATTAAGCAAGCTTAAATCAATGACCCAGGCTGGAAAAAAAGATCAAAAATGAAAAAAATGAAACGTACAACACCGGGGATTCACTGGTCGTCACCGACCCAATTACTAATCCGGCGGTATCCAGTTTATCTAGGGGAGAGCGGACGGGATCCCGAGTTTTCTAGATCCTATGGTCGTACGTGAGGGAAGGGGGCTGTTGTTGTGGTATATATCGTGTCCTAGCTATAGGTAGAGATACTGTGGAGTTGAGCTGGAGTGTTCCCTTGATTTATCTGACTTATGGCTTATGCTAGGTAGCTTGTAAAATATAACTCTTTGAATATAATATCACGAGAAAAATTGGGGTTGAAGGTGCTATCTAGAATTCTAGGCGAAAATATTGTCAAAGGCACTGTCGCCGTCACTCTTATAGCTTAGGTACTTGATAGATAGGGCCTTATGTGAGCGATTCACTCCGAGTCTAGATAGACAACTAGGTAGGCAGTATTTCAAAAAAGAACATACGAGTTGAATCCCTAGTGACTATTCTATATATTTTATAGTTAAGGCGTAGGGAGTTTTGGCTGGTTTCGTCTAGTACGTAGACGTGTGATTTCGATGATAATACCGTCCGCATCTTATGTCTCTTGGTATCTCGCTGTCATTGATAAATTTATAGTTTAAACGAATAGATCTACGAAAGATCGAGTCCCAAGGTATCAAAGAGCCCGCGCCAGAGAAGATTCGAGACAACTTCATAGGAAGGGGAGTCTCATCCTGTCGAGACAATATTTGGAGCCACATGATCATCAAGCACGATGCACTCAGAACCTTATAAAGGACCATTAGCATAGCCAGAGGGATTAATTTCGGGGTGCAACATTTCCACATAGGACTAGATCTTCTCCAAGGGGCATGTATGTTATGTTTGAAAGCCGAGCTACAGGGCTCGGGGTACCGTCGTGATTAACACTTCGAGGTGGAGAAACAACGACGCTCCCCTGACCGAGCCAGGTGGGCGCGATGGTTATTATGACCGAGTCAATTAGCTGTGAATTTTCCTGAGAAAGGAGTGAGTTGATCACCTCGCCGCCGCCTTCGATCATGATGCTCTGTAGCCCCTCGTTCCGCACGGCTGCTAAGATGGCACGCCAATCGAAACGACGATTGTTCGGACCCACGTCAGAGTCAGATACAGCGTTTTGAGGCTGAGTTAGAATGATGAACTTCCCGCCATGGTCTTGCAATAATTTCTTCTTATCTTCTGGGGGGTTAGGTATAGCTGTTATGATGTATGGAGCCAAGCCTTTGCCTGCCCGAGCTAGCTTCATGACTTTGCTCGAAGAAGTGAAATCCCAACGTAATCTTGGGTCGATAACTATGGGCCGAGGCTGACGCGCAGTCACGGCGCTGTTAGTTTCATCGATTACGGATTGCTTGGTTGAGATGGAGGCGAGCCCTAAGAGAGCGCCGACGCCAGCTGTGTCACCGGTCGGTGAAGTCTCCAAGGGCGGAGCATCAGCCGCGAGACGACAGTTCAGCCCTGGGTCGTCGGCTATAGCTGTCCCGACCCCAACACAGATGGCATCGTGGCGACTACGAAGATGATGGGTCATAGCTTTGGATTTTGGCCCCGAAAGGGCCGTTCTGATACCCGGCCCGAGGGACAAGGCAGAATCAAGTGAAGTGGCAAATGTTAGTGTGACGAAGGGTAGCTTAGACGAGGAAGATGCGTCCTCCTCTCGAGAGGATTTTGGGAGTAAGGGTGGAAGATGAGGTTCTAGTCGCATTGCCGCGATTGACGGCAATACTAAGGAAAGTTCAGCCATTGAAAGGCTTTTTCGTGGTAGTGATCAACTCGGCTGATTGGAAGGTAGTTGTATTATTGAAATGCCTTCATATAAGTACCTAATGGTTGTTGTAAACTAATGAGTGAGTTGTTATGGCCTGTTAAGAAAGAAGGATGATGATATGAAGTTGGCCGATAACTTAGTGGCATTCGGGTTATAATGATTATTCGGATAGTAGCAAATAAATATATTTTCCCTTAGTGTATGCATAACAGGGATATATGTATTGTGGCTCTTGATCAACAAGCGATTAAAATTAACTTGAGACGTTCCTGTGCATTTATCTCTCTGCTCATCATGATCTCTCTGGAATAAGGCCTTTAATAACCTCTTATTTATTCAGGGGCCATAGTTATTAACTATTGATGATTGAGATTTGTTAATATTGGTAAGAGTGATAAGATAAGCCGTTCAACTCTTATCGACTTCGCTATGTATTCCGATTTGCCGTAGTTATTCAATTTTCTATTTTCATCTTATTGACCAATTTATCGAATTGAATGATGCGGCAAACGGCAAACGTTGAGCTTACCTACGTCTAGGTACTTAGGTACATACATAGTCACGGCTCTTTACATTGTACGTACACTATTACGTAGTATCTGCTTAAGTAATTTATGAGACTGCACGTACCCAAGAGCCGTGACGTAGTTCGTTTGAGCTGCAATTCTTAAAACATCTCACGACGGAGGTAACCGAGTCTGTCCACCTCTTCTACTTCTTCCTGCTGTACCTAGTAATACTCATAATTTCTTTTTATTTCCTTCTGTAATCCGAACCTCTTCCAATTTCCAAATAATTATCTACCTACCTAACTTACCTGCCAAGATCACGCCTTTATTCCGCCAAGTCGCCAAGTAGTGATAGTACATCAGCCATTCAACTTCGCTCCATCCGCGCGTCCCCCTGACGCTCCGCCACATCTCCAAGCCAACCCTTTTGTTCGCCCAAGGCTCGGCGCCAACAAATACAACAGCCGACGTTCCGAGCGCTCGCTCTATTATTTGTACCACGCAAAAAGATCTCTCGACCCCGAAACCTTCCATCTTCATACACATACACGCTTCCGCCCTCGGTGCTCACCTTATCAAGTCGATTCATCAGAACGATCGATCATACATACATACATACGGATCGAGGCGCAAATATCTAGATCTATCTATACGATCTGATCCGATCCGAGCTTCACCTTGAAGAGTCCCACCTCACCACTCAACACCGCATTCCATCATCATCATCCATCATGGCCGAACACAAACCCGATTACCCCCCGGCCTACGGGCCCCCTCCGCAAGCACCCCAAGCCGCATACCAGCAAGAACCCTACGGCGCTCCCCAGCAGCCCTACTACCAGCAGCAGCCGGGCATGAACTACGGCCAACCACCCCCCCAGGGCGGCTACCCGGCCGGCCCGTACCCCCCTCAGCAGCAGGGATACTACCCGCAGCCGGGCTACGCGCCTCAGGGCCAATACCAGAACCAGCCGCAGCAGAGCAGCTCCAAAGACGGTTGCCTGGGCGCGCTACTCGGTGCGCTCGCCTGCTGTTGCTGTCTGGATTGTCTGTTTTAAGGGAGCGGAGGGATGTGCAGTAAAGTAAAGGTGTTTCCGAGTTTTACGTTTTTGTCTTGGGCAGGTCGAGATGCTGTTAAGGGAAAAGGGGGCTAAATGATTACCAAGGTAGTCGATGGAGGGAAACGAGGACCTGATGAGAACTGAAGGGGAGGTAATACTACTATCTAGCGGTTCGAGCGTACCACCTCGCCGCATCCACCTGACCGAACAACGGGCCAGGAGGGGGGAGGGGATGATACGATACGCATCAGAAGGGAGCATGGCGTTTTTGGTCCTACGGAATTGGTTCTTTTGTAATTATACAGCGTTATACTCCTTGTGAGCAGTCCACGACGGTGATCGCGTCAAGTCAATTCCATATATTCGCTACTGCTACATTCACTATCATGTCCGTGTCTTTATATAATGCAGTAAAACGAGACTCTAACTTCTATACAACTTCTATGCGGTTACGCCGTTTGCGTGCTCGTTCGCGTAACTATTCGTCTGGCCATTTGCATGGCCATTAGTCTCACCTGTAAGCGCAGCGTACAACTCGTCGAACCTCTCATCGGTGTCCTTCACGCAGTCGTACGAATAGATCATATGCTGAACCTCGGGACTGGCCCACTTGTCCGGAATGGGTGTTCCCTTCTTCATGCCCATGGCGAACTGTCTATCCCTCTCCTCCTTCGCCTTACCCTCGCCTAGGTGTAGCGATCGTGCGGATGACGCGGCTAGGTCGACTAGTATCGTCGTTCGGTCCTTCCTCAGTAGCTCATAGACTTTGAGCGCCTTGGAGAGAGCTTCCCTGTCTGAACCGCCTCCTGGTGCGCGGCTTACCACTTCTGCCAGCACGGCGCCGTCCTCGATGGCCATGGCAGCGCCCTGGCTAAGGTGGGGTAGCGTGGGATGGCAGGCGTCACCAACCAGAGCAACAGCACCAAGGATCCAGGTATCAAGGGCACTATGTGAACGTAACCTCCACTCACACACCTCACCTTCGGGCACCATGTTTAGCATCTTTTGCACGATGGGGTGGAAATCCGCGTATACATCTAGCATGGCAGACTTGCTACCTCGCGTCGTATACGTGATACTCGGGGCTTCGGCAAAGTTGACATCAGGTTGGCACGTTGATAAGTTGTAGATGGTCTTGTTGCTAATAGGGTATGCCACGATGTGTCGCTTCTCACCTATCCATCGCAGCGCGACGTCGGCGTCTAAGAGCTCCAGAAGCTCCGGGTCATGTTCCATCTGGGACCGCGTGAGCATAATCCGGTATGCGGCCTGTCCCGTGTCTTCGACATCGCCACTAAGATTTAGAGTGCGGAGCAGAGCGGACCGCACGGTGGATTTGATGCCGTCGGCACCAAGTAGGATATCGGTCTCCACCTCGTACGGGTCGCCGTTACGTGGCTGTACCTTGAACACCGTCTTGTCCGGACCGAATGATGTTATATCGGCAAGCGACGTCGAAAAATGGAACTTGATGCTTGGCTCTTTTTTGCATCCCTCATACAGGCCACCAGCTAGCGACGCGCGATGTCCCGTGCAGTGAGGGTATCCATACTTCTCGGCAATGTCGGGCATTTCGACGTGTACAAGTTCACGGTTCGAAGAGCCCTCGCGGATGCTTGAGCCTTTGATGTTAGTAGCCTCAGCAAAGATCTCGTCCCAGCAGCCCCAGCGGTCTAACACCCGAGCCATGTTCGGGGCCAGCTGGATCCCGGCTCCGACGAATCCCAGATTCGAAGCCGTCTCATATACGTCGACATGCTTGAACCCCTTCTTGGCGAAGGCAAGGGCGCAGGCGAGACCGCCCATACCTAAAGATGAAGCAGCATCAGTCGCTATACTTCTTACTTTTTTTTTTCCCCCCCTTTAAATCGGATTTCTGAACTAGATAACTCACCCGCGCCGATGACGGATATTCGCAAGTCCCTGTAATCGGACATATTGGCAATTCAGACTAAGAATTAAGTATAACTATGCGAAACTGTGTTGTGGTGTAACGTAAAGAAGTCTGTCGTTTACTGAAGCAGAGAATAGGTATTTGAAATATTATTTGAAATATAGCAGTAGGTGAGGACACGATAGACGTAACACGACACGTAACCTCTCCCTAATGAAGAGCGGCTCCTAGGGAGGGCGACAATCAATAGCGAGCCGGACATTCTGCCGTCTTTCTTTGGATAGTTATCCCGAGGGTTGTGAAGGAATCAGGCAAGTCTATACATAGAAGTGGAATCCATAACCCTTAAACAAGGGTGGAGACGTTACTCATTGCCGGCTAATGAGGGGTTGTCCTGTATGGCGATAGTGTATGTCGGCATTAGGCTGGTGTTGTAGTGGGTAGTAGGAGAATCATTTCGCCTTTCGTCCATTTTTCGTCCATGATATATATCCTATCAGGTAGCTCGTAGTGGTCGCCGATCCTTTTTCTCCCTCTGCATGTCATACTTTAGTTGAGACATCGTCTTCGATCTTGCATGTAGTGTATTACGTATACACGCGCAACTGATATCTATAGTACGGGTCCGTATTGTTCGTCAGATACTAGAGGATCCAGACACTCGGAACTTGGGTCTAAGAAGGATGCTGTTCCAATCTCTAATCTGTAGGTACTTGGCAGCTTGGATAATTGGAGAGAATTGCATAACATTTTCACGTGATTGATTTGATAATTATGGCGACATTTACATGTCTAATTTCGGCAAGTGGGGTATGAATCGAACCAAGCAGAAAGACGGGATACATCTAAGATTAAAGATTACGAGTACTTTCAGTTACATACCTACTTAAACGGCTATCGATAAGAGCTTAGAATGCCCATGCTGCCATGTATTAACGATAATCCCTATGCTTAACTGAGAGTCTGAGCCCATCCGTTTGGCGATGCATAAAGCACCAAAAACCCAAGATGTCTCAACGTCTCAGTTGCCTTTTCCATCTTCAACTTTAAATGTGTATTCGTCTCTACTCTGCGAGGTGATAATATGGCCTCTTCTAAATTTAACGCGCTACCGGCGCTGAGAAAGCAGCACCTCTTGGTCGAGTTGTACGCGACGCGTTCTTATATACACCTCTACTATACACCTCTGCTATACACCTCTGCTATCCGCCGAACGCAAAGCTGACTGACCATTAATTTATAGCGCTGGACTTAAACAGACCTACCCCGAAGGCGTCTTTGTAAGCCTCACTCCTGGCGACCCTAACCTTTGGTCCGGAGTACTTTTCGTTCGGGATGGTGAGCATTTCGGATACTCGCATAATCGTCGCAGCGCTCAGGGGTTTCTAATCGATGGGTAAAAAGGTCCTTATGCTCCCGCCGTGCTACGATTCCAGATCTCCTTTCCCGACTTATATCCTAAACTACCACCGCTAGTTACCTTCTCGACCGATATGTTTCACCCCTTAATTACACCTCTAAGCACATACATGTATTCGACCGACGTCCACGATAATGGCACCGTGAGCGCAACCGATGCCGAGCGGTTACCGCCCGGAGGATTTAGCTTGAGGCATGGATTTCCCGGCTGGTTTAGGCGCTCGAGCCGGGGCCAAAATACTGGTGGTAGCGGTAGGCAGTCTAGCGGGCAACAGGAAGAACAGCATACGCCACATCGACCACCTCCCCCGTCGATGAGTAGTGCAGGCACGCCCGGTTCCAAGGGATCTGCTGTTGGTACATCACCTGGGTTTGCCGAGACGAAAAGAAAGGAAACGTCTGCTTACGAGGTCCTTCGATATATACGTAGCACCTTCAGCGACGAAGACGTGTTAGACTCTATCCCTCTCGAAGCTGCCGGAAATCCCGGTGCCTGGTATGCTTGGAGGACATATCGCATTGACAATGGGAAGGAATTTCCCGATACAGCTGACGGTACTGACCCGACAGAAGCCAATCCTATATCTAAAGAGACTCCTGATTCTCCAAGAAGACCAGGGGATTGGAATTGGGAAGGTGTATGGGAAGAAAGGGTAAAGAAAGCTGTGACTGCAAGTCTGTCCGAACCCGTATTATTTGGTGGAGTGGGTGCTGCCGACGATGTTGTGAGTTTGACCCCTATTTTCTCTTCACCTTGAATATCTAAAGAGGTAAGCATGCGCAGCTACTAATGTCTAGCTACTCAGATTCGCTTTCTCAATATGGAGGATAGTGACGTGGATGCCATAAAAGATGATCTCCTACGAACCTTGAGTCACGACTCCTAATTCGGACTTGCCTATAACTTGCCTATATATATTTAGTGGAAGGCGCATTTATATTGTGCTCTCGCGAGGACGGTTTTTCTAGTTTCTAGTTCTTGATACCCAGCACGATATACAGTCCGATTTTTTATTTTTCACCTCCCAGCACCAATCCTCCGACATATGAGGTATCTGGTATTCTTTTCGTAACCCTACTAGTCAGTTGCTTTTACAATCTAATTTCGAATTCAATATCCATTTTGCGACTGAGAACGACTAGAGCATTGGCTATGTCCGATCAACTTCATCCCGGTATAATCTGTGCCATTGCTCTAATTCCGACCTTTCTGGTTGTGATTGTTGCTTTAACGATTTTAAAGGGGTTTAATCTTATATCGCATCTCTGCAACTGCCGATCGAAGTCACGAAGCGAACAGCTGGTACCAACGCTCCCTACCAGCATTATAAACAATACGGGAGGAAGTTGTACGACTATTAAGAGCAGTTTTATCGGCCAGATTGGAAACGAGTCGCTTGGGTCTATTGCTCGGCCGCTGCCTGTTCACCATGCAAGATAGCCCGTCGTCAGGCATGGATATCCCATCGCCGCTACATATAATAAAGAGAGGAAAGTCGATGCAGGTCCTCCGCTGCACTCCCAGGAAGATCAGCAACGAAAGTGTTGGTGATGGTCCTAATCAGCCATTAACCGTTGTAAAAAATCGAAAACATCAGAGTAGATCCATTATAAGGAAAACTTCTACTCGTGTTGAGGAATCAGTCCTCGGCCGAAGGGCGTCAAGCTTGCAAACTGGACGACCGACATCTCCTACCTTTCTCTCGAGGCTACGTTCGTTATCCACTCGCAAGGCCCTATCTTCAAAAGCCGCCTACTATCAGTGTAATCCTCAGGCTTGTAGCAACTCCCCAGATGAGTCGATACTCAAGTCTTCTAATGGATGCGCAACGACTAGTTCATGGGATCGGTCGTCGAGTTCTGACTATTCAATACCTCTTACACATCCTAATGAATCCGAGATAAACAGATTCGATAGTTGCTCTTTCACAAGTGCCCAGGGACCAGATGGCATCATCCCCGATCCCTACATACTCGTCCCGCACGTCTCTATTATACCGGAGTCGAAGTCACTAGAAGACAGACAATCGAATATCTGGGCAGCTATTGAGATATCGGGTCGGCTATTTCATCCCCGGGCCTCTAACTCAATTTATGACGCCGACCAGGTTCCTTTCATACCTGTTCACCATTACGATATCAGTTTATCAAGATATGGCTATCTATATAACATAAGGATAGACATTTTACCAGCTGCAGAAGGCAGCGTCGTCGATGTTATAGGCGATACTACGATAAGGTATGTTCCTCTAGCACGCCTTAGGGTATCCGCGCTCATCTGAGCGAGCAGGACAATAAGCCCTGGCTCTAGTCTCCTCCTATTAGCTTGTATCCAGCTGGGGACTTCAAAATCCGGCAAATCAAGAGCATCCAGGGATGATCCTGATAGTCTTATTGCCGATCTCGAAAACCAACTAGGGAGTGCCCAGACTGAATACCTGCAAGTCAGGGTTCATTATTGTCATTCAGGATTTCCTGCGTTTGGAGTCAATATTACTGAAGGCGATGCTAAAGGCGATGTTTCGACGTATCAAACTCGATTAGAAACGGTAGCGACAGGGACCATAAAGCAGTATGCTTCAATGTCTGCGTGGTCTCCTCGACCGATTTCCACGGCCAATTCTTTATTTCCTATTATTGCTTCTCACTGGGGGCCAGTTCGCGCCAACGAAGTCATGCAACGAATCATATCCAATCGTCTGAGCTCCTGTAGGGCAGCTAGATGGATGGGAATGGGACAACTTGATAGAACGGAAGATATCCTCCAAGTGCCAACCCGGTCAGGAACTGCCCCTCCCGTTCCCCAGCGGCAGGCTAGTCTCAAGCGGTTGTCCCCGGACGTAATCTCCGACCCGGCCCGGAAAATATGGACAGAACTGCGCCAGACTTCCTCGGGCAACCGCCCAGCCTTCCACGTGAGAAAAGCCAACCGACTCCCCGCCGCTACGACTTTTGTGGAGGCGCCTAACTCCAACGCAACCATACCTCAGGGGTCGGCGCGGCCCAAGTCCAGGTCCGAGGTTCAGCGGCAGCGCGAGATGATACGGGAGACCGCAGTGCGCAATAGAAGGTCTATAGGTGCCGATAGTCTAAAAAGCTTGGTGCCGTCGGTGATGGATACAGATCCGGGAAGTAGGGACGATAGGAGTCTGAGTTCCCCAAGCCCACCTGATAAGCAAGAGGTGCAGTGTGACAAACGCAAACGAGAGGGGCGTTGGAGTTTAGTGGGATGGTGGTAAATACTTTAATTGGAAAGTGAATGGTATTAGACGTAACTATAGAATTCCGTTAGTTAGTTAATAGGGGAACTGGTGAAACTTTTTAGATAGTCTAGTTAGACAGGGCTTCATGCTCTGTAGAATTCGAAGTGACTGCTTCCTACTTGGTTTCATCTCTCTTGAGTAATCATTGAATATATCGTCTAACAAGTCTTTTCATAACTCGTCACGCCAAGGTATCGAGTCCTGCGCTCCCAGTCTTTCCACCGTCTTCGCAGCCGCGCGATTCGACTTCTTCACCGCGTCGGCTATACTGAAGCTCCCGGCCACCACTTCGAGCGCATACCGCCCCACAAACGTATCCCCAGCCGCAGTAGTATCTACGACTTTGGCCTTCTCGGCGGGTACGAGTCCCTTCTGACCGTCAGCACTCATGTAAAACACACCCCGCCCACCGAGCGTCACGACGACGTTCAGCACGCCGCGCGATAGGAACGTCCGTCCGACGGCCTCGAGCCCCGCCTCGGTGTCGAGGTCGGACTCAGGCACGCCGCCTAAAATCGAGGCTTCGGTCTCGTTAACAACGAGATGCGCGAGCCCCGCGTACGCTTCCGACGGCAACTCCTGCGCCGGCGCGGGGTTCAGCAGGACCGGCACGTTGGCGTTCCTCGCGGCGTGCAGCGCGGCGACGACCGTCGCAAGCGGGATCTCAAGCTGCATGATTAGCAAGTCCGGGAGCGGGGGGCCGAGGGAGTCGGGGTGGGAGAACTGCGAGGGAGTTAAACTGTGGTTGGCCTCGGGACTCAGGACGATGCGGTTCTGGCCGGTGGGCTCGTCGACGATGATGATGGCCAGGCCGGACTTGAGAGATGGGGAGGCGGTGACGCCGGAGACGTCGACGCCGTGCCGCGTGAGGTTCGAGAGGAGCTGGGTGCCGTACGTATCCTTGCCGACGGCGCCGAGCATGCGGACGCGGGCGGTGGCGGTCGGGTCGTCGGCGGCGGCGGGGGAGTGGGACGAGGACCGGGAGAGCTTGGCGCAGGCTACGGCTTGGTTGGCGCCTTTGCCGCCGGGGGATACGGCGAAGCGGGTTGACGTTAGGGTCTCGCCGGGAAGGGGGTGGTGCGGGACGTAGGAGACTAGGTCCATGTTGAGCGAGCCCAGGACCGTGATGAGTGGGATTTGTTGTGCATTGTTGCTTGTATTGGTTGCCATTTTGCGGGCGGAATATATATCACTGCGAACAGACTTTTATATGTGTATAGTTACCTAGGTTAGGTAGGTATATGTTCGATATGCCCTTCTCGACAATGTGATGTAACTATTCGAATTATGTATTTACATTGTATTTCATAAATCGTAATGTACCAGCAGCTCAGCAGCTCAGCAGCTCAACGTCAGAATAGCGGAGCCAGTTAAGCCCCGCAGCGACTAGTCAGGGGAGTTTACATGTAGGTATTCTTGTATGTAAGTCAGTTCATGAATATACCTAATGCGCCGGAAATTACTGTTGTATAATCAAGGGGTTCAGCTGAAGTAAGGATTATTTATATTGATTCTCATCTTGGATATTGAGATTTGATAAGAAACCATAAGTAAATTATAGGTTCAAGATATCTCCTCAAGGAATGTAGTATATCGATACTTAGATACATAGGTACCTTGAGGCAGTCTATTAGTATCAACCAATAGTATACCCTTGCTCTCCCACATGCGGTCAAAGTCGAATATGATTAACCCCACCATTAACACCATTAACACACCATCGTTAGCCATTGCTACCCCACCTAAATATTTTAGATCCTACATCATACACCTATGTAAAGCTTCTTAGCTTCTGAGCTTCCTGGCTTCGTGATATTCTTCCTTGCTCAACTAAAACTTATCTAAATATTGTAGAAACCCCAAGGCCAGCATCATGACAGACCTCAACCTACAAGAGATCCACGACACGCTAATATCGGTGGCCCACGAGGCCGGCCGTATGATCTTGTCTGCGAACCCTCAAGATATAGATACGGGAACCAAGTTGAATTGTATGCTTTATTTCCGTCATTACTTTTAAAGTCTAGTTAACTCTAAAGACAATTGTCATAATAATATATTCATCTTACACTAACGATGCAGCATAGCTGCCGACATAGTCACCGAAACCGACAAAGCTGTTGAGGCCCTCGTCTCGTCGCGACTCTCCAAGGCTTACCCCACCTTCGCCTTCATCGGCGAGGAGACGTATAAGCCAGGAATGCAAGTAACCACAGCCCCGACTTTCATCGTAGACCCTATCGATGGCACCCTCAACTTCGTACACAATTTCCCCGAGGCCTGCATCTCGCTAGGCTTCGCAGTCGACCGGATTCCCACCGTCGGAATCGTGTATAACCCCTACCAAGATAAGCTATACTCCGCAATCCGCGGACAGGGTGCGTATTTAACGCAAGGCGCCGTCTGGGGGCTCGAGGGTGGCAAAGGGCGCAAAGCCAAGTTGCCGCTGTCCAAAAACCCCCCGCCTCTAAAGGAGTTGTATACGTGCATGTTAGCAACCGAATGGGGAAATAGCCGAGATGGCGTTAATTTCGAGGTCAAGACGGAAGTCTTTAAAAAGCTATGCGCAAGCAAGGAGACAGGAGGTGCCATGGTGCAATCTATAAGAAGCATGGGCAGCGCTGCATTAAACCTGTGCGCTGTAGCCGCGGGTCAGCTTGATGCGTACTGGGAAGGCGGTTGCTGGGCGTGGGACGTCTGCGCCGGCTGGGCGATACTTGCGGAAGCCGGAGGTATCATGGTCAGCGGCAACCCGGGAGATTGGGAGCCCAAGATCGATGAGCGCAAGTACTTTGCGGTGCGCGGTGCGCCCAGCGGGCAAAAGGAGCTTGTGGAGGAGTTTTGGAACGTGGTCGGCGACAGGAGGATGGAGTACGAGAGTTAGATTAGGAGGTATGCGAGATTTAAGGCGACCTAATCTAGGGCTACGAACTGACGATGGCGATGAATATTATTGGAGCGGCATATCATTCCAAGAACGTGGCTCATCCGGATTAGACAAAGGAGTAGAGGCGAGGGATACATAATCGACCAACTAATAGACCACACATTAGGGTTACCCATTCCAGGCCCCCCTCCCTAGAAACCCGGTTGGAATGTTAAACTCTTTGAAAGATGTTTCCGAAGAGTATGATTTATTTAACATGGCCCGAAATGTTTAGCCTTCTTCCTATTAAATGATCAGTACGGTTGGCTGTTGGCTGTTGAGTAATTGAGAAGACAACAATGGCACTGCAGAGAACCAGAGCTCGACACGGCCGCATTACGACGCAACCCGGCTCAAATCCGAAGAGATGGAATATAGAGGAACTTCGGAAATGCGGTGCTATAGGTATTTAGGACTTGTTTCTTCCACGTCGTCCCATCTTGTTGAAAAAGAGACAGCGTATGGTTAACAAACTAAGTTAGGGACCACAGAGCTGCGACGTCTCAATCTGCGAGGCAAAATCCATCCGGTATTTTTGAATTGGAAAGATGCCAATCAAGAACTGCGTAGAGAATTGAAGCAGCCGCTCCTCCTTGCGAGTCGACTCCTAGAGGCCGCAGGACTGCCCTGGGCCTCTGATTTCCTCGCCCACGACGTCTTCGTAAAAGGCTACCCCGGCCGGAAACCAAGCTGTCGCTGCAGCTTCACACATTCTACCGCTGCTCGCGTAGATGATAATGAGGCGGCGCCACGGACTATCGTGAGACACCACCGTGCTCCATGGGCCTCGTCGCAGCTTAAAAGCAGATGGACACGTGACGCGGAGAGCAAGCTTAAGGGCGAGATGTCGAATTCCTTAAGGTGGGAACTAGACGAAGATATGTTCCGTGAGCGTGGATGGGCCGGGTACACTTGTCGACATCCACGAAACGGACAGGCGTTGGATGAGCTTGATAAGTACGAGACTATACGGCGGTGGGATAAGAAATGCGAGAACCGACGGCACCGAAACTTGTCGATTCTAGTCACGGCGGAGTTCCCCAAGCGTTTGGCACAGTTGAGATGCGAGGGGAAGGAACAGAGCGAAGAATATCTCTTAACAGCCTTCATGACGGCCGTTACGCTCTTACATGAGTAAGTCTCCAATCCTTGGCCCCATTACGTTTAAAAATGAATTTTGATATTGATAGTCTTCCTGCTTTCCAGACTCGGCCATGCCATTTACTGGAAGGACTGCCGGGCTCTCACGCGGGATCTGCCCGAGCCCTTTTACGGCGCCGACCTTGAGATGGAACTAGGAGATAGCTTCGTCGCGTCTATCTTTGGCGGTTGGATACCGGTGCAGATTATACACCCAGGTACCCGGTTAAAAGAGGGCTTGGACTTCTCGGCCGGCATCGCTTGGAAACAGGTGCTTAGTTGGGACTTCCACCGTTTGCGACCGAAACACCGCGCTCACTACTCGATACCCGTCGACTAGTAAGCCCCCCCTCTCTCTCTCCCATAAAGCACTCTTTCTACCTAATAACAAAAGAAAATACTCAACCGTCTTACAGCGTATCTCGCCTATTCTCCGAGGAAGACTGGCTGGCATCGCGCAAGGATCTTCGAAGGGCCTTGATCCGACCACAGGCGCTAGAGCCGGCTCTCGAGGGCGTCGGCGTATGCCCGGAAGTCGCCGCAGGGGGCAAGCACGCGACGGCTACGATCGCGGACTTCCACTTCACCGGGCAAGGCTGGGTGTGGAACCGGCGAACCGGGGCACGGTTCCGCATCCCGCAGTACGACGGCTACCTATGTCCAGACCTCGACCTCCCCATCGCCACCGACGACGTAATCGAGGAACCAAAACCACGGCCCCAGCTTAAACCATCCCCTATGCCGCCCATGCTTCCTCTTCCTCCCCCACCACCAACAATGATAACGCCAAACAAGAGCATCATCCCCTCTAGCTCTCCTACTATCCAGTTCAAGTTGGATATGTTCCCGCAGCCCCCGCGGAAGCCCGCTCCTACAGCCAGAAAAAAGCCAGATTTAGTGCGCGAACACGGCGATAGGCAGACGAAGAAGCCAACACCTAATGGACCCGTAAGAGTTGCCGAGGAGAAGCACTTGTTGAGCCCGGATACGTCTGAGATCTCGCTAGATGATCTGCGGAACCGACTATCGCAGCTCCTAGGAGTCTCATTCGACGAGCTTGAGAGGTTCTTTGAGGCTTCGTAGTGTGTAGGTATGTATGAGAGCTGTGCTGGTGGTTATGATGGAGAGGGTGGGTGGATTGGGGATGTGAATAATGATAATACATACCTAGGAGAGAACTCGTAATAAGTAGGTAAGTAATATGGAGGGAGACGCCCCCTTATTACCTATTTGAATGGCATCGGAGGGACCGCTGGATATGACGGTTATTGGTGTAAAATGTTGCATACATATATTTAGACTAAATTGGGAGTAGAACCATATAGTAGAGGCCTTGCGGCATAGAGTTAATAGTAAAGTCGGGACTTCCAGGAAAATATAACTAGGTGCATTCTACCGCCTGAGGTTTATATGGCAACGCCCGGTCTATAGAATAATTAATGTCCTCGTCGGCTACGTTATGTATGTAAATATGGATGGTAGGTACGCATATTAACAGTAGACTTGGATATATACAGTAGGTATACAGGTATAGTTTCTATGTATTGTACAACGTCTCATAAGATCCCCCACGAGGCGAGCCATTAAAATTGATACCTAGCCAAGAACCGTTCAACTTGCACGAGCACCTAACAAAACGTTAGGTATTGCAGGCACTTGATATACATAGTTGCAATTATATTCCCGGAATACTTATCCCGCCCCAGTAGGTAAATATAATTGATTACCTACTGTCTCCTCGGATACTGGCGCTTGGCAAGGGCCTCGATGTACATAGCATCATACAGAGACCCAGCATACATACCTAGTCTTGTACCCCAGACTTCTCGCCAGTTTGTTTATATGTACCTAGGTAGGTAGCATATATGAGACATGGAGAACATACATGCGGCTGAGCTGGTGCCGTAATGAATCAGGCTTCGTTTACGAATCTACAAAAAGAAATTGGAGTATACGGAAGGGCGCCTGGTATACCGATCTAGCGAAGGGTAGAACAAGTTACCTAATGGTGCCGTTGCGGGCTTAGTATACTATACTATCGATCACCACCTTGTATTTCTTCATTAGGCGCTACAGATACTCGCTTGAACACCTAAAGGCATGGGTGACTGGATTATTATATGCATGAACTTGGGCAAGTCACAGTCCGTCCGGGGATGAGTCCCGCGGGGTTACGTACCTAACTTACATATAGGAATAATACCTCAAGCCTGCAGCAAGAAAAGTCATCGAGATACGGTTGCTAAATCCGACGTGACCAGTTAGGATAGCGCAAGGGTGTGTCGTATACGCTTCCCAAGGTATTCTACATACCTTCCCGAAGATCAAGCATATAGATAGCTTGTCGCGCTAACGGCTCGCAGGTGCTTGCTTAACAATAATCTCGCATCGCACAAATCTCGGAAAAGAGAGGGAGGGGAGCTTAAAAGCAACCCTATAGTATAAGATGACCCTTTTAATCTCGATGCGTTGACGAATCTGTGACGCCATCTGTGAAAGGTAGCTCCAATACCACGACAGCGTCCCTAAGTCGTGACGCCTACTACCTTCAGGGACTTGGGGGTCCACGACAGGGCTGAAGGGTTATATAGTGATACAAGAAGGGTTCTCGTCATTTTCGTCTTTCTGACCCATCAATCAACATCCGACGAGTCACAGAGTACGATATTGCACCAATGCAAAGAGTATGTAGGCTGGGAGTAGCGGCCCGGAACGGCCATTGACGTTCGCAGGAGGGCTATCTAGCCGCATGGCAAGCAACTCATGCAATAGTGTTATGGGTCTTGCAGGAAGGGGGCGCTGCATCGCATTGCATGGTGACTACCTAGGCCAAGGATGCATATTTTGCGAGAAACCTTGCGTACCTAAGGTATGTATGCCGGTGCGTATTATGTAAATAGTGTATAGCAGGCATAGCAGTTTGTTTGTGATATGTGGATAAGGATACGACTGGTAATGCGGGACTTGGGGTCGAGTCCTGGGGTCAAGTCTCAAGTCCTGGGTAGTAGTTCATTACCCAACCGCCTCTGCTGTTCTATGTCCAGTTAAAAGATGATGCTCGTACGAATCCATAGAGGTATAAATTGTACGATATTGAACATCGTCCTCGTTCTAGATCGAATGGGCGTTGCTTTTGGAAAAAAAGACTTAGTTAAAAAGTTAAGCGAAAACTGGAGAAGTAGATTTGGTTGATCAAGTGACAGAAGCTCCAAGTCCTAGCTCCAAGTTAGCCGCTGGGAATTTCCGGTCTCGGGCGTAGCGTATTTAAACCGAGATCCATTTAGAACACGATATCGGCTTGCGCTAGTTAACGTGCGTACGAAGTAGTGTATTTCGATAATGCTTAACCTGTGAACCGTAGAGATGGATTATATGTGTCATGCATTTGTAGCCGCCGCGCAATTGTATATAACTACCTATTCGTTGGCGCTTCGATGTGTTATAGGCATGTTCGTAATGAGATGAAGATCTTAGGTTTGAAAAATTCGATGGGCTTCCTGATGACCAGTCTAGTCTCTCGAACGGCTCGAGAATGAAGTGTGCTGGTGTGAAACTGAAGATCCAAGTTGAGCTGTCAGATGAGGTTCATGAGACGAGCGGTGACTCCGCATCATCATCTGCTTTCCCCTCTTTCTCTCTTTCTTCCTCCTCGTTTTTTCTGATATCATCAGGATTGTTTGGAGATGAATACATACCTAGAACACTAGGAAAGGACGTTTGACTCTTTCGAGAGGAATCTAGAAGAATAACAGTACACGGTTGCACTAGTGTAGGTAGAGAAACGGAGTGGATCTACATAAGACGGGACCAAGAGACTAGGCCTTCAAAAGTTGCTACTTAAGCGTTTTTTGCCCCGCCATTAGCGTATAAGAGATAACTCAATTAGGGAGTGGCTGAAAATTTTGAGCGGGTTGATACGTCCCGTACGTAACTAAAGTTGAAGCGATGCCGCAAGTACGACAGGGAACAGTTTATAAACCCCACCATGTCTTTCAGAATCCGTATTAAATGATTGGCCAGCTTTGTTGACCGTAGATCGCAAGGTTCTAGGTTCCATCTACAAAAACCCGGCCCCTACATAGCATCGAGATGTTATTCCATTTTTGATGCAACGTTTTTGTATTCTGCATTGCATACCTAGTTTGCAGCGGAAACCAACAAAGGTGACATGACATGGAAGCGTGCGTTAGCAGCTTTTACACAGCAGCATAGTAGTGATAGTAGTTAAAATGGTTTATAAATGTAATAACTTACACTTGATGTTACCTATGATATGAAGAAGTAGTGTAGGCATGCTGCATGGCTTGTCACCGCTAAAACCGACTTTGTTGTGTTGTACATAGGTAGGTAGTTATTATTACCCGGCTGGTGCCTTGTTGATCATTTCGGCCATTGCTCGGACAGCCCGTCTGGTTTCTACCGTATACTACCGACTGTGAGATCGACATCCTGCCGACGCATGTATGTAGAGGCGCCGACTTTGTTAGACAAGTGGATAGGAGCGATGCAAAGTAAGAAGGTGAAGGATTGGAATGTACATACACTACATATTTCAACAATACATACGAGTTAATTATGGGTTCGAATCGAATATTGGTAGTAGTAACTCGATTTTGGTTGAACCAGTTGACCGTAAGTTATGGATGAAGCCGGTGGAACTGACGATGATATCTTGGTTGTCCACACTTGGCAAAGATATGATTTATCACTAATAAGGTTGGTTACCTAGACTGCTCTTGTATGTAATACTAACTACCTAGCTTACGGATTACACTACACTAGAAACCCACGGTAGGTCCACCGCAGCTGAGGGAGGAACCTTTAAAAAAAACATTATTAGTGCATCTCCACATTTTCCTCTTGCAACCTCCGATTCATAGTATATTTCTCTGATGCGGTCCTCCTTGTTCTTCTCTGCCAACCCTACCCTACTACATCTTTTTTTTTCATGCAGCAACTGCACATGCAAGCTCCTTTCATTTATCATCTCCTCACATTATCACATTGTTTCTAGACGTGTGTGTGTGCCAACGAAAATTCGCTATTGTTACCCTCCTCTGTCGGTTTTACAACGTCTAGTGGCGTAGATTAAAAAAGAAGAGAAAAAAAGAGAGAGATAAAAAGAGATCGTGAAGAAAGCTTCTCGCGAAAGTAGCATTTCTGGTGGAAATAGAAGGCATTGCCTGCCGCCACATCACTTGACGCTTGTCCTCTTGTTCTAGCATCTACCAGCTCAAGATTAAGTGCCAAGTGTTGTGTCAGCTAGCCGTAAGATCGATACCAAGTCGCGAAGCAATGGTCCTAACAAAGCAGAGATCACCTCGAAATCCCGATGACTTCCCGACTGTTCAGCTATTTCTGTTAGCTATTGTTCGTCTAGCCGAGCCTATTGCCCTCACCTCCATATTTCCGTATGCCTGGGCCTTAGTCAAGCGGTTTAAAATCGGTAACGAGCAAGATGCCTCGTTTTATGCCGGTCTTCTTGTATGTGAATCTCGTATCCCTAGTTTCTAAGATATATACCTAGGTCGCCGTTACTAACTCTTTTAGATATCCTCATTCGCCCTTGCCGAGGCGTTGATGGGCATGTATTGGGGCGGATTGTCTGATAGAATCGGTCGAAAACCTGTCCTCCTTGTAGGATGCATCGGAACTATGTTCAGCATGGTTATGGTAGGATTTGCCACCAACCTATGGATTGCCTTGATCGGTCGAGCACTCGGCGGACTTCTGAATGGAAACATCGCAGTTATCCAGACCATGGTTGGCGAACTAGTCACCAAACCTGAACACGAGCGTAAGTTTAACCATTAAATTCACATTTCACTTCAAATAGCTAAAATTGCATGCTAATGTCTTAGCTCGCGCTTATTCCGTGATGCCATTTGTCTGGTCCATTGGAACAATCATTGGGCCAGCAATCGGAGGAATGCTAGCAGACCCCCATGAGTCTTGGCCCGATACGTTCCCGAAAGGCACTCTATTCGCAAACTTCCCCTATCTCCTTCCCAATCTCTGTTGTGCTGCTCTTCTAATGATTAGCATTTGCTTGGGATATTTCTTGCTCGAGGAAACGCACCCTGATATGGTCCCACGGGTTATGCTACCCGATGACACCTATGTTTCTGACGAGACTCCCCTCATAGAGACCTCGGATGCGATTAAGCAACCAGCTGTCGATCTGCGCTCTGAGACGTACGGAACTTTCCGGGGCAGGGAAAGCGGCGAGTTCAACCGCGATACGATTTCCTCCAAAGTGCCAGAAAAGAAGGGCGACTTCACCATCTTCACTAAGCGCATCATGGCTCTAGTCATTGCGCTCTCCATCTTTACCTATCACTCGATGACTTACGATCATCTCCTCCCCATATTCTTTGAGGACGATAAAATTCCCATCAACCATGCTCCAGAAGAGGGTTTCTTCTCTAAATATAACCCCCTTTACTCACCCGGTGGCTTGGGCTTATCTATGCAGTCCGTTGGGTTTGTAATGGCGGTCAACGGAGCTATTGCGCTCTTCGTTCAAGTTTTCGTCTTCCCCATAGCCGCCGAGAAGATCGGCGTCTTCAGGCTCTTTATTATTGTTACCGTCCTCCACCCGATTGCCTACGTCATTGTCCCTGCCCTGGTCCATGTGCCAGACTCGCTCCTATACCCTGGGATTTACTTTTGCCTGACCGTCAGAAACATCTTCTCTATCATCTTGTACCCTCTACTCCTCATCCTTATTAAGGACGCCACTCCTAGCTCGTCCGTACTTGGCAAAGTGAATGGCCTCGCAGCTAGCGCTGGAGCTGCTTGCCGTATGATAGCCCCGCCTGTGGCTGGCTATCTCTACTCGATTGGGTCGCAGATTGACTGCACTGGTCTCGCATGGTATGGCAGTGCTCTTGTTGCTGTAATTGGTGCTTTTCAATGTTTTGCAGTTAAGCGAGAACGAAACGATGCCGTTTCGGAGGAGACTGGAACGATGACCAAAGGGCATCGTGTTATTGTGACGACTACAGAGACAAATAATAACGAGCTGTGAGCCTTTCAGCAAGCATACCTAGGTATCTTTGGATATTCAGCTACAAGCCATGTAGCACTGACTATCCCTCTACACGACGACTTTTGATGATTTATGACCTATTTTGGGTATATATATATACGACCACGAAATGGATCAACGAAAATGGAGTTACTTGGATGATTAGCTTGGCGTTTAAGGCATGGTCCGGGAAAGGGAATCTAAAAAAAGGGTTGGCTTGGGTATGACGATATCATCCGACGCGCGTATGGATAGAAATGGCTTATACTAGGTCCCGGTTCGTTTTTGCCTTATTCAGCGTGGATCGTCTTAGGGTTTGGTGTCTGCATATCTTAACGATCTCTAAAATAATAATATAATGACTTTGATTTGGATATTTTACTTTATTTGATCATGGGTGATTAGGTGATCTGATATTTTAAGCCTCCAGACGCAATAAATAAACTTCCGTCTTGGAAACTTTCGTCTTGACTAGGCTTTGTACATGTATTGTACGTACGAGGTAGGTTGTACGCAAGTACCTACATGTATATGGACTAGTTGGTTGAGCCTCAAAGTGCGGAGGAGGACCCGCAGCTTTATTACCAAGTCATCCGAAGATGCGGCTTTAACTGCACGCAGGTACCCGGCGGGAAAAATAATTTGTCTAGCAATAAAAATAACCGATTGGGCGGCTCGTGGGCCTGGGGATCTGAAAATCCAGCCCTACCGGGCCCTTAGAACGATGTCGTTATATGGGCGTTAGTTGACGTGCTTCGCGGAGCGGAGCCGGTTTTCAACTTTGTCCCCACTCTCTCCCGTCGTCCTGCCGTTTTGGGATGCTTGGCGTGGGTTCGATTGATTGATTTGATCAATTGATGTGTATTCGGGAAGGGCGAGCTTTGGGGTCGATTGCCGTGAGGCTCGTCTTAGTTTGGCGTAGTATGGGGGGAGTTAGTGCCGTTGGTGAAGGTTGGGGGTTGGCATATCGCCTTAGTATATATATACGAGGTAGGTAGTAAGTATAGATACATACCATCGTCAAGGTTAGAATCGGGAGGTATATTTTCGACATATAATACCCAACCCACGTTTCAACATTCGACAATTCCCACTTCCGGATGCTATTGTAGAGTTAGTTAATTAGATATCTAGGTAGATACCTGGGTAGCTTTAGATGCTAGATCGCCCTTCACGAAGGATTCGCGAGATTCGGAACCCAATAGGAGTGGGTTATAGTTATACAAGTTATATCGTGATAACTACAACAATATGCTCACTTACCTACTCTCATCCCCAACCTACTATAAGAAGACTACGGGATAATAATCCATTCTATATATGTCCTTTACGTTATATTACAGTCATGGTAGTATAAGAATCTATCCTAGAGCAAATAAAGGGCGTTTACCATATATGAAGCCTAACACACCTAATCAAGCGAAGTAGGCAGAATGGAAAATAAAATGACAAGCTCTACTTGAGAGGAGGGCTGATACTAGGTTCATATAGTAGGGCTTCCTCAAACACAGTCACATCATCGGTCATGCAGGCGGACAGCTCAAGCATATCGTGATGACAAAACATCCAACCTACACTAAACTACAATTCCCACGACAAGATTCTCATTACGAAATTAATCACAAAACCATAAAAGAGTGCCTAAGGTGAAGAATAAAGATCAATTATGTATCACGAAGTCGACGGCGATTAGCCTCCTCTGCTTTTATCGAGAGAACATTAAAAAGTTTAAGGTGGTGCCGGGATCTGGTACCGGTTTGTCCTCCCCTCCCAAGGGATTTATTTTGTTCGTAAAAACGTCTATGTCCGAGTATCCCTGGTTCAAGCATCGCTTCCTCCTATGCCTTTAAAGTACAACCAACCCGTCCTTTAATACCAGCGTGACCGTTTTATAACGCCGATCGTCATACCAGCCCTATAATAAAAATTTGTTGGGCCGTCTCCGCTTATAGTGCATAGATAGCGGCCATGATAGCTCCGAAAGCAGCGGCGAAAGCGCCGGACTGCAGACCATAGGCGCCACTAGCGGGAATGGTAGAGGTGGCGGCCGGCGGCACAGTGAAGGTGCCATTAGCACCTGAACCAGAACCACTGGAGCCTGTACCAGTCGCGACCGGGCCAATAGCCGTAGGCGTCACGGTAGCAGACTCCTCGCTGGAGATCTGGCCACTAGGCACACCCCCCGGGCTGCCACCGGAGTTTCCAACAGAGCTAGTAGCCGAAGAACCGGATCCGGAAGCAGTCGAGGATGAGCCACCCTTACCGGTAGATGAGGGGCTGGCGGAAGAGGAAGAGGAACCAGAGTTGGACTTGTCGCAGCTTAGGTCGAAGAGAGGTGTGGTGGTGAGCTTGTTACCGACGATACCAAAGCTGGGGCTGGGAGTATCGGGGGCGGCATCCTGTAGGGTGTAGTACCAGAGGTTCGTTTTGCTCGAGAGCAGAGGGCAAACAACATCCTTCCAGAATGTCTCGGCGTTGTCAGTCGATGCGACAGACTCTCCAACAGTCTTTCCGCTGACCGGGTGACCAGTCTCGGTAATCCAGACCGACTTTCCACCAGCAGCTTGCTGAGTCTTGTCTAAGGCCTCCTGGAACAGAGATTTGGACTTGGAGATGTCATTGGTCACCGTGTCCTGGAAGTAAGGATAAGCATCCATACCAACCCAGTCACAAGCATCAATAACAGCCTGGTTGGAACCGTTATACCAAGCAGTCCAGGTATCAACGTGACCGATAGGGGTTCCCTCCAAGCCGGTGCCGGAGATGGCATCCTTCGTCTCCTTGATGTAGCGAGCGATGGTATCGGGACCGGTGCCAACGTTGGAGCCAGCCGCGATTCCCATTGGCGAGTTTCGGTACAGATCTTCGCTACCGACAGAAATACCATCTACGATCTTGGTGAAATCACTTCCGTACTGCTTGATAGCGGCCTTCAAGGCGAGAAGTTCGTTAGCGAATGAAGTATCGCCCCCGGACGCCCAAAGACCGAGAAGGAGGGAGGTCTTTGTCTTGATAGCTGCAGGAATGGCAGAGATCGGGTCAGAAGCAGTTCCGCCTTGCTAAAATCACGCAAAAAGTTAGATAAACGGTTTAAAATAGGATTTTGTTACTAGTGTCTGTACTTACCACCATAGTGTAGAGACGAGCGCTGGTCCAACCAGAAGTACCCTTTAGGTTCTGAGCGGTGGTGAACTCGTTTTCGAAGTCAGATTGTAGTTTGGCAGCACCTGTAGTAAAGGTAGAGCCATAGTTGAATCCCTGGATAGCCGAGGCCGTGGAGGCCAAGGCAAGAATAGAAGCGACGGCGTGCATGGTGGTCGACTTAGGTAGGAGGATCTATTAGGAAGGTATATCAAGTGCTTTGAGGTGTCCCTAGGTAATATTGAAAATTCTTAGGATTTCTCGATTTAAATGAAATTTTCTGTTCTTCCGGGCTACGAAATTGTTTGGATAGCCACAGCTGGAAGGTCAGGTAAGTGCAGTGATTCAGGCTGAGAAGAGAGAAAGTCGGCCTGACGCAGCAAAAGCAAACCAAGTTAGGGCTAACTAAATAAAAAACGAGTGTAGGTGTAGTCAAGATTGGTTACAAGAAATAAGAAGAAAGTGAAAGTGAATGTAAACCAAGAAAGACTACCTAGGTTAGGTTAGATACTTGAGAAGAATGAACGAGAGAAGTTCCTAGGATATATGTATAGGTAGGACATAGGACATAGGAATACGGATGAAAACAGGAAAAACTAGAAAGACATGTGGTGGTGACATGGGGGCAGATGGCATGATACTTGTACCGACACGTAATAAAAATAGGACGTGGACTTTGAAAGAGGTAGTATGTATTTTTGTTGTTTCTTCCATTATGTAGTGTACATAAGCACCTCTGGTATGGAAGACCATCAAATGTACGTAAGCTTGTTCCTGGCGAAGATGCGCCAAAATCAATAATCTGTCCAATGGCGCTTGCTGATTTCTTACACTAGTGGTCAGGTGGTGTTCTACAAAGTCTAGGCTGTCAACGCCACGGCCCCATCTTGGCCCTATCTTTGCGTTCCCTGCTTTCCCATCTTGGTCCTTATAAGAGTGGAGTTCCTATGTGGCTACGGATCGACCCAATCATAAAATTTTATTTTATTCCACCCCTGTTGAAAGACAGGAAACAAGCTCCGAGGGGACCTACTGCGCCCCATCTCCATGCGGATCAAGTCTCCGTTCTCTACACTAGTGTAAGCTAAGTAGCATCTCCTCGATCGATTTATTAATTGGGACTTCTAAGAGTAAACGGTTTTTATAGGAACCTAATGCTGTGACTTGTGCAACATGTCGGACATTTCACTATTCGTTTCAAACAAAGGATGTATGTCTAACGGAGTGAATACACTACTTAGTTTCGAAAGTGTGTAACAGGTAGTTATTCACAAAATCCACGCAAGGTCTTGCTGTCCAAGTTGGTCGAATGGAACATTTACAAGTCAAGTTAGCAAAGGAAATTGATAGTCAGACCATGACGTGCAGCAACCTCGTATTACCTAGACCCATAAACTTCACTATGCAACAACCATGATCTTCGTAAAGGAACAGTATATACAGTACACTATATACTGTAAAGTCTACGTCCTAGTTTTATTAGTACCAGATGAAGCATTCCAAAGCCTTCGCCATCATCTAGAACTTGAAAACAATAGTCTAAAGAGGTCTTATGGAATCTGAATAGGGCTTACAAGGAAAAAACAAACAAACAAATTTAAGAACCCGAATTTACGCGACTATGATGCGTAATGCGCTTTTGCGGGGGCCCCTTACTCTTGCATTGGACCTTGCATTCTGTTCCTGCATTAACCTGCTCATTGGGTTGAACCCAGGACCGGCTGACACAGCGGCGTCTGTTCGCTAGCGACTAAGAAACTATGTACCTAGCTGACTAGCAATTCATACATAGATTATATAGGCTATCACGCACAGAGACATTTTCTTCTCGGCTATACAAAATGCCTATATACAGTCACAAGAAATCAGAAAAGTGGTAAAGGGAAATCAAGAAATAGATCAGATTAATAGCGGCATGTAAATCGGCCTGTACATCAGCAAGTGAATCGTCATCAAGTTACAAAACGGGAAAATAAACCGTCATTGGATATATCCGAGCTATCCGGACTTTAGGTACAGAACTACACCCAATTAAACCCAAGACAACATCTTGTACACAGATGGTTAAAAGAGGTACTGCATACGCTTTTTACGAACGTTGGTATTGCTGTGAAATTAAATTCTACGTAACTTTGGCATCTGAATATTCCGCAATTGCTCTAAGTCTAAGATGTAAGGGTATCGAGTTACGCATGGCATGCCACATTCATTACACAAAGCAAGGGGACATATCTGCCGTTATTCCCCTTGTTCGGGTAGCGCGTGGCTTCCGGGTCCATGGCCTAGATCCAGGTCGAATCTGAAATAGTCGCCATAAACCCTTACTTGAGGGCTATGAGTAGCCATCCAGTCCAGTTGGCTAACCTACGAATCTAATACCGCGTAGCCCAACCGATTTCTTTCTCTCCTTCTCCTCCTTCTTTTCCTTCTTACGTAGATTTTGCACACCTCCTAGCTGAGTTAGTATACACTCGTGATATTCAATATGGGGTTATATAAGAAAAACTCACCTCGTCCGAAATATCGCTCTGCGGTAGGGCTTCCTTTTCCCGTTGAGAGCGGCTCGATCAGCGGTGTAGATGGTCGCCGACCCTGGCCTTCTACGTTGATATTGTACGGCTCAAGCGGCGGGGTGGCATTGTACGATGTTGGCTCGAATATCTCCGATTCAGAAAACCCATGCTGCTGGCGCTTTCGATGGGTTAACGGGCTACCCGAATCGGAAGATAGATCAACCTCAGGATCAGTAGGAGGGTGAGGGTCTGGCTTCGAGAGGTTGGATATTGTGGATTGCAATTCCAGTATGTTCGCTTGTAAAGCTGTATTCTTCTTCGTAAGCTCTGCAATGCGGCTCTTCATTTCTGTCTGCTGTGCTCTGCTTGCTGCTAGGGCATTTTCAAACTGCAACTTTAAGTTATCGGAATTGTGTCTTGTGCCATCTTGAAGTAGGTCTTGTAGCTTGGCATTGAGAGCGGCGATCTGTGAACGGTACGTCTCGTGTGTCTGCAGGATATCAGAATCGTAAGCTTTGAGCTTCATATCTAGCACCTCAGCTCGGCTATCTGCTTCCGCCGCGCGCGTTACTGCAAGTTGACGCTCTGTCTCCTTGGCTTGATAATTTCGTTCAGATTCTGTCAACCGCTCCACGTCCTTCCTCAGTCTCTCTAGCTCGCTGACACTGATCTCGACAGACTGCATATTTTGCTTCAGGCTTAGTTCTCTAACTTCAGCCTCACAAACTAATAATCGTAATTTATCCGCCTCGCGTTTCGCTGTTTCTAATTCGGCTCGTAAAATATCCCCTTCCGCATTCCATTTTTTCTGCTCTTCACGAAGTGCTCTTAGCTTGGCGGTGAGATCAGCTTCCCACTTCTTTGAGAGCGCGCGACTCTTTTCGGACTCTCTCTTCGCCTGTATTTCTAATTCTTTTGCGTTCTTCATTTGTTGCTTAAGTTGACGATTCTGTATGATCAAGTTCTGGGTTTCCGCCTCGCTCGCTGCTTCTCGTACGTGTCGCCTTCGTAGCTCGCCCATATGGGTAAGGTGCTGCTGCTTCATAAATCGTTCAAATGTCAAGTCATTGTACAGAAGTAGTATTTGGCGCTGCAAATGTGCAATCTGGGCGCTGTTGCTCTCGGTTGATGATGAGGAGGCATTGGCTTGTGGTGGGTTCGACTGGAGTTGCGATCCCGGAATGTCTGAAATGGACTCGTGGTAGCTCAAGGAAAGAGATGGAACGCTATCATTCGGCATCGATTGATGCAGTCCAGATTTGATGGCCTTATTGGAATTTAGCAAGTCTTGAAGATGAGTTTGAGATGCGGACGGGACAATCTGGCGAGACAGAGTCGGACTCTCGCTACCGATTCCGAACGGTCTGGGGCTTGAGCTATCGCGATTGGAATGGTGACTGCCAATAGATGACTGACGCAGTACGGCAGATTGTACACGACCACTCGTGATAGACTCAGTAAAAGTTGACCCGGTTTTTCGCCAGTTGTCTCCTTGAAGGGGACTAAATGTGGGGTTGCCAAAGGGATAGGAACCACTTAGTAAAGCAGACTCATGACTGCTCTTTTCAGGCTCGTCTCTTTCGTGTACGCCATGACTTATATTCGGGATGCCCTCGACAGGGAATGCTTCACTTGGCCGGTAAAGGGCCACACAGTCAGCTACGACTTCTGCTGGCTCACTTTTGATCCATCTTCCGAAGTCTGTTTTCTCCGAATCAATAGTGAGAGTATAGAAGTTCTCATGGAGGAGGTGGCACTGTCGAAATCTCTCGGACGCGTGACGTATCTCGGTAGGCTGGACCTCAATATCGTCAGCATCAGGGACCTCGGCGTGTCGAAGGTATCTTTGTGGCTTTCGAATATAGTCCATGAAGTTGATAGGGTAGAGTCCGTATAGCACCGTGAAATAATGAAGAATTTGGGGGACAGTCGTGTCGTCGAAGTCAGTCGAATATGTGAGTTTTTCCCAGGCCAGCGCATTGGGGGACAGCCTTCGGTCCAAGTCCGCATCGACGGCTGTTTGGGCAGACAACTCTCGCTCCCAAAAGAGCAACCTCGCATATATGTTAAATAGCGTGGGTAGGTGTGGGACGAGAGAACTTGGCATATGGGGTAGGATCATAGTTAATGCAGTCAAAGCTAGGGATACAATAGTTGTAGATGTATCTAACTGAAGGCAGTTGATTAAGTTGTTGAATAGGTGTGTCTGTAGGATAAGATGTAGGTGCGGCGGTTGGCTCTGCACGAAAATACCTAGAAACGAAAGAGCGCGGGCACGATACGTCTTTTTGACCACATAGAGGTCGAGAACAGTCAAGAGATCCTAAGTCTACTTAGCAAGTTGCTTAGAGCACGGATAAATCATGGGTACCTACTTTTGGGCGTCTTTTTCCATAGTGTAACAAAGTCTTTCGCAACTGTTTCTCTTTGAACTCCGTCATTGCATCGGGGCTTTTCCCGACAGCTTCGTATTCATCGAGCCATAGCAGTAAAATGCGCTCTGCAAGCCGAGGGGCAGCACCCCCGGTAGGGGTACTAGGGTCATTGCCATCTTCAGCAGTCAGGATTTCTAGTAAAACGCCCTCTACTTCAGAAGCAAGGCCTCTCTCCTGGTTTAGATGGTTCAGTACTAGAAGCAGCAAGTCAAACCATTGGAATGTCTTGCTCGGCTGTCCGATTATAGGGCGTAAACGGCGAAGGAGGGCAACAAATGCCGTATATCGAGACGGTACCTGGGCGACATCCTTATGGAATAAGGAGAGCAGTTCATCGTTGACCTTATCGGCTATACTTTCGTCGAACTTCTCGTGCTTGTTCAGGTAGGCTTCGATAATCTCGACAAGATCGTCGGGTAGCGGATATTTCGCCGTCGGTATGAAGCTATGTATGGCTTTCGTAAGCTCCTTAAGGGTCCTAAGATTATAGACAATAAGTTAGCGCCTGGAGGCTGGAGATTCCACTTTGATAGGTGGATGCAGTGACTTTGTGTTAGGAGTAACAAAGAGGCCCCGATCACTTGGGACGGCACACTAGATGACGAAATCGACATACGGAGCTGAAGACATTGACACCGAAGCTCCAAATGGAGCGGTTCGAGTGAAACAATCAGTTGGTAGGGGTTAATGAGCTGTCTCGAAGTAGACTTCCGGATCGAGAATGCGCATAGTAGAGCTCCAAGTCCCGCATGAGCTTTCAATCGAGTTCCGAGGTTGCGACTTGCGAGGGAGGTTCCTTGGGACTGTGGGACCGTGGAACCGTGTCAGCCTTTGGTTCCATTCAAAAGTCTTAGCAAAAGTCTTAGCAAATCAGTTTCTTTTTCTCAAAGTTCAATTGGTGGGTCTTCCCGACTCGTTTAGGCCGCTTCAAGCCTGCAGGTGCCGTACATACAGTCCGGACAGTGCAATGAGTGAGGTAACCATCTAAACCCAATCATGTATGGATGCGAATCTAATACATGATATAATGCAATGTACGTCGGCCTAAGGGGTTATTTTAAAAAGTATCATTCGCCCAAGAGTACAATGGATTAAGAGGGGGATTCAATCACATAAAATGGTGATCATTTTTGACAAATACGTAGGTACCTATCCTATATTGATATCCAATACCCATCACTTCAGCCTGAGCAATTTATCAACCTTTAGCATTCTTAGTTTTGTAGTGTATCGAAAAGGCTGATCATGTGCGCTTCTTTGAATTTTAACTTGGACACTGTATTGCTTACGGTGAGAGCGTGACCATTATAGATCCACAGGGAAGGTAGATCCTTGGATCTCCGCACCCTAGACAGCGGCTTCAAATCTGGGGGAGGGGCAGGAAGGGAATGATAGTGTATACGTGCATGATCCGTATACATACTACCAGGAAGGTACTCTCATGCTCAATGTGGGGTAGTTACCCGTCCGGTACCTACAGGCCTGACTTAGCCCCTCCCAAAGCTCCATAGGTCCTACGTAACTCTCCGGCGTGGGCAGGTATTGAAAACTGAGGCCCCTCAATCACTCCATCCATCAGCCCATAGGTTCAATTCCTCGCTCCATTCGTCTGGCCATTCTCATTCAACTCTCTTCTCTATTCCCCCAAAGGAATAATAGAGCGACTTTGTCAACAAAGCAATTGACCTCATTTCCTCTCGTCGTGATTCAATATCAATTGATTGTGCGCTCCTCAGGTCTTGTCTTTTCTCCTTCTCAGCCATAAGCTTCTGAAGTTCTGAATCTCAAAACACATCTCTCTATCTCTATCTTTATCCCCCTCACAAAACCCTTACCTGTTACTTTCAACCATGGCGCACAAGACCTCTGCGGTGGCCGATGAGCCTATTCAAGTACTCTTCGCCCTTCAAGACAAGTTTGACTTGTTGGACTTTGCAGGCACCCTTGAGGTCCTCGACTGGGCTCGCCACGATAAAAATGATGAAAGTATGTTAGCTACCTATCTATTCGTTCCTAGCCTGTAAACTACCTCTCCCTCGTAACTATGCTAAGAGAAGTTTTGTTTGCAGATACCAAGGCCTTCGATTGCACAATTGTTGCCGCCGAGCCTAAAGTTTTGTCACAACAGGGTGTTGTCATTGACGCCCAGATCAACTTCAAAGAGGCACACGAACGCCTTGATGATTTTGATATCCTCATCGTGGTGGGCAGCGTCGATAGCAGCGCCATCCTGAAAGAGCATTCTGAACCCATACCCATCATCGAGGCTTTCGCAGAACTTCAGAGAAAAGACTATACCCGAGAGCGCACCTTGATGTCTGTCTGCACTGGTTCCCTCTTCCTAGCTGAGGCAGGCATCTTGGCAGGCTTATCTGCCACTACTCACGCAGACTACTTGACGAAGTTCGAAATCGTCTGCAGCAATGCGGCCCAGCGTGACTTACAAGAGCGAACCGACGTCATAGAAGACGCCCGGTATGTCGTGAACAATCTTCGCTTTGACCTCGGAGATGAGGATGAGAACCCCTATATCCGTCGCAAGTCGGACGCTGGAAGACGCCCATCTGTAGCTCGGTACGTCAAAATAGAAGTACAAACTACTTTCAATTACTAATCAGTGATATAGAAAGGGAAGTGTGTCATATAAGGGCTCGAACGGACGCCGTGAGTCCATTGCGCGCCGAGCCGCGATGCGTCTTGGGGGGCTTCGGGTCATTACGGCGGGGGGAATATCTGCTGGCATAGATGCAGCTCTGTATCTTGTCAGCATTCTGGTCGATGAAGATACCGCGAACGAAGTTGCCCGATTCATACAGCACGAGTGGGTTAAGGGTGTCGTTGTGGACGGTATTGATGTTTAGGTAGAGATGAGAGCCTGGGATGGAGGGGCCAATACATATGCGAATGTGTCAAAAATCTTGCTAGGCACGTAACGAAAGAAGTAAAATCAATTTCAAAAAAAAGAGAAGCCTTAAATTCATATTGCCGTCATTCCAAATTCAATTGAATGCTTTTTTCGAGGTACTCATCTCCATGCATGACCTTGAAGTTCAACCTGGAGATCTATACAATTATGTACCTGAAGTATTATTTTATTTTATTTTATTTTATTTATGGTGGGCATTCCTGAATCATGCAGGGACACTGTACATATCTGAAAGCTAAACGAATTAGGTACCCGTCATAAAGGTGGGTCCGCGAAGTCGGAATTTTCACCTACCGACATAGAGAATGAATTGGACTCGTCAATGCGTGTGTTAGGTAAATTTAAGATAAAAGATAATATTGTGGACAATCTTGTATAGAGTCTTATATCTCTCTATCTCAGCCGTAGTCGCCATCGAAGCACAATGGCGACAAAGTTCTTCCGAATAGGGAAGAAGCAAGTCTTCTTGTATGCGCTTCCGACTTACCCATGTAGCCATCTCTTATTTTTGCAGCTAACATTGGTCCCATCACAGACCCGATCACACCGTCGCCTTCCTACGACCGCGAGATAACCAACCTCCAAACTTCGCTACGTTCAGGGTACCTCTAACGTTCAACAAGTTTGACTTGCGCGACTACCTGCTGCACGCATATAATGTGCCGACACTAGGCATACGATCGCAGCTGACGCAGCGCCGGCCGCGGCGCTCTAAGATGCACCATCGCATCTACCGGCCGCCACCGGTCAAGACGATGACAGCGGAGCTGCACCAGCCGTTCAAGTGGCTCGATGCCCCGGAGAACCTGGACGTATGGAACCCACCGATGCTGGAGAGGCGGCGCAAGGAGCAGGAGAGGCAGGAGAAGTGGCAGAAGACCGCTGAAAAGAAGGGCACGTTCCCCCTAAGAGACGAGCAAGGCGCGTCGAAATCTAGAGTTGCGCTGAAGCAGGAGGCGAAGAGGTTGCTGAGGGATGGGAACTGGGAGAACGATAGGGAGTTAGACCCCAAGTTCAATCGGAGGGAGTGAATGTGAGGAGGATAAAAGGAAAAAATAAAAACTTGAATTCTCAAGCATGAAGGAGGGGAGGGGACGGGGCAATGGTTAAGGACTCTATTCTGTGGGCATGATGGAGGACGACTGTACAACTACGGAAGACCTGGACCAGACTTGCGTGTATAGTACAAATTGCAAAGCAAGCAAGCAAGAGATCGGTATCAAGGCATTGTATCATTACTTGTTCGATGCCAAGTCTCTATACATCATCTGCTATGTCTACCCAGTGATGGCCCTGTTGAAAATATAGCGCCTCGTTTCCCCAACTCCACCAGCCTGCGGTGAGGTTTCTCGCAAACACCTCTAGCCCGGTGTAGTTCTCCGGCAGTATATCCCGAAACAAGAGCTTCAAATTCGGCTTTCTTGAGTGGATATCTGGAACTCCCAAGATCACCTTGCTTGGTATCGGGGCCTTTAACGTGCTGCTTCTCTTCCTACCTAGTAATAGCCTCTCCCACGGTTTTCTCCACCGTGCTTCCAAGTCGATGACTGGATCTCCGGAACTGGTGATCTTTAGCCAGGTCCACTCCCCGACGAGTTCAAGGCCCCATTCAGAGAATATTCCGTGGGGAGATGTTAGCAAGTCAGGAACTGCAGCTTTGTTAGTGACCCATACAGCCACGAGGCCGTCTGTTTTCAAGTGCGATGCAACAGGTATCTGAGTTAAGAGATGCCTGACTTCTTGTATGTCATATGCAATAGTATAGCTATTTTGTTTTCGCTTTACAGATCGACTAGGCCACGGTGGATCAAGAAGCATTAAATCGAACATGGGAGCATCTGCGATAAAGGCTCCCCGTTGGGATTCTATGGTTCCTAGAAGGTAGCGTGATTGATCTGGAATCAGAGACTCCAGTACCACGTCGGCCGGCTCGCCCGAAGTTCGCTTCCTCTTGTGCAACTCCTTGGGGTTGGACTTATCGTCGCAAAATTTACCTGTATCTCTTACAACACGTGGTAAACACCATGGCCCTTTGTAGTTCTGCTGAGCCTTTTCAAGTGCGGACCTAACGGCTTCTTGGACCATCAATTCAGCTATGCTTGCAGAGGAGGGTGTGGCTAACTGCTCCTGGCTAGTTTTCTTGGGATCGGGCGTTTTCCACGGTATTTCTATTGGGCTGGAAGAAACGATACGCTTTTTAAGGACCTGTCCTGGTAATAGTTGAGCCTCCTCAAGAGAGCGTGGAATGTCTATAAGAATGATAGATCGATCTGAGTTCTCGAATAATACGCAAGACCCAGATAGATGATGTGCATTTTCCTTGGAAGACATGATTCCTCGATACTCCTATCACGTAATATCAGAACTCGACCCCCTTTAGTGTATCTGTGCCGTTTTGCCGTATTTTGGGAACCACATTGAGACTTGTGCAATGAATGGTGAATCTTAACTCCTGCAGATCTAGGGTGAGGCCTCAAAGAGATCAATAACGAGCACGAGCATGGACTCCCTATCCTGCAGTGCTAATTTCTAGGTTGAGTTTTGATGATGATGTGTTTCTTGGCTTTTCGCTTAATCAATTGCATCAGGTTCGCAAGCCAAGATTTGTTTCTTGGTCGTTAAAGAACGAAGATAGGCTAGGCTTGCTTTGTAAGCTGCCCCACCGAGTCGTCTAGTGTAAAACCTACCTCTCTTGATCGTTGGGTATCGTCCAAAGTGTCCTAGGAATATCCCTAGGAATATCCAACCTAAACGCGGGCCGTTGCGAAACCCAATGAGAATAGTAATCGGGACCGTAGGTGTAACCGCTTAGATATTATACCATGTTTGTATGTCCTTAAAATGGAAGAATGCAAAATACATACATCATATGTAGAACAGCCGCGCGTGAGTTGGGTCCAATCACAGTCGGCGGGTTCCGTAGCCTGTCCATAATATGAAGCGGTATTACGCTACCTCTTAACGGCACAGCGGCAACATGATAAAAGAACTTGGACCTTATCCAGTGGGACGTTTCAGGGGTTTTAAGCTTGCCAAGTCATTTAGCGCAGGCGCCTCTGACATCAGTCTCTTCATTTCTGTCGTACAACCATGAAGCAGGCTCATTCATTGGATGCAAGCGGGAGGGAGCCTATCCACATGTGGAGAGACCTGCAGAAAATCTTGTACACTATGTACCATTTACTGAAATTAGTACCTCACAAATTGCCTGTCCGTACTACCATATCACATGTACCTAAGACTTGTTGTTGTACTTCGTCAATCTCAATCCAAGTTTTAAAGACATTAACGCATCGTGCAAAGTCCCGTCAAATCGGTTGAGCTTCTAAATTCAATTCAACCGCCGCTTTCTCCTCCTTGTCCATTACCTATCGAAATTCTTCTACGTGACGGCCTGAATGACGACAATGCCGTTGTTCCTCTTCCTTGAATCGATTCCTACACATTTATCTCTACACGTGGAAATTGTCCTGTTCGTTCAGTTTACAATAAAACTTCCATAGTATTTACTATTCACCTCCCTACGCTACCTACAACACATACGTACCTACATACCTAGGAATACATAACTTAACATATCTACCCTGCCTATCTAATCGTCATTGTCAAAATACTAGTTTCGTAACCCCTCGCGATTCCTAAGCTCACTCAACTCTCCCCCATTTCCCCTATCTATTTGTTCATTCAGACTTTGTATGAGGACGACACCGCAACAAGTTTCTCGGGTTGGATTTTAGGTCGGCTAACGATCTAGAGGGACGGCATGGCTGACTCAGGGGGTAAGTTGCGATGCTGTTATACCAATTAATTTCAGTGTTGTATATGGTGCTAACAAGTGTTTTCTAGATCAGGGCACAGCCCAGCGTAATCAGGGCATTACCCTGATAGCTTTTATTACTGCTCTGAACGTCTCGTTGATAGTCTTTGGCGTTCAGACGGGACTCTTCTTGTTACTGAGAAATAGGCTATCCAGGATATTGTACGCAACCCCTCAATCTGCTCTTTGTTAAACTGCATGCTGATATATTATATTATATAACAGCAAGCCCAAAACATACCTTGTGCCAGAACGAGAACGAACCGAGCCCCCACCGAGCAGTTCCTGGGGCTTGGTAAGTACCGTGTTTCGCTTCCCGGATCGCGAGGTTATCAAGAAATGTGGTCTGGATGCGTACTTCTTTCTCCGATACCTACAAACCTTGCTTGTCATATTTATACCTATGGCCGTCATTATAATACCGATCCTAGTGCCAGTCAACTACGTCGGCGGACTCAGTCGCAACTTCTCAGCGAATACTACCGACAATGGCTCAGACGTTAACTCTACCGATCCCCAAGGCGCTGATTACAGCGACCCCAGCGCTCCAAAATCCAACATTACTGGACTGGACACGTTGGCGTGGGGCAATGTGAGAAAGGACCAAACTAACAGATATTGGGCGCATCTTGTCATGGCAGTCTTGGTCATCATATGGGTCTGCGGTGTTTTCTTTGCAGAATTGAGGGTTTACATTAAAGTTCGCCAGGACTGGTTAACAACTGCTGAACACCGTTTACGAGCTTCTGCGACGACTGTCCTAGTGAGCAGTATTCCTGACAAATGGCTGAATGAAGAGGCTCTCAGGGGTCTCTTCGATGTTTTCCCGGGAGGACTTCGAAACGTGTGGCTTACGCGAGATTTGACACAACTCTTAGAGAAGATTTCCAAACGTGACCTAATCCACAAACAGTTGGAGGAAGCCGAGACAGAGCTGATTCGGATGGCGAAGAAAGAGCAACTGAAGAAGAGGGACGCAGATGAAAAACAGGCGCGTAAAGCATCTAAATCCCACCGACCTACCAAAGGAGAGAGACAAGAGCGTCAGAAGCGGGAGGACGATGCAGCGAAATTACAGGCCGAAGGCAACGAAGGTATAAGCAGTGGTGACCGGCACGAAGTTGTGCATGATTTAGGTGATGCTGAGGCAGAGGTCAAGACCGAACAACAACACGATACCCATAGACCATCTACTGGGCGCAGCTTTGTGACAAGTGGGTTTTCAAAAATAACTGGAGGACTTGGAAAAGGTATTGATGTGATGGGTAAGACCAGGCAGGAGATATTTGAGGGTGCTAAGAATATGACCCACGGTATTGACAATCAAATTGAAACGACAAATGGGTTCGTGGCAATAGGAACGCCGCAGGGCCCTTCGCCCCGCCCCCCTACGCGGGGATCGGACCGCCGTCGTGTTCGGCTACCGGACGAGAAAGACCTTCCCAGGCCATCGATCCAGAGTCAGGGTTTTGGATCCGAAGAGCCTGTTATGGGGCCGCCTGCATCGCAAACACAGCATTATCGCAATGGCTCTTCCATTTCCCAGGATACTATGCTAAAGGGAGAGCACCTTGAGATGCGACAGTTCGGAAATACTACCCGCAAAGCTGATACCCTCGAGGATATGCAACAACACGAAACCATACGATGGTATCAATTTTGGAAGCCCCCGGCGGGTGGATATGTGTCGCCTGTCCCCCAAGGATACGAAGGTGACGATTTTCCATTTAAGAAGAAGGAGACGACCTTAGAAAAGATAAAGTCATTCATTCCGTTTCTTGGTGGCGCAGAGCTCGAGCCGGTGGAATACCCTAAAGCCTACAATGAGGAATGGAAAGAAGATAAGGAGGGTGAAGCAGAATGGGAGAAGTGGGTTAAGAGATCTAAGCGACCAACTCATCGCCTTGCGATCTTTGAATGGACCCCTTCTTGGCTACCTGGGCTTCCTTTTCTCAACAAGAAAGTCGATACGATCTATTGGTGTAGACAGGAGTTAGCGAGGCTAAACTTGGAGATCGACACCGACCAGAAGAGCCCAGAGCGGTATCCACTGATGAAGTCGGCTTTTATTCAATTTAATCACCAAGTTGCCGCACATATGGCTTGCCAGAGTGTCACGCATCACGTTCCGAGGCATATGGCCCCTCGCACTGTGGAGATATCTCCTAATGACGTGCTTTGGGAAAACATGGCTATTAGCTGGTGGTCTGAGTGGCTCCGGACTGCTGCCGCCGTGGCTTTTGTCGCTGGCATGATCCTACTATGGGCGTTCCCGGTTGCCTTCACGTCCTCGATCTCTCAAGTTAGCACGCTGACGGATGAATTTCCCTGGCTAAGTTTCATCGATGAGAACAAAAATATCCATAACGTGGTATCTGGTGTTGCTGGTGTTCTACCGGCCGTCTTACTCGCCCTACTTCTCTGGTTGGTGCCGATTATCATGGGCTTCCTTGCTGGCTTTAAAGGAGCCAAGACGGGATCTCAGAAAACGGAAACGGTTCAGAAGTTCTATTTCGCGTTCCTCTTCGTCCAGATATTCTTAGTCGTCTCTTTAGCTTCGGGCGTTCTCCAGACGCTTGATTACATCGCTAACAACCCAACCGGAGTTGCGGATCTCCTAGCGGAAAACTTACCAAAGGCCGCAAATTATTTCTTCTCTTACATGATTCTTCAGGCCCTCAGTGTGAGCTCAGGTACGTTACTGCAAATCGGAGCTCTTATCAACTGGTACATCATCGCGAGGATTATGAATAAGACGGCCCGGAATAAGTGGTTTACCAATACTAAGCTCCCTGAAGTGAATTGGGGAACTACTTTCCCGGTATATACAAATTTCGCCTGTATCGCACTGATCTATTCAGTTGTTGCCCCGATCATCTCCATCTTTGCCATCATCACCTTCAGTCTACTATGGATGGCAAACAGATACAGCATGATATACGTGAACCGTTTCACAATCGACACCGGTGGTGTACTATATCCGCAGGCCATTAACCAAACCTTCACGGGGCTTTACGTGATGGAGTTATGCCTTGTCGGCCTGTTTTTTCTTGTTAGAGATGAGAATGGCGAAGTCGCATGTGCACCACAAGCTATCATTATGATCGTCTCAATCTTTCTCACCGCCATATACCAAATCCTGCTGAATAAGTCCTTTGGACCATTATTCCGATATTTACCGATCACCTTCGAGGATGAGGCTGTCCTGCGAGATGAAGCATTCCAGCGCGCTCAGGACCGCCGTCTGGGCCTTCTTGATGATCGTGACGAAGATGTATCCGACAAGGAGGACTCGCCGAGACAAGAAGCTGGGAGCCAGAACAATTCCATGGATGGCGCTGATGACAAGACGGGGCGAGGTAATAAATTTACGAACTTTAAGCCTGTTAAGGGCATTGTCCACGCTAGTACCTGGGCAGCTCGTGGCGGTAAAGTTACCTACGACCGTACTTTTGGCAGGGCAGAGAAGGGGTTAAAGAATGTCAACAAGTATCGTGAAGAACGCCGACAAAAGGATCTCGAAGCACAGAGAGCCATCGGTGAGGCTCTATATGGCGGCTTCCACGATGAAATCGAGGATCTCATGCCTGAGGAGAGAGACGTTCTTGTTAGGCGTGCGTTCATGCACTCAGCCTTACGTGCAAAGCGGCCGACTGTATGGATTCCTCGTGACGACCTAGGAGTAAGCGACGATGAAATCAGAAGAACGAGAGAATTCAGCGAACATATCTGGATTTCGAACGAGGGTACGGCACTCGACAGTAAAGCGCGGGTTGTATACGGCCGCGCGCCTCCAGACTTCTCAGAACTGGATATTATCACCCTCTAAAGAAGGAGACACGTGAACTGAAATGTACATAGAAAACATACGACGGAATGACCAAGGTTGGAGTTGGTTGCATAGCCGGCGGAGAGGTATACCCCATGTTGCATTAGGCCTTTAATAGAACTTCCTAAATAGATAGGCTCTGGGATTTCTGGATACTACCCGATTTACTTGGACTTGCATGTGCGATCCTACGTGAACCTGTTTGACTGAGCAGTCCCTTGGTAGTGGTAAATTATTAAAGCTGACGGATTAGCTTTATATATACAGGGTCTATGTACCTAATGTATGTATGCTGGCATTAAAATAAGCGTTTCCGAGATTATTTTAACTTTCCTGCAGAGCAGTTTATCCGCGAGGTTAAGCGTTTGACAATACGAATTATAGCACCTGAGCACGTACATTAGGTACCTCTTATGGAACCTGGCCGTCATGTGCCTATATTTAGGATGTTTACGTTCCGCTCTGCTTTGCGCACTGTAGGCGTATATAGGATCTAGGCGGTTTATACTGTATAGATTATTATGTACATACGTGGACCGGGACAGATAACGGAGCCACCCGACGGGGGGTTAGCACCTAACTCTAAAGACGTGACAGGTGGACAAGTAGACAAGGGGACAGGGATATGGACAGGGATATAGGAATCTGCCAAGAGCTAAATTCTAGTGCGATCGGTCGACGGGGGCTTCGTAAATTGTATTGTACAATACATATGCAGATACTGTACGGAATAGTAGAACCGGCACGATAACAAGGGGGTATTTGTTGTACTTGTTACTCTCTTTTCCGTTCTGCTGTCTTGCTTTTTCTTTTTCCCGATGTCTCGAACAGTACCACAGTAATCATAATCTCAGTCTCTCTTCCGGTCTCGACTCGACATAACTTCTCTCTAATAAAGAACGTGTTGGTCCTTGTTCCGAGTACGGCGCCGTAAGATCAGCGTCAGCATCAATCTTCAGCTAAAAGATCATCCCTCACATCGTTCTGTCCTTTTAGGTGGTACTAAGTACCCATTACGCTCGTTTAAACCCATCCTTCTACTGTACCGTCCTTTGTGGCGTTTCATTTACAGCCGCGAAACGAGTTAAAGCAATAGGATTCCACGACGTTCTCGTTCTCGTTCTCGTCGCAACACAAATAGTAATTCATTACAGTCACTTGACAGATCCGCAGACCGTATAGGTAACACGGAACTCTACTTGGAAGTGATCGTGCGAAGTAGCGAAGCTAGGCGAAAGCGAGAGGCCCGATACCTTGTGAAGCTAACTGAGTTGATGTATTTCGAGACGCAATAGCGATAGGAGGATATACGCAAAATGGGCGAACCCCTTAGGAATAGTCTGAAATGGCTGCTTTCTCTTCTCATAGTCTCACATGTTCATGCCTTCTATATTCCGGGTAAGCTGAATCCAGACGCCCAGTCTATGCCGACGCGCCCGCTTCAAGTATGCGACGTCTAACGAATTCTGTACAAACACAGGCTGGTCGGTAAAGAGTTATAAGGAAGGTGAACACATTCCTTTACTCGTTAATAAAGTTTATTCCGATAATACGCAGCTACAATATGCCTACTACGATCTTCCATTCGTCTGCCCGCCCACGGGTAAAAGCCACGGTCCCGGTCTACTAAGCGGCCAGAGCATCTCACTCAACCTCGGAGAAGTCCTTCGTGGAGACCGGATTATGACTTCAGATATTGATCTTACCATGGGGCAAGACAAAGAATGTAGTTTTCTATGCGAGAAGGTGGTTACAAGAAAAGAGCTAAGGAGAGCTAAGGAGCTGGTTAGGGAGGGATACGTGGTAGAATGGATCGTCGACAATCTACCCGGCGCCACTAGTTTCGTTACCGTCGACAAGTCGAGAAAGTATTATGCTGCCGGCTTTAAGCTCGGCTTCACCGATTACTCGTCAAGCACCGGAAAGCCGCGCTACTTCCTCAATAACCATCACACCATCGTTATTCGATACAGGGCGGCGTCAGGCCGAGATGGCGAGAAGGGGGGTAAAGTAATCGTCGGTTTCGAGGTTTATACAAAAAGCATTGGCCCGAACGCCAAGCGAGACAACGGCTGCCCTGCCGACCTTCACGATGTCGAGGATCGCTTCGAACTCTACATGGCCCCAAATAAGACGACCGATTTACAGACGCAGTATCCCCGCTCGTCTTACCACCCCGCGGCGATCGAAGAAGGCGATGATGATGACACCATCTCCATCCCGTACTCGTATTCTGTATACTTCCGCGAAGACGAGTCGATCGAATGGAACCGTCGTTGGGATTTATACTTCGTCAACTCGGAGGAGGGCTCTCGAATCCACTGGCTAGCCATCGTCAACTCCCTGATTATCTGCGGCCTGCTCACTGGTATCGTTCTCATGATCTTGGCTAAGACCATCAGGTCTGATATTAAAGGATACAAGGAAGGTTCTATCGAAGATGGCAAGTTACGCAGCAAGGGGAAGCCTGGCAAGCGTAGTCCTAAATCTGAAAAGGCGGGATTTGGCGTCCTCGAGAGAGAAGGTGATGCGGATAAGGAAATAGATGTGATATCTGATGATGAAGCGCTAGAAGATGTCACGGGCTGGAAGCTTTTACATGCGGATGTCTTCCGGAAGCCTGAGTACGGTCATCTGCTCGCTCCACTTGTCGGGTCAGGCATGCAGCTCCTATTTATGGCTATCGGTTTGGTTTTGCTAAGTGCCATTGGCATCTTGAACCCCAGTTTCCGCGGTGGTTTCCTCAGCGCCGGGTTCGGCCTCTTCGTATTTGCAGGCGTCTTCTCTGGCTACTTCTCCGCAAGAGTATACAAGACCTTTGACGGAAAAGACTTCGGGAAGAATGCACTCGTCACGGCATTCTTATTCCCTGGCCTGCTGTTCGGTCTGGTCTTTATACTGAACCTCTTCGTTTGGGCGCAAGCTTCGAGCACTGCCATACCATTCGGAACTCTGATAGCTATCGTGCTGCTATGGCTTTGCATCCAGGTTCCGCTAGTTTACCTGGGCTCTTGGTACGGGTTCGTCCGCACAGGCGCATGGGAACATCCTACCAAGACTGCGAGCATCCCTCGCCAAGTTCCCAACCAAGCTTGGTACGCCAAAAGGTTACAGTCGATCCTCCTTGCCGGCCTAGTCCCGTTTGCTGTGATCTTTATCGAGCTTCTCTTCGTATTCCAGTCGCTATGGCAGGATAAGAGCGGGTACTACTACGTCTTCGGTTTCCTGGCTGTCGTCTCTGTCATCCTGGTCCTGACTATTGCCGAGGTCACGGTTGTGACTATCTACGTCCAGCTCTGCTCCGAGAACTATCACTGGTGGTGGCAATCCTTCTTCGTGGGCGGCGGAAGCGCCGTATGGGTGTTCCTATACAGCATCTGGTACTACTTCGCCAACCTGCATATATCGGGCTTCGTGAGCTCCATGCTGTTCTTCGTATATAGTTTTATGGCGTGCTGCGTGTACGGGCTTCTTACTGGGACCGTGGGATTCCTGACGGCGTATGCATTCGTCAGGAGGATATACGGGTGAGTAAAAGAAAATCAATCTTATTACTACGTTGTAACCAATTATAACTACCTAGGTGGCATTGCTAACGTGTGTCTTTAGTGCTATTAAGGCGGACTAGATGATTAATCAATGAGCGAACGTGATAATGCATTAATGAGACGGATATAATATTTCATATACATGTTTACCTCTTTTTTTTATGGCCTCTTATGTACCTAATATTTGGAAGCTCTTATTTTGGCGGTGCTAAGCTCCTATTATGAGGTCTCGACCACACTAATTGGATAAAAGGCTGGCGTAGGTTTCTGAGCCTAAGTGCCTGGGAGATGTTGCCCGGCAGCCTTCTGTTAAGTCGACCTTACGTTTATAAGCCAGCAATGGCATTGTTATACATTTGTATATACTTCAAGCTACCTATGAATATATGAAGGAATAGCATGTTTATTGCCAATGACGCGTATAAAAGGCTGGCTTGCTTGCTTGCTTGGGCGGAAAAGATGCGCGTAAAATAGTAGTAGCATGGAATGAACGTAAATATATACGACTTATAAATCCTCGCTCGCCTACCACTATGTATGTAGAGACGAGCTCAGTAGGTATCTCGCTCGCTCACAGCTTGCTCTGGCCAGACTTCCGTTCAATGGCGAGCCAGATCCCCTCGCCTTCGGCCATGATGTTTCCTGCGAGATATATTATTAGCATTCGAGTCGGCCTAGATTATATTACGTGCCTTTCCCCTTTCCCCTTTTGATAAGAAGAGGGCAAATAAATAAACAAGCAGGAAGTTAGTAGGTAATGCTTCACTCACCGTCCTTATCTTCCAACGTGCCCCTGACGTACATCTTCCGGCCCTCCTTGCGCACCACGCGCCCGCGGATCAGCAGGATCTGCGGCAGCCGGATCGCGCGGTGGTAGTGCGTTGTAAAACGGGCTGTGTACGCGCCGTTTGCTGCGAGGTTTTTTTCCGAGTTAGCAAGTACCCGGTTGTCTTGCTACAGCGAGCCCGATTATATATATGTATATATGTATATGTATACCTAGGTATCTACATAATATGCTAAGGGGGTGGGATGGGTGGGTAGGTAGACAAGAGAGATAGATAGATGTAGAAAGGAACAGACATACTAGTCTGGGCATTCGCGGCCGTCCCCATGACCTCGTCCATGAGCAGCCCGTGCATGCCGCCGTGCATGACGCCCGGGTAGCTCTGGCAGTCTTCTCCCAGGTCGACGAGGGCGTTGAACAGCACGAAGGGATTCCGCGGGTTCTCGCCGTTTTCTTTGCCGCCGCCGCCGAGGAGGGCTTCTGATGCGGACAGTGCGTTTTTCTCGTTGGTAGGGCCCGCTTTGCTGCTGCTACGGCTACTTTTCTTGTTGCTGCTGTCCGATGGGGCCGAGGACCCGGCGGGAGACGCTTCGCCGGAGGAGGGTGAAGGGGAGGGGGATGAGGATGAGGGGGATCTGGGCTTCGTGGGCTTGACGAGTTGATAGAATGTCACGCAGGCGCGGGCTGTTGTGGGACCGTTCATGGTCTTGCGGATGAGGCTGGAGTCGCCGTTGGGCACTGTGATTATAAAAGAGTTAGTTAGGTAGTCACCTGTTGAAAGCCAGGTTATGAGAACTTGGTTCTCCAATGATAAGTTAGGTAAGGTAGGTAGTTAGGTTAGGTTACATACGCGGCCGGCGGTCCGGCACGCCGATTTCGAGGATGGCCGGGTCTGAGAGGAGCGCTGCGCACCAGGGGATCGCGTTGAAGTGCGCGAGGGGGTCGGCGACCACCTGGTTGTGCTCCGTGGGCTTTGTCGCTGGTTCGGGCGGGTTCGAGGAGGAGGAGGGGGGCATGATGAGGGAGGGAGGGATTAGATAGATAGATAGAATAGATAGGTAGGATGGCTTGAGGTATGTAAGTTGCGAAAGGCTTTGCTCGAAAGGTCGGTTGAAAAATAAACACTTTAGTCAAATGAACGAGTATATGGTCCGGATGTGTTAGATAGTCGGTACGTGAGAGGATCGCGTGGTAGGTATGCGTCTCAGCCCTTACAGCTCATATATGTCAACTCTGAGACCCTCGACCAGCGTGTGAGCAATGTAGGTAGGTATATATATATATATATATAATATGTATTATTAGCTACAAGGACAAGGTACCTTGGCCCTTAGCAAAAGCAAAAACCTGGGGAAGCCATGAGGTCCTCTTTAAAGCGGACTGTGTGTGTGTATGTGCAATAGGGGAGATCATTCATTCGATGTAGCTTTCAAAGCTGAGCTCATCATTCCAGTCATTCGTCGATCCGAGTAACCTACCATCCGCGTACCCCGCTGTCACCTAGTCAGCTCCAGGGAACCGAACCGATAGGTAGACTTGTATTCGATAATAACGTCGAGCGAACAGGCGGTCGTTCCTTGGTAGATGTGGACGACGCTGCGCCTGGCTGACCTGCCGGGACTGTATGTATTAGATCATAGATGCAGTGATGGTGGCTTTGGGCGGACGCCACCAAGATGCTAGAGCGCGCCCGGTCGTGCTGATCTACGGGCGATGCCGAGATTGTCAGAATCAGCTGCTGAGTTTCTACCACGTACGGCGTTGTCGAAGCCTGTTCAACCAACATATCTGAGCTTTACTACGGTGTTGAGTTGGGATCTGTCGAATTGACAACCCATCTCATAGAAGGTTCTCACAGAGGGGATCTCCTGGCTGAAGTTAGCCTTAGAAGTAAATGTGCAAGGAGGTCATAGCGGTAATAACGTATCAAATGAGTGTTGAGGCTTGTTTGGGACGAAAAAAGCAAAAGAATAGAAAAAGTAAAAAGAGAATTGACAATATACGCCACCTAGGCCATTATATATTTCCACACGCCACGTCTTAATTACCAGCCAGTCCCATACTCAAGTCAAACTTAAAGAAGCTAGCAATTTACGAAATTAAAACAGATGTAATAGGAAAGGGGTCGTTAACAATTGATGTAGACAATACTTCTCTCTATGTCTGTTAGTTATGCCTTGCTATTCCATGTATCCATACCAATCAATGCACAGGGACCCCAAGTCCTGGGCCACCGCGAGCTAGACTCCAACTCGTCATGCTGCACCCAAGCATGGTATATGCCATAAACGCCTACACTCCGATAATGCTACCGCAAATCCTTCATATGTACAGCTTTTGTTTGTCTAGATATTGAACAGTATTTTCAGCCGTTCCCACGTGTAGAAGCTCACGGCGCCCATAGGTAATACCTTCACATAACCAATCGATAGCCCGACGAAGAACCCGGAGATCCCTCGTTCTCTAAAGATCATAGCCGCCGTCTGGCCTATTCGTAAACGGCGTCCATCCCCTACAGCCCCGCTAACTTGCTGCCGCCGTCTAATCACCTCCAACGGGTAAGACACGGTTTGTGATACAACACCCGAGAGTCCTCCAGCTATTAGCTCAGCCCATGCTTGAAGCGGTGCAGGTTTATCGGCGGGAGCATTGGCTGGTTTAGGAAGGGTAGTATATTTCCTAATAGATGGTAGGCGGAAGAGATCGCTCACGGTATCATGAGTTAGAAATGACACGCCGGCGTACGGTACCATACCCAAGAGAGTTGTAGAAAACCCCCTATAAAAATTAACCAAACCAGAGCGAGGGGTTACAAACTGCGCTGTTGCTGCTGTGGCCGCGGTTATATTTCCGGTGGCACCTGGCCTGGTCGCTGTCTTCGCAGCAGGTGGTTTCGATACAGGGTGCTCGTGATAAATCTTTTTGCAGATCTCGATAAGCGACGGTCGCGTGGCTTTCGTTTCGAATGCCATCCGCACGCGAACAATCTCTAAAGGATATGTGAGGAAGACCGATGTGACACCGGCCAACGCACCGGAGGAGAACCGTCGGAACCACGTTTCGTTTTGGCGGTTTGAGCCGATGAGTAAGGCGCGGTATTGTTCATAGGCAACAAACTTTACAGCGGCGTAAGGGTATATTTTTAAGAGAGTAGCTGAGTGTCCGCGGAATAGACCTGATACTCCCTCGCGAGCATATATATCACGTATCGCTATCCCGAAGCCGGCCCACGAACCCTGATACTTTGCGAACTGCGGATTGCCGGTCTGGAAGAGGATCTTGACTCGATCGAGAGGAGCGACGGTAGTCTTGGCCTAGAGACAAATTGTGAGCACGCGACCAGTTTAAGCATTGAATAAGCAAGAATACATACAGCACACCCTGCGAGACCTCCGGCGACAAAGGAACGAAGGACATAGTCCATACTATGTTTATCCGGCTGTTTCCCCTTTATTGCTATCGGTGGTATATCATCGTCTGGATCTGGACTTGGACTTGGACTCCGCGCCGTCGCTCCCGTGACGGCATTGCTAGCTTTCCTGACAACCCCGTCCATTTTGCTGACGATGGGATTGGCATTTTCCTCTCCCTGAGATATGAACTCGGACCTCGCGGCATGATTTACGGCAGCCGATGGCATTACTACGCCACCGACTTTATCTCCGTTATAATACAATGAACGCTATAACGAAAAAAAAATAAAAAATAGTAAAAATGTTAGTTAATAGTACATATCTATACTGCTCGGGGTCCGCCTCGTGAGGTTTCTCGGGTGTCGCGTAGGGGTGTGATGAGGGGGTGTCGGCAAGAGACGAAAGATGGTGGGAAAACGGATGGAGATTTGCGGTGCCCCGGATTTTGCGCTGACGAAGCGATTTAGAACGGCCGCGAATGGACGTCACTTCCTTTTTATTACATACATTGACATAAGGTAATGTAAGAGGTATGTACATATCTTCACCCCTGCAAATACCCCGAGTCCCGAGCCGAAGCTTGCCGAAGCTTAGCCCGTCTACCCGATACCTACGCTTTTTCAGCCAACGGCTCCGCCTTCGAATTTTTACACTATCACGAGACCTCTCGCCCGCAGCGTATGGTCTTTTAAACTGTAATAACTGTTCAAGTGGTCATCACGAGACGTTTTGGGTTGGAGTGGGCTTTACGAATCAGTGTACCTAGGTATTTTACTAGACTTATGCATGCCAACGCACCATCAGCCAGTAGAAAGGTCAATGTTTCAATTAGCGAGATGAAGACGCCAGAATATGAATATCCTGTAAATTTCGTTGACATAAGTCAACCCTACAAAGTCAACTATACATACATAAGTTCAACTATACATAAGTGTACATTTACATACTATGAGGTACACAATCTATATATGCTAACCTATTTGCATGTGGCTTTGTTTTCCAGCCTGAATGAGTTTGCCCCAAGCCCTACCCCAAGAGACGAAAAACTCTTTAGAAAGATGAGATGGCCAATTACAACCAACACTCATTGTCTCTTACCCGCATTTATCCTTCACCATAGATATCCTATATATAATCTCTTGCTCCTTTCAACCCAGGTCCCTAATTCCTACTTAGAGTCCTCGCCGTATAGAGCTTCAATTCGGTCCATCTCCCCTTGCTTCATTGCCTTGATCTCGTCTTTCTTCGCGTTGTATTTAACATTCCGGGGGTCGTGGATTGGGTTTTCCGGGCTGGTCTTCCACTCCTTCTTGATTATTTCCTCCCTCGTATGCATACGCAATCCTTCGCTAGTTCCGTCTTCTTTCATCTCTTTGAGTCGTCTTTCCCGGAACACTGCATATGCAGCATTAACCCTTCTATCGGCATGCCTGTCAACATTCATTTTAGGTCCGTTCGACGCAACAAGATCTAGAACATCTAGAGCGCTATCCACTCCCGACGCCTCGAGCGTCGGAAGCTTTTTATCATCAAACTGAGACAGGTCGAGACCCCGATTTGTTTTTTTAACGGCCGTCTTAGAATTCTTAGGTCCAGGGCGAGTTGGCAGACTCTTTTCCTCTTCGGCAGCAAGAGCTTCTTTTTCGGCCTTTTTCCGGGCTTGCTCTGCCTTCTTTGCTTCCTGTGCTTCTCTGGATATAAGTTAGCATAAGGCTTGCTAGGTTCGTCATTTGTCCCTTATAATCCAATTATAAGGTAACCAATGGAACCCGTCAAAACATTCCAACAAAGGAAAAGCATGTAACGTACTTCTTAGAATTATTTTTAGCACCCCTCTCCCAATCGGCGGCTTCTTCCGCCGCCTTCTTCGCGTTCTCTGCGGCAGCCTTGTTGGCGGCAGTCTCAGCCTTTCGGGCTTGGCCGGCGGCCTTCTTGCTACCGTCGCCGCCTTTCTTCCCTGCCATTAATCTAAATATAGATGGGAATAATAGTACTAATAATGAATGTTTGCTGCGGTAGGTATCACAATCTCCCAATAGAGATAGACTATCAAGACTTGATCTGATATCTGGGAGCTATGTGACCTGTCAATAGGATGAAGAAGAGGGGCAACAATAGCGGGGTTGGTTATGCAAGGCGGTATAGGCCAGTACATCATATGTCAGTATGCCTAACGCCAACATTATATTGTGGGTAATATGCATGCTTAATGTACTGGAAGCAGACAAGCCAGGTCTGACGTAGTTTCGAGCTAGGTTACCAAATTATCCGTGTACATAACGCTATGTTATTTTATACCTCTTATACAGTAACTACTTCAACTTAAACTGGCTGCCGACGAATAAGAGGTAGAAAGATGTAAATGCTGACATGACTTATAGTAAACTTCAACGGCAAACCCTAGCTAAAATAGACTTGTTAGTTGCAAACCAACATCCATGGCTTTTTCTACTTTTATTCTGTTGGTTCTAGGTTCGAGAATTGGTAAGGCTGAATAGCCACAACTGGTTACCTCCAGAGCTGGCGGCTATACAAGGGAGATTATTGGTTACCGACGTTATGGGCACTGCCCACCACTATATACCTATATACCTATACACGTAGACAGAAGCGGTCTAAATACAAGTAGAAGTGAACATGGAAGTTCAACTTTGATAGCGTGTTATTTTTCTTCGTTGAGAGCTAAGAACACTAAAAACACATTGATTCCATTAAGACGTTTTTTTTTTCGTGATGTCAGCTAATTCTCCAGTTGGTCCTTATAAGCCTAAACGTCGGAAATCCAAATCGCCATACATACAGCAAGAAAAGATCTCAAGCATAGCTTGCTACGACGCTGAGGGGAACAAAGACTACGAACCACCTAACCAACCGCACCGAAAGCCCGCATATCCATATCGGAAATTAGAGGGAACAGATATTCGGCTGCTCCGCATCCTACCAGGAACTGGCGCCATTGAATGTCTACTTTACCAGATACCTCTTGAAGAAGTGGAACATCCCAAAGAACTGTCGTGGCCCGGAGAACGGCCTCCCTTCAATGCCCTGTCTTATGTGTGGGGCGATACGACGGATAAGATGACCATTTTCCTAGAAGATGAACCTTTTCAAGTCACGAAAAATTTGTTTAGAGCTCTTCTTCAATTCAGAGAGCTAGAGCTGCCCGACGACGTTATCTTCACCGATGAATATTTCTGGATCGATGCCATCTGTATTAACCAAGAAGACGTGGAAGAAAGGTCTCAACAAGTACGACGTATGCCTGAGATATACGGTAGTGGTCAAACTATCGTTTGGCTCGGGCCTGTAAACAGAACACTTCAAATTAACCCACGCAAAAAGTCTTTACAAAATGCCGGCTCACCCAAGTTTCAAATATCGTATGACGAAGCGATTGAGATCTTATTCGAAAAAGTTCGTTCAATGGGGAAGGAATGGGAACCTGCGGATGACAACTACAATTTGATTATAAGTATAAATGAAATATTCGGTCGCGCTTACAGGGCAGTCATGATTGTGTTGGAGGACATATTGAGTCGGCCGTGGTGGGTGAGGCTATGGACGATTCAGGAGGCACGTTTACATATGAGCCCGCTTGTCTTTGTTGGGCATCATAACGTACGCCTAGAAAAGCTCACAACATTCTATTCATACTTTGTTGAGGAGAACAAATCCCTTGTCATCTCCCCAGGAAGTCGGAGGATTGAGACCCTAACGACAATCGATATATTATATATTTGCGGCGAGCCAAGGACATTAGGATTAGGGGAGGTCTTTGATAGAATACTCACGGCTGCCGATATCAAAGAATCCACGGATCCTCGGGATCAAGTCTACGGGCTATTAGGTATACTGAAGAATCTTAAAGAAGAAGAAGAACTCCCAGACGAGCTATTGCCGAACTACCATCTGTCATATTCCGAGACGTATTGGGCCTACGCCGCGTTCTTGTTTCAGTCAGCTGGAGACTTAAAATTGCTCGAATGTGACCTCAATGAGCTCCAAGGTGTACCCTCTTGGGTCACTGACTTCCGTTACCTACGCCGGGGCCCCCCGGTACCCGGGCCGTCTGTATATGTGTCACCTGATAAAAGGACTCTACATCTACAGGGCTGCATATTGGGGACATTCCGAAGTGTCCTTAATAGGATTGATGCAAAAGCTGAAGGACCGTGCCGTGAGAGAATACCGGTTGAGGTGACGAATTACGCAAAGGCTTTCGAGGAGCACATCCTTGGACCCTCGGCATCCATAAGAGGGATAACAATCAAAGAGGCTTTAAATGATATGATAGAATGGGTGAACGAGATTATTCCCTTGGAGAGCCCTGAATTGCTTTATGAAGCCTATAGCAATCTGCGTGATTCGCCTAGGCGTAGACGGTCACGGACAGCAAAGAAAAAATGGACGAAAAAAACAGGCATGTTAGAAAATTCGGTCGTCGTCAATTTCGTACATCCTTCTTTATTACTCCATGACGGTTCGATACTTAACGCTTATAGGAGGGATATTGAGGTGATAGCTGGTGATTTAATATGTCTGTTTAAGGGAGCTAATAAACCAAGCATATTGCGTGCCTCTGGCGAGAACTTTACTTTCCTAGGCCAGTGTATACTGGGAGGCGGTCCTCTTAAGAGCAAGATAAATGACGACAGTTTCTGGGCTAGCGCGCATATACAAGATATCAAATTGATCTAGAAAACTTATAGGGTGAAATACATAATAATATAATATTTATAATCTAAGGCGTGCTGCCGCTCCCTCTCTTCATCCTATCCTATCACCTAATCGTCTTCAACAAGTATTATCGCTACAACCAAGTAGGCTACTTCATCATGCTCCACGAGATTCATAAGACAGTAGTTCGATACCTCCACTCCAACCCTTTACTCATACCCACCCTGCCGACAAAAGAACGGTCAGCACTAGTGAATCTCGAGGATGAGAGATTAGCTAATAGGATACCGGGATATTCTTATAGAAAATTGTCGGGGACGGACATCCAGCTAGTTAGGATCCTCCCGGGAGATGACGCCGATGGTATCGAATGTTTGGTTGACGAGGTACCTTTAAGCTCAAAGCCAGAATATCATGCCTTGTCTTATGTCTGGGGAGATCCATCAGACTTAAGAACGATCACTCTATATGGCTTACCGTTTGATATCACTAAGAATCTTTTTGAAGTACTACGGCAATTCCGTCAATTGGGTCAACGCGACGACTACTTAACGGACTACATCTGGACCGACGCCATCTGCATCAGTCAAGCAGACGCCGATGAGAAGTCCCGAGAAGTGCCACGGATGACCGATATATATATGTCTTCTATGCACGTCCCTATTTGGCTGGGGCCCTGCAGTCCCTCGACTGGTAAAAGTCATCTTAGAAAGCTACTTCGAAAGATGATATCGTATACGAGTTTCAGCTCGAAAGCAAGCCCCTGGAAATCATCACCGGGCCAAAAGCGCCGACAATATCAATAGAAGACGACGTAATAGAAGATATAATGCAGGAGTTTTCGTCTTTCATGCTTTTAATACCCGTTGATAGCCGCGACGACGAAAAAGTCCTACGGGAGGTATTTGGCAGCTCATATAATACTCTCCTCGAAATAACGGCTAGTATTCTGGTGAATCCATGGTTTTCAAGGACTTGGACGATCCAAGAAGCTTGCATATCTCCAGCTCCTACAGTTTATATCGGCCGTCATCATATACTCTGGGGAAAACTAGAGACTTTAACGAACACACTTGCAGGAATTTACAAGCCTTTGTTAATTACCACGGGGTTGAAAAGGATAATGGCGACACGAAGGTTCCAGGAAGTATCCCATTCTACTGACGAGAATGACTACCTACCTATATGTCCGATTTCACCTACAACGATAGCTATAGTGATTTCAACCCGAGCGAGATGACAACACCGGAGGTGTTTGCAAGATTGTTGCTTGAAACACAGAATAAGAAATGCCAGGATCCTCGGGACCAAATTTACGGAATTCTAGGTTGTCAGGAGAGGATGCCCTAGTGAGGTAAATCATGCATAGAGTGAATGTCTAGGGTAGCAGACCAAGTAGTAATTGTATTGAACTTAGTAACGCCTGGCCTTTCTAACCTGACGAGGGCGCGAAGCGCCTCTTATATACTCGTACAGACCCCTGTAGCCACCCTAACCCACTATACCCTGACATAGGTCTTCTTGAGTTTCTAGGAAAAGATATACCGGCCGAGTTAATGCCTGACTATAACCAGCCGTACAAGGATCTCTATGGAAATGCGCGACCTATGTTCCAGGTTCCACCGGCGACTTACGGCCACTTGGGTGTACGATAAATGACATTGAAATTGGAACCAGACCCTCGTGGATCACCAACTTCCGATACCTTTTATATCTGAAATCCAGACTTAAATGTCAGCCATCCGCGTCTATCTCACCAGATAATCGGACGTTAATTCTTCAAGGGATCCTAATAGGAAGGCATAAAAATCACGTTGACAGGTCTTTCGGCATAGCCATCTGCCCACTTGAGAAAATGCCCAAACCTCTACCAAGTCGTCTCCGAGAGGTAGAGGAACAAATTCTCGTGCCTTCGGCAGGAATGAGTGGGATGACTGTCGAGGAGTTCTTGGATGGTCTTGCTAAGAACGCAATTAGGGTCTTTAACCAATGGGGACTTGAGTCGTACCGGCGCAAATTTCGCAAACTATGCGACACCGAAAAAGAAATGTCCTTGAAGTCAAAGAGGAAAATGTACAGAGACCAGCATACTCTGTTATATAATATGGCGGGTGAGTTTGGTGGTATAATTATGCTACTTTACAGCGGTAATATTGTGCGACTGCCAAGGCAAAACGCCGCATTACAACCTGGGAACCATGTATGTCTATTTAAAGGGGCTACTCAAGCTAGTGTGGTGCGACCTTGCGGAGACAACTATCTGTTTATAAGTCAATGTGATATAAGAACTCAATCGTATGTTTTTGAGGAATATAACGAAGAGTTTTAGGCGGGGAGAGAATTGACCGAGTTCAGATTGGTATAGACTTAGTCATAATTGTCTTTGGGTATAAGGCAGCGGGAAAAGGGGAGAGCGACTAACCATTGTCACATAGAATTATATCATTCAGATTCATTTCGAAATTTTATTCATAGATCATATAAGGAATAAACCCCCATGCTACACTAGATAGGGTCTAGAGAATAGAGTAGTTATCAAGGATAGTATAATAGCTTTGATTTCACTTGATAATAGACTCCGATTAGGCGATAGAACTTCAACCTAATATCAAATATTTGGAACTAATGATTATACTAGTTATATTTTACATGCAACAAGAGGGATAGTTATACATACCCAAATACTATATAAGAAATTATATAGTAATCATAAAGTGAGTCTAAAAGGCATTGAAACAACTTTAGTTTCTATATAAGAAATGACTATACCTACTAGGTACCTAGGTAGCAACTAGAATAAAGAGTTCGGTCACGAAACAATAATTAGAACCAGAGACAGTCAAGGGTAGCAGTTGGGGGCTTAGGAGTGAGGAAAGCCTCTCAAGTTTGAAAAATGCTTATAATTTACATACATACGTGTCAGGGGTACAGCTGAAATATCGCGATGTCGCACCGCCTATAAAAACCCTTCATTCTAATCCCCATGTTTCTATTAGCGCCCCCGTTAAAGAGAAGTAGGGTTGCATTTTCAGCGATTACCTAAGATGATGGGCTGAAGTAACCAGCCGCCTTATTATGTAGTTGAATCCAAAAGGTCAGAGTCTTCTTATGTATAACTACATACCTCCTACCTAGGTACTCGCCAGCTATACCCTTGAATATGGAAAAAGGCGAAATCAGAATCTCTGAATGATTAGAACTTAGAGTTATTGCAGTCGTGACTTTTAGCCAAGCTTTTCGAATACTATAGTCTTACGAGAGCGCATTTGCCGCCACGGTGCTTGGGCTGTAAGCAGCTGATACTAGATTGGTAGGTCATACTTCGTTCGCGGCAGGCTCTCGTTCTTGGCATGCCTTCGCCCCTGTACATAAGCTGCTGTTATTCTTCCATTTTAAGCGTTGCTTCGCATGCACCGCCGACTAGGTACCTAGTGCTGTAGGTAAATCACAAAATCTATCCAAGGCTGGTCAGCTATACAGGGGTCCCCTACGTATTTATTTGGTATCTGTCTATAAGAATAGGAAGATCTATATACATATTGTCTTGTTTCCTCTAGTCCCGCTTCTTTCCCTCCGTATAGATACTAGACTACCTACCTAAGGTATACAGGGTGCGTTAATTCCCCAGACTACCTAAACTAACAGCGGGCACCGTTCACGATATCCAACGTCCCCCGTCGACCTCGTCACCCCTGTACGTCTTGAGCTCTCATCATGTCTCGGTACTCCGGCCTCACGCCGTCGGCAAGAGACTATTACGAACCCAGAGACCGGCCTCGTCGTCGGAAAAGGGACCCATACCACTACAGCGCAGCGTTTATGCGCGAGATGATAGAAGAGGCAAACGACAAAGAGGAATCCAGAACCCTTTCCTTTATTTTCAAGTCCCTGTTCTGGTTTATGCCCATTGCTCTCTCTGGACTTCTCGTCGCCATCCTCGTCGTGTACATCCTAGCTATTAACAACAACAACAATCCCAGCATCGACCCAGACAGCATCGAGTTCCAGCTTTATAAAAACACCCGCTTCCGGGAGTGCTCCAGCAGCCAGAGCTCGCCCAACAACATCGACTGTACGTTCCTGCAGTATAACCTGGCAACGGACAGCCGAGGGTATACCGACTTTTCACCCGACCCGAGCGAGAACTATATGGTCAAGCTGTGGCTGCCGGCGGACCGGTCCGACTACGAAGGCGCTCGATACACGTGGTGCGACGTCGCCAGCTGCCTAAGCGCCTTCAAGGTGATACCGTCGACGCCACGGCCCGCCGCCTTCTACACGCTCTCGCTCACCACCACGCTGCTCACCACCATGACCATATGGAGTGCCTCGTGGTGGATGTTCAAGCTATTTACCTCGGACCCCGAAGACTGCGGCCAGGGTCTCGGCACGATCTTCTGGGGCCTCGCGATATTTGACACCGCGACCGTCGTGTTTTGGTGGGTGAACCTATTCATACAGGCTTCAGATCCCCTACGCTTTGCCCCCCTGTCGGTGCTGAACTGGGTTACGGTGTGGCGATACGCACGCTCGCTACACTTCCACCCCGTAAAATGTGCCTTTGAACCGGACTCGAGGCTACATCGTGTCCTACTGTGGGTCTTGTATTCTTTGACGGTGGCTCAATGGATTGCCTCCTGTGTTGTTTTCGGGATATACTACGGCGACATAGTGTCCATGTTCGGGAGAGGCCGCTACGCCCGATACGACTGCCACGAGGACAAGATCGACGCCGCCCCCGGCGCTTCTTCATGCTCTTCGGCAGAGCTGTGCTCCAAGGACTGGCTGCTAGGAGACCCAGGGTTTGAACAGAGCGTCTACTACGGCGACCTATTGGTAGCCATTTTCTGGATCTCGACCGTCGTGGCATTAGCTCCGATCCTGGGCCTCGTCTTCGAGGGATTTCGTCGGTTGTATCGAGATCACGATTTCTTCCCCAGCAAAACCTCCAGGTTCTTGAAGAAGTGGAGCAGCAATGCCTCCCTTGAGTTCGTTCTCTTGGGCTTATTCTTCGCTATACTTGCTTTGGATATTTCAACGATTGTTAACATTTTCCGAGAGACGGGTGATAACGACCGGGCGGGGACATTCGCGTTTGACTTATCTTGTCGGGCTGTCCATGTTTCCTTAAGCCCGTGGAAATATTTCTTAGATATAAACGAATATGGGCGGGCGTTTAAAATAGCAAAAACCTGGTTTAATGTTTGAACATTATGATTAGTATTGCCCATCTCTTCTAGTAGAACTTAACTATCTTAGATGGTTAATTAAGCTGCCGATGTTCCCTGTTGATTATCAGGGGTAGCCATGATGTCTCCTGACATTTATACTAAATTATTTCCTATGGTTATTTGAGGGGGGGACGATTCTGTTACCCAGTATGGATCATGGAGACTTGAAAGGCGACCGCGTCTCATTCCATAAATAGAAGAGAAAAAGAGAAGCAAGCAAAGCCACGAAAAAATGCGATGCCGCATCCGTATTGTATATTGAGTAAACCACCCTCCAGCAACGCCTGTGGCTTTTGGGAAGACCCGAATAGGATAGATAGTATACGCAGAAACGAAACAACCGCCCTCCCCTTTTCCTTATTAACGAGCCTAAAACGCCGCAAACTCCCTTCCCTCGGGGTTCCGCCCTAAGGCCTAACACCCTTCAGACCAAGATGTCCACATCAAGAAACGAACTCCGTATTTACACCCCTACGTAGTCCAGCTCTTTTCGACCGAGAACAAATTAACCCCGCCCTATTTCCCGTCGATGGGGAAGGGGGTGGCATGTAGCATACCTACACATTATCTCACTCCTACACCGCGCACCATGGAAACATCTCGAGGCGGGCATCAACCACATATAAATAATATAAAAACAAGGTGCAATGCATAGTCCTTATACTTCTTCCCTGAATATCGATCTTCGTTCCGACGTCGGGCTATCGTGCTTGGCCCCCGCAATCGCCTTGGTCGCCGCGACATTTGTGTCGATTGGCCGGGGACTCACGCCCCTCAGGCTGATATTGCTAGGCTCGGCCGCCTCGTCGTCGAACGGATTGCGGCCACCTCCAATGCCTAGATTTCCGTTTCCGTTACCGCCAATAGGCGCACCCTGGTCGCGGCTTAACGTACGTCCTCTTCGCTCATCGGCCCCTAGGTTCACGGTGCTGTATCCGGTGCCGTTCTCATGTTGTTGCTGTTGCTGTTGCTGACGCTGTCCCTGTCCGCGCAGGCCAAGTTCTTGTTCCTCGTATCCGTAGCCGTAGTACCCGTCCGCCTCGTGGCCGACGCGCGAGTCCCAGGCCTCGTCCGGGTCGAGGGGTCCGAAGCCGCGGCGGGAGGGGCGCTCGTACGCGCCGCTCGCGGACCTATTTCCACTGCTGCGCAAGGCGCGCCATTTGTCGCTTATCCAGCTACGAATGCCACTCGGTGCCGGTTGCGGCGGCCCATACGAGGACGAGGGTTCGGAGTGCGCAAAGGGGATGTAAGATGAGAGAGGTGGGGCAGGGAGCTGTCGCAACGGGGATCTGTTAGCTCGTAGTCATATACTAGATAGGCTAGCTACCTGGAGAGGAACATGAAGTATGGCTCCGATCATGCCCGGCAAGTAAGACAAGCATGATGCAGTGATTAGGGGGGAGGGGTTAGGAGTAGATGATAGGTAGTGAGTGGTTGGAGGAAGAGAGGGTATAGAAAATGGGGCACTTACGCCTAACCGCCTTGCGCGCAGCTGGGTGAAGACGATCCAGCCGACCGCGGCTACGATCAGCAACACAACCAGGACTATGAAGAAGGTCCCGACAGGGCTGACCATTTTCGGTCGCGGGTGTGGTCCGGAATGTTTATCGTTTTTTTGGAGGGGGGGAATCGTCTAGGGAAAAAAAAGAAAAAAAGAAAAAAAGGACGGCAGTCGACAGGACCGGGAAAATTCAGTTGGAAAGAGTGGCGAAACTACCTAAGGTAGGGATAGAAGGAAGGAGGTGTTGTGGGCGGTGGAGAATAGGTGGACAGAAGAGGTAGCGAGGTGGGATCTAGTCGTCAGTATGTCTTACAATGCGAAGTTGGAGTTGAGGCTGATGACATTCTTTTTCCGGTAGCGTTGCGGCGTTGCAGCTTGCAGCGTTGTTGCTTGTCATCCGGTGTTGCGGGTCTCTTGAAGCTTTGGGTCTTTCGGTGGGTTCATCTTAGCGTGGTTATGGGCATGCAAACATGGCATGGATACGGTATCGAGTTACCCGATTTAGGTGCTAGCCCCTGCTTTCTTCAGTGGAGTCGGCTATGGGACTGGGGGAGAAAGTCTGAAAGTCCAGACGGTATCCACTTAAGCATGACGTTATGTAGACTTTAACGGTCATGGCCCGTGCAGATTGGGGGGAATATTCTAACATAATGTTACCCGGTTACATACATGAGATTAGGTACCAAACCTACCAGTTTAATTGGGAGGAAATTCGTGCCGATAAACCCCAATAGCTGTTAATGTTGTCTCACTCCAAGAGTCTATCCAAACCTATCAAACCTGTCAAATTTACGGTCACGTTATTGCACCACTCCTAAGCCTTGTTATTGTCTCAGTTCTCTTACGATTTGTGCAGAAATTCTGCCTTATAGCAGTAATCTCCAACCTCAGTGACAAATACATATCTAATATCTATCGGGCTATACATATGGGGGTTTGACAACATAACCCTTGATCATAGCTATTATTAGTATATTGACTTGTCATATCGGGATAAGAATGAGCGTAGGTACCTAGTCGGATTATCGAATATATTTTCTGTTTGGGAACCTGCAGTGTCCGTATTTGAACAGCCCCGCAACTTTTGTCTCGAATCACGATTATACACATTAGATTAGGCAATGAAAGCAAAACAACTAAAGCAGGGCCACGATGTAAAGATGAAAATGCAGCATTCCATTCATTATATGTCTATGTCTTGGCAGATAAACAAGCCTAGAGGTATCACGCAAAGCATTGGTCCCAATGTCCACCATTCTTCGCAAAACTCTGGCTCTCGACGAACCTGCTCAGCGTGCAGCGGCCTAACGCATCAACGCCACAGTTCTGCAGGGGTATCACTCGATCATTAACCAGAATTCGAACAAACTCTTCTTTGCTTCCCCCGCACGACATCTTCTCCACGTATAATCTGGCCCCAAACGGGACAGCCCAGGCGGCCGAGAACCCCTTAGTTTCCCGTGGGCCAACTCTTCGGTCCCCAGGCAGTGGATCAGTCAGATTATATAGGCCCAGCGTGCCATATATGTCCATCATATCGTTGTCATGACTAAAGTCGGCATATAGGACACGGTCGAGAGGAAATGTAATATTGGACCCGTCCAGTGTTGAATTGGTGGTAGTATGATCGACAACAGGCTGACCAGTGAGTCTTGCAAGCAACTCATTAACAAAGCCGACCCCCTGAGTTGGCCCAAGAGGATTTCCATTCCCATAACCGTACCATTTGCCTAGACTCTGGTAATAATCATAATCATGCCACTCGTCTACCGTAAATAGGTAGCAGAACTGAGATAGTCTTCCCTTGTCATCGGCCACGGTATTGAAAGGACATAAATCCATTATGTAGATAGCCTCTTCGTCGGTCAGGTTAGCACCAGGCAAATTTTTGTTTAGCCTCTCGGTTAGGGGTGGCACGAAATGCTCTGTCCAGGTATCCTGGTTGCTGTGGGTGTCATGTCGGCTATCCTCAAAAGCAGGACAAAGATTGGGGCTGAGCGTATTATTGAAGCCATCACTCTCAGGGATAACTAGGATATCATAGGGGTAGGTATCCGGAGCATTAGAACGTTCATCCGCCAATCGAGCCCTATGAAAGCCTTGGGTCCAATTCTGAGCTGACTCGACGACACGTTCCTGACCAGAAGCACGCACAAAGGGAGTATTAGTGCTGGCCAGATGTTGGTATCGCTCATAAAATTTGATGCCAGAGTCCACCATTTGTTGCTCTCCAAACAGGGTGAGTTGGTCAGCACCAAGGGTGTACTCATAGTCTTTGATGAACTTGAAGCTCTTTCCGTAATCTACCACGCTGTTGTGAATACGTTCAACGAGTGCCCCATAGGCTGAAGACTTATGCTCTGTGGGATCACGGGCTCCATGGCGCGAGAGCAGTTGCGCGAAAGTGACATGACACTCATCTGGGATAGCCGGCGAGATTTCCGAAGGGGCAGAAAATACAGATGAGTACTGTCCCCACGAACGAGAAACCTCCTTTCTACAGTGACGATCATGTATAAAGCCTCTGCAGGGTTGTGACGAGATAGATTGCCTAAGTTAATAAATGATATCTGCGATTAGCCAAGTGAGCTATTTACGGCAACCCCTCCCTCCCTTCCCCCCAGACGTACTTGACATACATAAAAGTTGTCGCAAATGTGATTATCACAATCGAAAGTAAGGCGCATAGAGCAAGCCTAACAGTGAAGATGCGTTGATTAATCCAACTTGTAGCGCGCTTTTGCATCCGACTGCGGGAGGCATTTTCAGGAAGCAGAGTGTATTTGTATGAGCCTCGGGCCACAAAGGCCGTTAGCTGGCGTCTCAAGTCGGTGAAGACCATCGTGAAAAAGAGTGAAAGAACCGATCTTTCTTCATCGCCGTATGCCTGACGATACTTGAAGAAGGACAAGGTGCAACCGATAAATTAATGATGCTGTGGTATATTTAAAGCTGCAAATGGCAGGAAAAGAAAATTGAGTAGGCAAATGAACAATTGTACATAATGAGTTGCTGATTTTTCACAAGAACCTGTGCTTGGGTGCGGCCGTCTAAGTCCGTGAGACGCTGCAACTGATTGGTACCTGACTGGATAACGGCTGTTGCCGGCCCGTTAGCATCTACATCCCGACCCTAATATGCATAAGCCTTACCTTGGCTACCTTACAATACAATTATAGGAAGATTAGGTAACCACCCAACACTGCAGTATTACAACTCCGCAGCAGTCTTATAAACATGTGACTAATGGTCGTTTGCTTCAGTAGGTACCTTGGGATGTAGATGTGTATTGTTGGGTAAATGTAAAGTTCTAACCAGAGATGTAGCACAAACTTGAACAAATCAATTGTATTGAAGTTCAACACCAGCTTCACTCAATAAATATGTACAACATCCAAGAACCAAGTATTAGGGTAGACTTGACTCCATGATTAAACCATTTACAACTCGCAACATAAGATAGCCTTGCTCCCATTACCTATTGGCCATTACCTATTGGGGTATCATCCGGCGCAATGCCGCCAGCCCGCTTTAAAACCCCTCCGAGGTCAGAAGCTCCAAGGGTCCCTAATTCTATCATTACCCCAACATCATGGCTAGAACCTGCTTTAGATGCTGATTTTTCCTTCCAAATCTATATATGTCCCGCTTAATACCATGCCCCATTCTGGCATGAAATGAATAAATGCACGGTCCCTTAGTACCGCTTGGTATCATAAAATGCTATAACATAGAAGAATAGAAATTAGACAGCAACACCAACACTCTGTCGTTGTTGGAAGGCCATCGGGTGTCGTAGTCCAGATACGATCGCCATCGGAGGCTCCAACTTTGCCCTAAGGGTTGTCGTACTACTAGGCGACAAGCTTGTAGGTAGAGTCTGCTCTTCTTCAATGGTCCAGTCTGAGTTTGTCGATAGGGTATCGACGCTGCACCTTCGATTCTCTTCGAGATCATCCATCTGATAAGATCCGTCTGTGCCAGTTATTGGTCTTGGGCCATTGCTGAGGGAGTCGAGACTGATATCCCGGTTGGGCTCTCCGCCAGGGAACAGCCAGGTAGAAACCCGCGAAAAGGATTTCTTCTTTCGTAGAGGTGGTCTAAGTCTAAGCGGCAATGGTGGGGGAAGAATCCTGTTCTCCACCTTGCGTGATGAGTTAGCCTTATATGAGGTGCGCGCCGAGGTCTGGGATGGCGCAGTGTGCGGGCGGTCAGAACTAAGACGTTCACTGAATGAAGGAGCATTTGGAGGAAGTGCTGGGATGTCTGGCATGGGCACCATTTCTATAAACCGGTTAGTACGTAATTTGATATTATCGAGATGTGAAATCACTGACCAGCTTGTCCATGAGCAGTTGACGGCCGGCTGCTGACGTAGATGGTCTGCCTCTCAATTATATCGTCAATCTGCTCCTGTAGCTTATCCCGTTCTAACATAGCAGTCGCAACCCTTTCAACAAGATCCTCCATCATAGGACTTGATGATGCCGGCGACGTGCGATTTCTAAGTCTAGCAGGTTGGGGTCGCTGGGGCGTGCTGATGTCTGACTGCGGAGAGTCAAACACAGACCCATCATTAACTGGCCTCCGGGGGACATGAAACGACATAGATGAATAGCTGCGGGAATGCGGAATATGCGGGCTGTCTTCACTACGGCTTGAGAGAGTAAAAACACGCTCAGGCGGCGTGACCGGGGGTAGGGGGGAGTCAAAGAGAGGAAGGATTGGCGAAAGTCTCTTATCAGACATATATATACTGAGCTCAAGAGGACGAAAAGAAGCCGGCTGTGGTCTTACTTGTGTGAGACCATGGTCCGGGAAGCGGAATGACTCCGAATAGACATGGCGGAAGTTGGTAGGAGCTGATATTTGCGGCCTGCGCGATGACGATGAACTCGGTCTGAGCAGTAGCTTTCTCGCAGAGCTGCTCCGTCCAGAACCGTGTCTCTTCCTGGGAGCCCGCTCCAAACTGGATGTCCCTGTGCCTGGCCTAGACGACTCTGCGGAAGGAGGCAGAGCAAATGAAGGTTCTTGATAAATAATACCGAATGAATCGGAAACAGCTGGTCTAGTTAGAGAATGATGTCGCCGTTGTTTCTGCATATTCCAAAGCTTACCAGGTTGACGAGGCTTCTCATCGGAGTGAGAAGAAGAAGTAAAGGATGAACAACATTCAGAAATAGAAAAAGACCATGATGTATAAGCTTCAGCAAGCATCCCACCTAAGGCTTTCATGATGACTTCATGCCTCGCTGAATAGGAAGAAAAAAACGGCCAGCGGTTGGTAGGAAATAAGAGAGCTAATAAGAGAGCAGCAAAGAAAACAAGAGGTCATGAGATGCATAATACCTTTATGGAAGACGTGAAAAGAAATTACCTTGTCTGCTTGTACACTTACCTTTTAGGCTCAAGCAGCTGAGCGGGCACGCTGACTTTTTTGGGACTTGTAGGCTCACATTGAGATGGGAAGCGTTGATGGTTTAGATGCAGACGTCCGTGACTTTGATAGGCTGTAGTCTAAAAGTCGTGGTCCAGTCGGCGCTTACGAACCGGGGTCCTAGAGAGGATTCGGATGGTTGGCGGCACACACCAAGATTGCAGGGCCCCACCACTTGTAATATGAACGATTCTGCACAGCCAGTCTTTTGTCTTAGAATTCCTTGCTTTGTGATCCGTCTAGAAGGCCTTAAGTTGCCCACCCTCGAAATGTTTTGAATATACATCGCCACAGAACCCCGTGAAGGGTGTCTCGTGGGCCTCAGAGATTGGCCTTAGATTGGCGTTGAATGTAGCAGCTAGGGCCGTGAATAACGAAGCCAGTATGAGTATGTCTCTCGTCATCCCCGACAAGGTGAGTTTCAATGGATGAAGAAGGGCATCCGCCTTTGGGGAAGCCATGGGTTTGTCCGACTGGAAACGGTACTAGAGCATCCATAAAGTGTTGCGCGAGCCGGATGTGTCCACCCAGTAAGTAACATATTTGGGGATGTAGACGCGATCTTACGTTACAGAGTTGTAGTTGTTATTGATGAGGCGCCGTTTTAGGGTTGGCCGGATATCCGCAGGTAGAGGCAGTAAACGCTTTACTACCTTCTAAGTTCAAAAATTGGTGTGTTTATATTGTTTGTTAATTATCCATCTGTTTCACCTTGAACTTCTATCAATACCTACTTCGAGGCACATTTGCCTCCTCTGCCTCCTCGCGTGTCGAAACAGCATGGCGTTATAGGCGCATTCATTGTTTTGGAAGCAAACCGTTATGTGCTAGGTAGAATATGCAGGGAGCCAGAAAGCGTAATTAAGCGTCAACTGACTCAAGACCTGATGCTTATAAGAAGCTTGAGCCGTATTGTTGGACTCATGATATTGGAAGCTCGGAAGTTAAAGATTAAAGAGTCAGGTTCATTTAGTACATTCACAACATGAAGGTGGGAAAGATGAATTGTCCAAGTCCACTTACAGATTGCCTGACATTTGGAGGTATTTGTGTAAGGTGGACCGTGCGTATCTTATCGGATAATTCATGGAAGCTCAGTAGAATAATCAGTGGAAGTCGCACCTGGGCTGCTGGGCTTATTAAGTACATAGGTACAAACCCATAACGCTAAAATTTCCCAAGGTTCAAGAATGACAGATTGTTCTATTTGCGTCAATCCAAAAATCCAAAATATCTCCAGACTTGGCACCTTGCGGCCACATCTCACTGTCCTCTTTCACACTATCTTAACTAAATTTTTATTATCCTTTTTTTCGACTTCGCAGCCATACCGGCAATAATTTCAAGAGATAGTAATTAACATGCAGAACCCTAACGTTCCTCCGGGAGCTATCCCGATACAAATGGGACCTGGAGGCCAGATGCCGACGCCTCAGCAGATTGCCGCGATGCAACAGCAACTGGCCGCCGAAGCACAGAAGCATGGCATGACTGTCCCCCAATTTGTCGAGCACATCAAGGCCCAACGTCTAGCACAGCTTCAAGCAGCTCAGAGACAACAGCAACAGCAAGGTGGCCAAGGCCCTCAAGGCGGACCTGGACCTCAAGGACCGCCGCGCCCTCCTCCGGGAGCCTCAGGTCAACCGCGACCTATTCAACCTGGCCCTCCTAATCCCGTCGCAATTTCCCTTGCCAATTTTCTACGAAGTCAGACTCTAAAGCAACGTACATGCATCCTTAATGGAGAGCGCAAGGATATGTTTAGAGGTATGCTACTATTTGCTATTTTATTTTAGAGGTGACATAATCTCACATGTTGGTTCTCTAGTCAAGAGAGCTCTTCGAGCTCTTCAGTCTCCTGCCTACGCCAAGGCACGCGCAAAGAACCCAGCGCTTCCCGAAGTCACCGATCGCGCATCGCTTGAGAACGTCTTCAAATTGCTACCCTTGTCCATGCTAGCCTTGCGTGTCAGCAAGATCGACCCCCACGAGGGTCACGACCATGCTCCCAAGAAGGGTAAACGAGTCAAGGGGCTCTGGACAGTCAAAATTGAACAGCAGCAAGATGCTGGTGACGACATGTATTATGTCTGGCTGTACGAGGGCAGTCAGATTATGCGCAAGGTTTATGCTGCTCTCGCCTTACTTGTCATCTTCACCGTAGTCCTGTACCCTCTATGGCCGCTCGTTTTGCGACAAGGTGTCTACTATCTCAGCTGGGGATTCTTGATGCTTCTTGGTCTCTTCTTCCTCATGGCCATTTTCCGCGTCATTCTATTCTGCATTACGTACTTTGTTGTGCCCCCTGGCCTTTGGCTCTACCCCAATCTTTGGGAAGATGTCTCCTTCATGGACAGTTTCCGTCCCGTCTGGGCCTGGCATGAGGTTTGTTGTTACCTAATCTTATATCACAGACGTGTACTAACTAGTTATCAGACCGCCAAGCCTAAGAAAAAGAAGAAGGCTTCCAAATCAGTCGGTGCCGAGTCAGCTGCTCAGCTTGCAAGCCACACAGGTCACCCACCTCCGGCGACTGCTACTACCACTGCAACTGAAACTCAGATTCAAACGGAACCCCAGCAGAGGGCCTACGTAGCTCCAAAGGTCGAGGAGCTTGCTGACGATGAATAGGTGTGGTCGCTGTATCATATTTGCAGCGATAGGCGTTTAGGGAGTTTAGTCAGTAGGGAAAAAGTATGTACAGTAGAACAAATGACTCTAAAAGTTGCACTACATAGGTACCTATTTTTCAGAATAGGATGCATCAACCCTCCCTATCCATCACCTCTTCAAAGTGATAATTAACAACCAAGAACGCCAAGCCAGGGACATATCTTGGCAATAGGTAAAAAATCATGGTATCATCATTGATATTGCTATCTTAGCTTCTAAGTAAAGGGAATACTTCATAGATAGACGTAAGTGGTGTTGCTTTCAATTTAATTTCAAGTTTAATAGGCAAGCCAGTGGCGCACAATATAGGTGCACTAGGTAATAGTCCCCTACAGGTCAATCCCGTTGAATATAACATTATGTAATACTCCCGCTGCCCCCTTTTTACCATATTCATATAGGGCTGAACACTCCGTAATATCTACAAACAAACGAGAAAGAATTTTCAATTATTAGTATATTCGATGCCTCATATCGTCCCGGAGGGCTTTATTTTATTATATAAGAGCTACTAACTATACAAAAGGTTGAGCTGAGAGACAGAGCTATAAGCTCCTTGAGGTAGGTACATAGTTAGTTCACTACCTACCTAACCTGTGTACTTCCTTCGGCTAACTAATCCCCATCGCTTCCCAGCGACGTCCACGATAACATCAACCACCTTCTTGGCGCTATCATTACTCTCCAGGAAGGGGAAATGGGTGGCTGGAATCCTAACAATGTCACACCCGGTCGCTCGGGCGAGTGTCTCCTGAAGAGAAGCCGGTAAGGATTTGTCCTCGGTGCAGACGATATACGTCTTGGGGACAGTGACGTCGGCCGCGGTGAATTGAACGGGGGCTTCTATGCTCGCCTTGCTCTGATGCACCAAGCTCTTCGCCAGTGCTGCCTGCTCTTCTTCGGGGATGGGAATATCGCTATTCGTGTTGGATAGTGCAAACTCGGTAAGGACGTAGAAGGGTCCCTATTTATATCATACACGTTAACATTTCGGTGAGCTCAAAATCTTTTTTTTTTTTTTTGAAATAAGTTACGCAACCTACCTCAGCTTTATAGATTGGCGGGGGCGTGCCACCCAGCATGCTCATTAAACTCGCGCCCTTTGTGGGTATGGCGAGGGCAGTGAGGTATATAACTGATCTGATGCCTCCCTTTAGGCCCTTAGCTTTGCGGTCTTCGATGGTCTGGCCCTCAGTCAAGGCGCTGGCGGCAATTCCGCCCTGGCTATGGCCAACTACCACGGCTTCTCTACCCTCGTCTAAGTAGGGAAGAAGACTCTCGAGAATACGTTTGACATCGTCGACGTAAGTCTTCCCCGCAATAGAGTCATCGATGCCCGTTGTCGCCATTGGCGGGCTCAGCACGATATATCCCTGAGAGCGTAGGGGCTCGATCAAGTTCCGGTAGTGCACCGGCGCAAAGAACGCGCCGTGGATTAACACGATAACGGGCTTCTGGGACGCCATTATAAGTGATGATATACTTGTTTGGTAGTATAAAGTTATAATATAATAGGTTCTTGTTCAAATATGATGTGGGATACGGAGGCAATGGCTACAAGTTAAATATCTCGATTAACGAGTATTTAAGGGGTCGTTGTCTATAAAGCTTCACCACACCGTGCGCAACGATTAGAACTCACTCGCCAAGTCTAATTATGATAAATAATCTACTGTGTAACAGATCATCCCCGACCGTCCGCATTTTGGGGGAAAAAGCCTCATCCAATGGCACCTGTTCTAAAGACGGTTCACTGGTAGGCGTAGCAGTCATGTTTACGCGATGTTATGCAGCGTGGAGTGGACTAGCGAATTAGCTACCGAGCGAAAAGGGTTAAGGAGCAGCATAATTCTAAATCGGGGAGAAAAGCGGGAAAGAGTTCCTAGTCGACATATAGTCAAGTAGGTAATTTGAGCATCCTGGCGGCTGGTCACGGGTCAGGTTCGGGACTCTTCGGGTGAGGCTCTGAGTCATGCGTATTAGTCTTCAGACTTACAAATAATTCTTTATATAGAGCATGTCATTTAGACGAACTCGCTTAGCCCAATGCTAACATTAGAGGGTTATAACGGTTGAGTTATCACTGGTTTCTACGTAGTGTCTAACTTTTGTGATCATCAACGGCATTGAGGGACTTTCCTTGGCGAATCCCGGTCTATGCTTTTAGCGAGGGTCTCTAGATTCTACCTAATAGGTAGTTTCGACGACTCAATGCTAAACAACTAGCCAACTCGGATCGTCCGAGCCTAAGATTTAGATCCCGTGGATGTGAAATGCACTGGCTTAGGCAAGTGTCAAGACACAATATTTTACCTAGGTTCATAAGGCACCCGAAAAAGGGGCAACTCATCAACTAGGTAAATCCTTTTTTTTATTGTAGATGTTTGTAATAGAACACCTCGTCTCTTAGTCCTCCTACGGGGCTGATGCCGTACCTAGGGATCCTGCCCATCTCCGTATACCCTAGTTTCGGATATACTTTCTCGGCTTGGCTCCCAATTTCTGTGTCTAGTAACTATATGCGTGTTAGTTGCTAAAGACTTAGAGTCCCTTTGGGTATATTGGTACATACCATTAAGGTCTTGCCTCTCTTCAATGCTTCGGCTTCTAGGTGAGACATTAGAGCTCTAGCTCCACCTCTCCCTCGATAAATAGGGCTAACAAAAAGCTTCTCCACGAATCCACGGAAAGACCCTGTTTCGCTGAATGGCATGCTTAGCGTAACAACTCCTACAACCTCGAGCTCATTGGCCTTGATGCCCGGCTCAGACTCGTTAAGCAAAATGCTAATAAACCGTGTTCCCAACTCAGTCTCTCTTGCTATGTCCTCCCAGTATTTCTGGATTTTTGAGCCCTTTAGCGGCGGGAGGAACGTGGCGAGAGTTTGGTCATGGACAATACAAGCCGCATGGATAGCAGCGATGGCCGGTAATAGGTGGCCATGTTCCTGTTGAGAGAAGAGTTTCACCGTAGGAGTTGGCATTGTATGGAAGTGTATAGGGTAACTGACAGTAACGCACTACTTGAATTCGAACGAACACAATAAGAAGAGTCTACACCAAGGAGTGCAAGTTAAGACATCCAGCGTTAGGTTATGTCTAGTTTAAAAGTCTATTATAAAACTCTTCTGTCCTATGGTACCACGACCCTGCAATACGTGGCCTAATTCTAGGCAGACAGCGGCGGTATGCAATCGCACTAAGCCTTTATGAGGTGGATACTTGGTCACGACATATGTACGGGGACGGGACCGGCTCTGACCGATTGATATAGTCCCGGAAGGTTAACTACCTGTAAGGCACACATTCATGTAGTCTTCAACAACCCATTATCAAGAACGGGTTCGAAATTATGGGGCGGTGTTATGGTTAAGCGTTATAAGAAAAATTGAGTTACTATTATTAAAAGCTTTAGAATTTATAGTTAGAACTATAAATGGAAAAATAAGTAAGATCAACTTAAGGAGAACGATTATAATAGAGTTCTTTTTCCTTCTCCTTTTGAATAACCTACCTTATCGATACCTAGGTAGTTAACTATAGTAGTTTTTGCGCTTCTCAGGCAGCTCGAGGAGGAATTACAACTGGTAATATGCGATAGCTTGAACACTTCAAGAGAGTATGCATTTAACAGGTCGGTACTTTGTTTTATTCGTCAATCGGGTGGAAATAACCATATAAGTGCACCAATCCAGTTAACTCGAGCTATCGAGAAACATGCAGTAAGGGTCCCTCCGTCCCTCTAGGAATACTCTGCCTGTGGGAGTATGTTCACTTGATATCAGTGTTTTCTACTACCCGGCAAACCCCTTGCATTGTTCCGAAATAGAAGGTATAAACTAACATACTACACTCCTTAACATATTAAATATGTACGCCTAAAATAGCACAAACCGTGAAACCAGACCCGGTCATTCCCATAACACGAGCCCATTCCGCGAGCGACCCTAAACGCCCGAGTTTAAGAGGGAAGTAATCGTAGAAGTCTTCAACATTCTTATAGCGGAAAACTTGGAATTGAAAATAATAATTCGACTACTATACGCCTATTGGTTTTACCTTAATCTATGTTATTTTCGTACGAGATTCTGTTGATTAGAGGGGTTTGGCCTTTCTGGTTTGCTTCTCAAACAGAATCTAAAATGGGGTTATTTAGGTAGTATTGCGTGCGATTTAACCCTTCAACTTCCCAATCTCTTCTGTAAAGGATCTGTTTGCTGATTTTCTCGTGTTTTACTCCTTAACACATACCTAAATATTTTATTCACGAGGCAGGTTTTGTCTAAGCCGCGAAGAGCCTGCGGGTAAGTAACTAATAACGGAACAAATGCTGTAGTAGTTAGGCCGACATGAGAATATGTAATTGTTGCAAAATTGTATTTGATTAACACCTTTAACGAGATTTCCAATACTTACTTGAAAATAATCTAACAACAACTCATCTTCTCAGGAAACAGTCGTAGTTTGTAACGGATAACTATGAATATACCCGAGAGTAGGGCGTGCTTAAGGGGTGACTACTAGGTGAAGACAAAGACCAAGAAAAGCCAAGAAGTCATCCTAACCTTTTGGATCTGATATATGACCTAGCACATGAGTGGCTCGATGATAGGCAAGAGCTCATCTGATATGAGCTTGACTCAGTACAGACACATATGTCCTTTAATCATTGATAATCCCTCCTAGATATCTATTCGGAACTTCGCCGCACCACCGCGGTCATACTGTAAACCGCACTTGTACAAGTTACTGTACTTTATCTTCGCTGTTGTATCATCATGACCGTAGCTTAATGACAACCTTACACACATGCGGCCTCGTCGTTGGAGATGATTCACGTATCATACATTAGCATCGTGTTTGGTGATGGACTGCAAACCCTTTGTCAATACTTCGTCAGCCCTTCGTCAACCAAGAGTTCCCAGCACAGCTCTTGGAAGACCTTGGGGCGTCGGTTAGGTAGATAGCCATTTTACTTAAACATGTCCATGGCTCTCATCATCTCTCTGCCAGCCATCCCAAAAGAATCTTACTAGCAACATTTACTCGAAACCTTCCTTACCAGGCTTAGAAATATCATGAGTTCCGGTACCACCGAGTCAATAGTCCCTGACGGGACTCAACGAGAGGAGCTTCGCCAGAGGTTCGAAAGGGAACCCGTACCCTCTGGAGTGCGTAGAACGTATTACGGTAGGTATAGCCCACCATTCGCCGCCGATATGCCACCAAACTACGGATACGCATCTCCCGCACCGCCTCCCCCATACACTCCACCTCCACCATACACTGGGCCTCTGTACCCTTATCAGGCGAACCATACTCAAACAGCACCGCCGGCTAGACCATACTATCCTAACGTTAGCTCGAGCCGACAACCTTACCCGGATCCGCCTCCAGGATACCACAGTCCGAGAACTCGCCCAACTTGGCCTCAACTATCAGCACCTCCCAGGGCGCCAAATGCGCCCCCAGCTCCAGTAGTTCGATCTCCCAGGATAGCAATAACCCCTCAACACTCTGGTTCCGCGGACCCTAACCCGTTTATGTACCTTCAGCACCACACCTCCGGCAGCCCATTCGCTACCAACTATCCCGCTACGCCGGTGGACGGGCACCGACGCATCGAACCTCCGGCTCCGGCGAACCTAGACAAGCGGCCCGAGACGATTTCGTTCTGGACAGAGCAAGAGCTCTACCGGTGGATGGCCGACACATTCAGGCCCCTTGTAGGCATCGTAGGACGAATCGTCCGGGACCAGCTGTACCTTCAAGAGCAGCCCAAGGTCAAATTCGACATGTACCCGGTACGAGCCGACGACGCCACCGGCGTGCCTTTGATGGTACCACAGTCCATGTCGCGCGCGCCCATGTTCCAAATCACGCTGCCGGCTCCCGGCGGCACCAGGGCCGATCTAAAGAAGGTGCGGGATGCTCTACACGACGAGTTCGCGACGCACGCCAACGCCTGGCACCGACAGGCCGGGTTCGTGTTCCGGATCCCGCGGCGGCTGCGGGTAGGACTTTCAGCCGGGGCGAGGAGGTCGTGGGTTCCGCCGTCGTGCGTCTATAGATACTCGCGCACCGAGAGGCGCTACGTAGCGCAGTATATCTCGCCGGTCCGGGACGATCTTCGGGAGCTCGATGCGGCTTTTGTTCATGGCGATGATAGCGACGATGATCAGGACGCGCTGGTGAATGAGATGTGGAGGGATGTGCGGAACCGGAGCTACGTTGGGTATTACCAGGATACTAGTGGGTAGGTAAGGTAGGTAGGTAGGAATGGACTGAATAGGGGATGAGAGGGAGACATTGGTATAGGAGATTTTGAACTCCGGTTATTGAAGCCGGGGTTTTGTGGTAGGGTTTACATTTATTTGTTCTCTTTGTCTTGGCCTAGCCCCTTTCCTGACTAGGATTGTTGGCGCGGGAAAATACTAGTTTAGCGATTGTTCTTACAGCTGAAGGATAGGACATTTGTTTTTTTCGATGAATATTCATATATCACCCTTATTTACCCCTTTTCCTATCTTCAATGTCTCTTCTATAACTGGATGATAGTGTGTGCCCGCATACCTCAGATTCGCACGTGAAAACACCTTTGTGCGACTTTATGCTGGATTACCCCTTAGAGGCCGAGGATAATAGGTATAAAGGGGCTTATATGGTAGGCAACTTGGACATCCTTCTAAACTGCTTTGGATAATACAATGAACGACGTGCTATGCTAAGGCTCCAAGCCAAATGAAGAGGACGAGACTCCATTGTTCTAGAACTAAGTAGTATGAAAGGAGGAAATCTCTTACAATTCTATTGTCAACTGAGACACATATAATACCTCTCGACTTATACTAAATAGTTGTTTTCCAAGTTGTACGATAATTAAAGCACAGATAATCCTTAGCCAATGACCATCTCCCACTAGAACTTTTACTCGTAAGTAATCAATATCTCTAGCATTTCTATTGGAGGATGTGTCATCACCGGAAGATCATCTATCAGTGTAACCACACTGCCATAGACCCCTCTCCCCTGAAGGTCTGCGAACTGAAACGGGACCACGAGTCTGGTTTGACTTCGGAATCATGCGACGTTGTGGAGACACATGGATGGAGTAACTTCAAAGTTCCTCGTCTTTGCTCGCTTTGTCATGGCAAGAAGGTTAGCCTCGACAGCCGAATTAGCAAGGCAAAGTCACTGATAGCAGACTTAAAGAAGCAACTAAGTGAAAGCTACGGCCAGTGTGTGTTGCATATGGACGAGGCTGGGTTAGATTCTGAGAAGAAGCAGGAAACTACGCCGGTAGTATCAAAGAAGGCGACCATAGTGGAGTCGGATATTGTTGACGATACCTCTGATGAAGCAATGGAGAAAATCGACCCTGTCGAGGAGTTCCTCAGAAAGAAGAAACAGGAGAGTTACGCTCATCTCATGATGATCTCGGATTATAACTATTTAGGCTAGGTTAAGGGTAGGTATACTTCAATAGAACTTGCTTGTAAACAGTTGCTCCTACCTGTGTCCAAGGACGTAGGATATCTATCCGTATAAACTAAGAGTCTTCTTGTGACCTAAAATCCTTTATAAAACAAGGCTTTCAAGAAATCTTCATAGAAATTTCGTGAACCTAGAAGAAAGATCGACGCCCGTTCGTGTACCTTCTAGTAAGTGAACGCTATAACTTACCCACACACGTAGGTATATATATAGGTAGCTATGCAGCCTACCCAATAACTAATTCAATTCATCGCATTATCATCATCCTCATATTCCATTAGCCTTTACCAACATACCTAACAAGAAGCTTCAAAATATCCCCTACAACTTAAGCCCCTCGAACCACACTATATCGTCCTCGTCAGAGATCAACGACGAAAGAATGCCACCAGCAGAGAGAACACAACCCATACTGAAGTATATCAGTTATATACTCCTGATAGTAATCGCACTAGCCGCTTTCATTGTGCTATCGCGTCCCCTTTGCCCTCCTTGCACTGCTACGGGTTGCAATAAGACATTGGGCAGAGTCATTAACTTATGGTCTGATTTGGAAAAGCATGGTACGTGTTTTGACTAAATGAACTGCGAGAGGGGGGATGTTGGTACGCATATGGCGGATGCGATGATTGTGTACTTTACGTATTATAATTGTCTAGGTTAGTGCCTCTATTTGAGGCAGACAAAGGGACACAGGTCTCTTTATCTTAGGATAGCTTATAGCCGGACGTTGAGAATAAAACATAATCTCCACTTTACTTTTACTTTTACAATCTTGTATCTCGTAGTCGTATCTCATGTCGAAAATAAAGGAAACGGTGGACATATATTCATCTTTCTATCAGGCCGATAGAGCTCGACATACTTACAACCTAGTAACCACCCTAAATAGAAGATCGCTTTAAAGCTCGTCATTGTCGCTGTCTTATATCTATTGACCTCCAAATCGTAGAATCGGACATGATACACAAGCACAGATGGGTATATCATCGACTTGTCAATTGATCATGGTATTGTTCGTCAGCGTCGCGTACATAAGGATATGGGCTCACGTGTCATCGCCATGCCCTATGAAATCCTATTCTAGACAATTTCTCTAAGCCTGAACCTTGAATGTTCTTCCACTTGCTGTCTTCCTCTCCTTTTCTTCGTTCTCGGGTCGGGCTCTTCGGAGCACTGTGCCGGCGGTTAGTATATGAACCTCTTATAATGACGGATACGATCGTACCTTGCAGGAAGTCCGCTGTTCGCCTTCTCATACGAGAGTGAATGTATGCCTAGTCATTTCGTTAGAATATCCCACGAGTTGTTAGGACCAGTATCCACATACCTTGGAGGCTTTGATGTGATAATGGAAATAATCTCGGAAGGTCTGGATGTGGGAGATGACATCGGGCATGCGCTGGGGTGTCAAGTGTCGTGGGAATAAAACTATCGAGGTTAGGAGGGAAATTCAAAGGGCACGTAATGTGGAACATACCAAATGTGACATATCCAACCTCGTTACCTTCAGTTGCCTGCACGCCAGGAACCCCTTGCAATTCTAGGGGCGGATCATTCCTAAACAGGACTTGGGGCGCATTTTGAATGGCTCTCCTTCGGGCGTCGACGAATTCTTGAATAAAAACCTTCCCAAATACCCTGTCTGTCTCCTCGCGGAAGATGGTGCTGAAGATAACAGTTACACGGTCGTGGCTCGCCTTAACGTAGATGGCTTCCTCGTCACGGTAGTGGATTGCCATAACCTCACCGCCTTCTCGAACGCCTTGAGGTGCCTCTTCCGACGTGTACTTCGAAGCATCCTCCTTCAACTTGTAGTGCTCGGCGTAGGCATGCTCGAACGGGGCAGCCATAGCGTTCCGCTTTAATAAGGAGATCTTGCTGACCAACTCCTCTCGTGCCTCTGTAAAGCCCGTCAGCATGACTCAAATCAGGCAAGACTATATTGAATTATGGAATTACCCTTTTCTTCCGGTAGGCTTTCTAAGTCGACCTGGACCGAGAAATCGTAGCCGGTCTCGGGTGCTACGACATAGGGGCCATACTCGCGCTGGAGCACCTGCTCGGCGCCGTACTTGACAAGATCTCTAAAGCATCGGATTTGAATGGAGACCAATATCTTAGTCTTGGTCTCGGGGGTTGAGATGTGGAAGATTACGCCATCGAAGTCGGAAACGGTCTGGTCGATAGAGGCGGGAGGAGCTCTAAGTGCATTATCATATGGTTAGATTAGGGGCGAAACATAATAAATAATAAATAAACTTGGTTCTTAAACTTACCCAAATAGTCTTTCTTTGAGTATGGACTCTATTAATACGTTTTGGTAGTCTAGAAGCAGCATGATGGCTAGAGATTGACTTCTTCTGCTTGCTTCCTGACAACGTTTGTGCGGTATGAATTATGAATCGGGGACGTGGAGCTGAATGAGGTATGGAAAGGTCCAACTACCTAAGGTTACCTAAGGTTCAATGAGATTCAATGAGATTCAATGCTGCCTTGGTGGGGCTCAGTACCTATGCAGTTACGCGATTACGTAGTAAAGCGAGGACTGTACAATACACATGTACCTACATGTCATTTTCCCTTATCGCTATCCATCTTCTTATCGAAAAAAAGAAGTCCCGATAAGAGATTCTTATCGCGCGTCTCCGAAGAAAAAAAGTTACCGCGATTGAATTGATTGAATTTCTAGAACAGAAGTTAAAAACTTCCAAACTCCAATCCCGTCGCAACCATGGTCAAGTCATACTTGTGAGTACCAAGCCATTGATGCGTGGTCGCATATATTTCGCGCTAATAAAAATCCTACAATAGAAAGTATGAGTATTCAAAGTCGTTCGGCGTTGTAACTTCTAGTACATCGAATATCCTTTGGACCCAGCAGAACCGCTCCAGTACCGGTGCTGGCCAAGCGCTTGTCGCGGCGAACGAAGAGCTCCTATGCTGGGACATTAAGACAGGGGATATTGTTGAGCGATGGAGGGACGAGAAATGCTCCGCCCAGGTGACTGCCATTGCCCAGAGTCAGGTTAACGAAGACCTGTTCGCTGCCGGCTACGAGGATGGTAGTATCCGACTATGGCGGAGCAAAGACCCGAGTCCCTTCATCACCTTCAACGGACATCGTTCGGCCATAACAGTCCTATCGTTCGATCGATCCGGCGTCCGACTTGCGAGCGGTTCGAAAGACACCAATGTTATTATCTGGGATCTGGTAGCAGAGGTCGGCCAGTTTAAGCTGCGAGGACATAAGGACCAGATAACGGGACTGCAGTTTGTGGAACCGCAAGAGGAAGTGCAAGAAGGAGAAGATTCTGAGGCCATGGTTCTTGATGGCGCAGGCGACTCGTCGTCCGAAGGCTTCCTGCTTACTACCGGAAAAGATGCGCTGATTAAGCTCTGGGATTTGGGGTCAAGGCACTGCATTGAAACACACATAGCGCAAACTAATGGCGAGTGCTGGGCATTGGGGCTTTCTCCAGACTATAGCGGATGCATAACTGCTGGCAATTCCGGTGAACTGAAAGTCTGGGCTCTCGACGCCACTTTACTCGCCGCGTCGAGACAGCAAGTCGATATTCCTGCCAATACACAATATCTGCGAGATCGAGGGACCTTATTTCGACATGGAAAAGATAAAGCTACCGAGGTCGTGTTCCACCCCCGCCGGGACTACTTCGCCGTACACGGCTCGGAGAAATCTGTCGAGATATGGAGGATACGTACCGAAGCCGAGATTAAGAAGAGCCTAGCAAGAAAAAAGAAGAGAAGAAGGGAGAAGCTTGCGCAGAAGAAGGGAAGCGGTACGAACGGTGATGTCCAACCAGACGATGAGGATGACCAGGACGAGGATATCAGCAGTGCCGACATTAATGATGCTTTTGCTCAGCACCTTATCATTCGGACGGGTGGAAAAGTGAGATCTGTCGATTGGGCTGATATTCACGGCAAGAAGAAACTCCAATTGCTAGTCGGGACAACGAATAACCAGCTAGAAATGTTCAATATGCCTCTAAAAGAGAAGAGTAAAAAGTCAAAGCAGGAAGACATGCCCGATTACGAGAGAGCTTTATCCATTGAGATTCCTGGCCACCGAGCGGATATACGATCGTTAGCTCTTAGCTCCGACGACAAATGGCTCGCTTCGGCGTCCAACGGAGGCCTCAAGATCTGGTCGATGCTAACGCAGAAATGTGGCAAAACTTTAGAGTGCGGGTATGCTCTATGTTGTGCCTTCTTACCCGGAGACAAGCTTGTCGTTATTGGTACGAAAAGCGGCGATATTGAATTATTCGAAGTGGCTACGGGTACTTTGCTAGATAGCGTTACTGCACACGAAGGCGCGATTTGGTCCTTACAGGTTCATCCGGACGGTAGGTCAATCGTATCTGGAAGTGCGGACAAGTCGGCCAAGTTCTGGAAGGTCCAGGTGGTGCAAGAGGAAGTCCTGGGAACGACTCGGACTACATCACGTTTGAAGTTATCACATTCGCGAACATTAAAGGTTTCGGATGATATCCTCAGCCTTAAGTTTTCGCCAGATGCGAGGCTCCTGGCTGTTGCTCTACTGGATAGCACGGTGAAGGTGTTCTTCGTAGACTCCCTCAAACTATATCTCAATCTCTACGGGCACAAGCTGCCGGTCCTGGATATGGATATCTCATACGACAGCAAGCTGATTGTTACATGTTCGGCGGATAAGAATATAAGGATATGGGGTCTTGACTTCGGCGATTGCCACAAAGCATTATTGGGACACCAGGACAGTATTCTCCAAGTCAAATTTCTACCGAACAACCGCGAAGGCAATGGTCACCACTTCTTTAGCGCTAGTAAAGACCGAACGATAAAATACTGGGATGGCGATAAGTTTGAGCAAATACAGCGGCTCGATGGTCACCACGGAGAAATATGGGCTCTGGCGATTAGCCAAAGCAGTGAACCTCCCTTCATCGTTAGTGCCAGCCACGACAAGAGCATTCGAATATGGGAAGAAACAGATGAGCAGATATTCCTCGAGGAAGAGAGGGAAAAGGAGATTGAGGAGTTATATGAGAGCACATTAACGAAATCCCTAGAGCAAGATGTAGATGCGGACGAGGATAACGGAGAAATTGGAGCTGCGACAAAGCAAACATCAGAGACGCTAAATCATGGCGAAAGAATCGCAGAGGCATTAGAGCTCGGCATGGCTGATCTGCACGTCATGCGGGAATGGGAAGAGGCCAAAGTGTCAAACCCGAATATTGCGCCGCCGCAGCGCGACCCGATGTTCATGGCCCATGGCGGAATTAGTGCTGAAGAATACGTTATGAAGGTCCTTCAGAGGCCAGCAGCATCCGCACTGAACGATGCGCTCCTCGTTCTTCCGTTCGCTTCAGTCCCTATACTTTTCACTTTCCTTAACCTCTTCGCTATGAGGTCGATGAATATTCCTCTGACGTGTAGGATATTGTTCTTCATGTTGAAGACACATCATCGCCAAATAGTAGCCAGCAGGACTATGCGTGTCATGCTGGACGGTATAAGGTCAAACCTGCGGAAAGCTCTCCAGAGGCAAAAGGACGAGATGGGCTACAACATAGCGGCGCTCAAGATAGCGGGGATGCAGATCCAGGATAAGGGAATTAAAGACTATGTGGACGAGAATTGGGACGACGGTACCGGAGCCCAGAACGTTAAGAAGCGGGCTTTCGTACATGTATCGTGATAGAATTGGACGATACATTAGGTACCTACCTCCTATTTTATAAAAATAGAAAGCACTAAACCTTGTTATCCGATTTAAGTAGACTTAAGTACTCTGCAGACCTAAGATGTCATGTATATACAAATTTATACACATTGCTACTTTCAATTTATCAATTTATACCGCGTGCCAACTTGGCAGTCCGAACCAATGATATCACCCCTTTCGAACTCTCCCGCATACGCTAGCTCGGCCGAGGGTTGTCTTGGCAGGAGACTAGAGCTTCTTGTGCTACTTAGCTACCCCTCCCCCGCAAGAGCTCAGCAATAGGATGGCAGGATGGGAGAGTTTTAAGTGGAGCTGTCCCGTTACCGCCTGCCGGGTTCGTAGCTTACCTCGGCATCTTCCTGCGACGTCGATTCCTCGTTTTTGCTTTGGGCGAGCCTCAGCGTCTTCCGTCACCGATTGGTAATTTACCGATTATCTACCTATCTACCTAGGTACCTAATCTTATTTACTTTTGCTTACCGACGAGATGTGATGGGTTTTTGTTTCTTGTAATTAAGAGTTTATTCTTGCTTTTTTGCTCTTACCACGGCAATTGGGTAGTTAGACAGGACAGCACCCAGCAATCTCCCTTCCCTTTCCTTTTCGTCAGCTTCGTGTTGTTAGCTACCTAGGAGCGCAATTAAAAGCTCGATATACCTCGACCATGGCGGGCCAAGTAAGACATCCGATCGATACGGCCGCGTTGGAACGCTACATTGCTCAGAATGTACCCGAGATCAAGCTGCCGCTAGACGTGAAGCAGGTTCGTTCGCCTTAGACAATCCCATCTCAGCACAGCAGTGAAGTTATACGCATACTTCGTAGGTATCACCCAGTTTAATAGATCATTCAACTAATAACAACAACCAACTCCCAGTTCGGCTTCGGCCAATCCAACCCAACCTACCAACTCACCTCCCCCGACAAAACCCGCTACGTCCTGCGCAAAAAACCCGCCGGCAAACTCCTCTCCCAGGCCGCCCACAAAGTCGAGCGCGAGCACCGCGTCATCGCCGCCCTCCAAAACACCCCCGTCCCCGTCCCCCGCGCATACGCCCTCTGCCAAGACCCAACCGTCCTCGGCACCCCCTTCTACATCATGTCCTTCGTCCACGGCCGCATCATCCACGACCCCTCCATGCCCCAACCACACGCCCAAACCCCCGCCGAGCGCGAGGCCCTCTGGCGCGCCGCAGTCGAGAGCCTAGCCGCTCTGCACAGCGTCGACCCGGACGCCGTGGGGCTAGCCACCTTCGGCAAGAAGGGCGGGTTCTACGCGCGCCAGCTCGCGACGTGGAAGCACATCTGCGACGTCCAGGCGAGCACCAGGGACGTCGATACCCAGGCGCCCGTGGGCGCGATCCCGCACATGGACGACCTAGTGGCGTTTTTTGACGACGAGGCGCTGCGGCCGCGCGACCGCGCTACGCTTGTGCACGGCGACTATAAGATCGACAACGTGGTGTTTGCGCCCGAGGAGCCGCGCGTGGCGGGCATTCTGGACTGGGAGATGAGCACGATCGGACACCCGCTGTCGGACCTGGCGAACCTGCTCAATCCGTTTTACCTCGTTTCCCTATCGCAATCGCCGTCTTTCGCCCCGTCGTCGTCACCGTCGTCGTCTTCGAAAGACGGTAGTGTTCCGAGCCAGACCGAGGCTATAGCAGCCATAACCAACGCCGGATTTCTCCCCGGCGCCACGCCCGGCCTGCCCACGCCCGCTGCGGTGTTATCCTGGTACGCGGCGGCCGCGGGCTGGGACCCGCGACCCGACGAGGTAGCGTGGGCCTGCGCGTTCAGCGTGTTCCGGCTCGCGGCCATCTGCCAGGGCATCGCGGCGCGCGTTGCCACGCGTCAGGCTAGCAGTGCCGACGCGCGTCGACACGCTGCTGCTGTGCGGCCGCTCGGCGAGTTCGCGTGGGAGCTGGTGAGGAAAGAGAAGGAGAGGCGGAAGGCTACGTCTGGTAGTGGTGCCAAGTTATGATGTTATGATGAACCTTTATTTTTGCCTCTCTCGTTGTGTTGCTAAGCCTTAGATATAATCTAGAGTGAAGAAGCATTTAGCTAGATGGATGTAGGAAGCTTCACATCTTGTTAGAAACCTCTAAATAGCGGTGAGATTACTTGGGCCGGAATATGAGCTACGATCATAAATTCATCATTCATCTCATGTCAACATATTTGGATTTATTTTCAATGAGTCCTTAGTTATATTATGAAGCCACAGCTTTAAGTAGCACTTTTGAGATCTAATCAAACTCCCATAAGCTCATAAGTTAGTTAAAGTTTATATACCCCTTTCAAAGATTTCTTTTTCAATATAGCAACAAGTCATTGCATAGATACATAGGTAGGTAAGCACATCAAAACATGGCAAGTTATCAAAGCACGACGCTCAATTAGAGCCTATTTGGCTATCTGAATTAATGAGTATGGTTAACCCTTCACCGCAAATCTGTTTCAGGACGGGAGGTCAAATATATGCATTCATGAAGAAACCATATCGCCTTGAGGCCGAATTGAAATCCCTATCAAGTTTTTGTTTCGGGGGAGGAGACTTCCCAGTCTAATAACCGTCTCCTAGAAGTGAATTTCATGCCTGTCGTCATTTCCGGCGCCCGACTAAAACCTAAGCCGTCCGTGCTGAATGGGAAGAAAATATCATGGTGAACCTGATCTGCGTATCGTGCGTAAAACTTATAGCCGCCCTATCCGGCCCCTAAGACCTAACCCCCCCTCTCCCCCCTAACGCCTAGCAAAATATGTCTTCGGAGTTGAGTAGAAGAAGTGTCAGTAGAATAACCGCACTCGCGAAATCCTCAAATCAGCCTGCGAATCGTGCCAAACCATCGAGATACCGTATGCGGAAACTAAAGAAAATCGATGCAGATCTCTATGTGGATTACCTGCTCCATAAGACGTCGCATGCACGAATGAAAAAAGAAATAACAGCTCAGAGGCGCCATATTGTTGCTCCCCCCTATCGCCTGTTATCGGAACGCACAATTCGTCCCAGTCTATGACGTTGCGGTAGATATTGAAAATCCTCTGTTTCCCGCGTCATACGTAGAGGTATTGACGTCGGGTTTCTGTGACGGTAAGAGGTACGTTGTAATCCACGAAGATAATTTATGTCCGGGTTTCCCATCGCGTGTCCCTATGACTGCTGGTGGGACATAGCCCCTCCGTAAATAGGCTCGTCAGCGTTAGTCATGTAGACTTCCGGACCTGCATATGTCGGGGACATCGGCGAGGCATGCTGTGAGCGCATATGGGGTAGTGTAGTATAATCCTCCCCATTGCTGCCAGAACCTGCGACAATTAACGGATTCAGGTACGGCTCAGGCGGTGCCCCTCCCATTTGTGTCGGGAACTGGAAAGAAGAAACATGAGCATCAAATGTCGGCCGAGCAGTAGCGTTCGACGAGGATGCAGAGTGCTGGCGAGTGTGTAAATGGGTCGCACTCGGTCTGCTCAGCCAGGGGTACTGCTGCAGCGAATTGTTAGTAAATTTTATTTCCTCCCGAAGGCTTCGAGGAATGCAAGCTAAGGATTATAGGAGTACTTTGGGGAACGAACCTGAGCTGCGGCTGCACCATTTGATGAGAAATGCGGCCGTCCAGAGGGGAATCCTCTCAAGCTTCCATGGCGAGGACGCACTCTACGTCTGCCGTCGCCAGCCTCGCCAAACGGAAGCGGAGAGTGACGATCCCCGAAATTGCCATGCCAAGCTGGTGTTCGAGAATTATACATCGGCGGATTATCTTGTCTTCTAGCTGAAGCACCACTTAATGCAGTATACTCGAAGTCTGAGAATGGACTATACCGGGTATTAGCACAGGGCTGGTTGTAATATCATAGCAAAGTATAAATACCTTGAAGTCAAAGCTGCTAAACCGCCCAGCGTATTGTCAGCAGGTCGTCCGGGCGCATCCGGCTCGCTACGTTCGTGCTCTCGGGCGCTCCGCATTTGCTGCATCTGCATCGCCGCCTGGTGGTGCTGGCGTAAGAATCGATAGACGCTATGCGCATTCACCGAGTTTCGATGTTGAGGCTCCGATGGGACTTTATCTCTACAGTAGGGGCAGCTGTCCGATTCTTCAAACCACTTCTTGATGCAATGATCTCCAAAGACGTGCTTACACTTTGGCAGCCGCAACGGGTTTTCACAGATGCCTTCGGGAGTCTCTGCTCCATAGTCGTTATAGCATATCACGCAGGCTAAGTACCATTAGCTAAACTTTCTTAACAGCTTCAATATTAACTCACTCCTCTCATTTTCCGGCAAATTTGAAATTGTCACACTCTCGAGTGAAGTGATTGCCTTCTTAGAGGCAACTCTCTTACTTGACATGGCCCCCCTAATAAGCTGGTGTGCTCTCAGACGATCATCGGATGCGTTGTCTAAGTTGGGTGCATTGCCAACGGCAGCTTCTAAAAACGAAAACGTAGCCGCGTCAGGTTCGGAGTCGTCGTCACTAGACCAGCCCGACTCAGATGGTAGCCGCGGAATAGTCCGTCTGTTTCGGGTCGCACTGGCGCGGCGCGGCTCGGAGCTTGCTGTCTCGTTTGACATGTCGCCGGTTTGAGGACCACCAGGTGCTCGGTGATTAGGCGAAGATGAGGCTGCGATAGAATCGTGGTTAGAATACTCTTAATATAGAAGCAAATGTTATAAATATTAGTAGCGTACCTGAGTTAGAGGAGGATCCGTAGTCAGTCTGTCCACCAGAAGGAGCATTTGCATCGGAAGTCGTAAAAGGTGATGGCATACTAGTATGCCGAGTAAAATGTGGATTGTGCTGGCTTGACTGCTGAGCGGGGTGCGAAGTTTGGGGAAATGTTGTTTGCAAGTTTTGGCCCGCAGTTGTAGGAGGCATAGAGGTGAGGGATGGTAAGGTTGTCCTCGAACCATGCACTGAGGCACTGTGTCCTGTTTCACCCGCAATTCCAGCCTGAGGTTGTTGACCTTGATTAGAACCTGAGAAACCTCCCTGACTATGCTGAATAGGAGCAGTGCCTCCAATCCGCTGCAGGCTGACCATCGGCGCCCGGTAACGGAATTGAGGTGGGTTACCGTGTGGGTTGTATAAGCTGGGCCCGTTTGATTGATAAGGCGGCTGGTTCATTTGGCCAGTAGCCATTGGTAAAATAGGCGGAGAAGGATGGTAGAGAGGATCAGTGTTCCATCGGGCATGCGGTGGGGGCAAGGTTTGCCAAAAGTGAGGGTTGTTGTGCACCGGGTCCAAGTAGTAATTAGGTCGAGACGGGAACATCGGTGGTGGATGTTGTTGGTTGTGCTCAGCAGCAGCAGCAGCCCGTAAGGCCGGGCATGCAGAGCGAGCTGCGTGATCAACGCTTGCCGACGACGATGACGGATTAGAATGCTCCTGGGGGTGCATCATGTAATCCATTGTCGAAGGGTCCATGCTAATCCTTTTCTTTAGGAGAGTGGCGGCCTTAGTTTAAGAGACCGTCACTCCTGCACTCCCGTTCCTATATCCTTAGGATTGCAGACGTGTGGTTGCCTTGATGTTCTTTGGTGGAGAGAGTGGGACGGATGAGAACCGGACGATAGACGGAGGGGTCGGTGAAATAGATAACCAGGGTTGATCGCCTCGGGATGCGGATATAAGTAAGATCACCAGGGGTTAAAGTCGGGCACAGTTGGAACAGCCGACGATATTGAAGTATTTTCTTTTCTTTTCCACACCGTCCCAAAAGGACTAATACTGTGCCAACCAGAAGATCCCGCCTGCTTGACACTTCTCGCAAGGTGCGTGGGGAGACGGCGATGACGGCATAGACAAGGACGGACGGATTTTGTGAATGTGAAAAGTAGAAAATATGGTGCGGGATATCGTGCCTGCGACGAGTTTGTTTTCTCGGTCCGTTCGATTATCTACCTGAGTCGTGGTTATACCTGAGTCGTGGTCGGTAAACAAAAATAACACTGTTGCCAAGTGACAGACAAGTTGAACGTGTGTCAGGTCTTCAGATTTTCGGGTCTTTGTGATCTGCTACCTATGAAGACTTACGTCTTCCCCCCAAACGCTAACTAACCAGGCTGAGTGCTGTGTAATAAGTAATTGACTTGCAAACGCTTGCCTTTGACAATGCTTAAATATCGAAATACTTAGGAGGGCGGATATGGAGAATATTCGATCCTAGGTATTGACGGCAATTTGATAATAGGATATAGTTAGGTAGGGAGGTGGTGAGAAAGATAGGTCGCCCGATACGGCGAGAGGTGGTTTAAAGACGGAGATTGAGATATGGAGGGGTTTTATTTAGATGTAAAGAGCTAAGAGCCAACATCCGATCCGATGCGTTCATGGGCCTACCTGGATGTACTTTTGGGTCTATCTCCAGGGGAAGGTAGGTCGGGGAAAAAAACAACGAAGGGAAGAGGGAAGGATGGATAAGTAGGAAGGTAGGAGGGAGACAAAAAAGACAAAAAGAAGGCTGGCAGAAGACTGACTGTGCTCAAATTAAGAAATGGTAGTAAGTGCGATGCAGCAAATACGCACGCTCTTACCATACAGAGATACAGATACAGATACAAGCAATGCACAATACAGCAATATAGCAATACTTTACAACGATAGGTACAGCCCATAGTGCACTGTATGTATGTATGTACCTACCTACCTACCTACCTACATAGGTAGTATGTAATATGTAATATGTAAGGTAGGTGGAAGTTAGCTGGTTAGGTAGTGTATGTATCTTCATACATGCAACCAGTTCCAGTTTGACCTCATGGATCCAATAGAGGACGAAGGTGGGTAGGTTAGGTACTTACAAGCGTACACATAAATCCACCTTACATCCATGACCACCTACCTTCAAGGTTACTTACTACCTACCTAGGTAGCCAGGGCTGTCAGGTAGGCCTACCCTGCCTACCTTGCCTACCTACATCCTACATACGTAGTAACATAAGCTAACGTGCGTGAGTTGCAAGTTTTAGGTAGTTTGCGTTATCCAAGGGATTTCCATTGTCCACACAGGTGGTTTTTTTGTCCATGGCACGGCTCTCCAGAAAATTTCATTTATTCATACGTACCCATGTACCCTTGGACTAACCCAGCCAGGTTACTTGGTTGGCATGATATTATTTGTAATTCGTAAATTGGTACTATGGACCGAAGGATTCATTATCGCAGATGGCAAAACCAGCAGCAAAGAGATATCATAAAGGATAAGAAATGCCGTCGGACTTTGACCACGTTATTCGCGGAGAGGCGGCTTAGGAGACAAGCTACCACGCCCAAGTTCTAAGGTCCAAGCTCGGAGGAAAACCCGATCCAACGCAGACTCCGGGCCAGTCTGGACTGGCTTGGCTTGGCTTGCTCCAAGCAGACTCAGATGCTGACGGGTGAGTTCATCCGTCAGGAAAATAAATGCTCTATGTAGAGGCTAGGTGTTTGGAATTAAATGCTATGTAGGAACAGTCGACGTGTTGCAGTACCCATATATGTAGGGATTGTGTAACTGGTGCAACTGGCGTGCAACTGTGTTCCTCTGCTGCTGCATTGATTCGGGGACTCGGAACTGCGGTCGTTGGCTGCGGAATGCTGGGATGCTGGGATGCTAGGATGATTGCTGCTTTGGTTTTCTGACAGGGAGATTTCAGAATTGGTTTCACATTGTGATTTTAGGTATTTGTACGGAATACAAAGAGTGCACATGTTACCATGTTACAGGCAATGCGAGTAAGATAAGAATATGCGATAAGGCCTTATCAATATCAATCATAAATAGTACCCTGTCTCTCCCTTTTTTTCTACCCGTCATTACGACAGAATATAAGATCAGATTGAGGTATAACATAGCTACGCCAAGTGCAAACTCAATTACATAAAAATCTTAAATTAGTTATGATTGACTTTTAAGTTCCTGAGTCTGTTGGACTTTTGGACTTGTTAGCAGAGTTCCAGCTTCCGGCTATTGGGATAGCGTCTCTTTCCTTATTGGGTAATACCCGACTGAAGAGCGGAACCTCTTAGCCCATAATCGTCCATACCATGCATACATGCACTTAAGACGAATATCGCTCTAAGTCGCTAACATCCATGGCAGCATGGAAAATTGGAAATCTTCCGCATCTTAAATTCAATAAGTCATTCCAATAGTCATTCTAACATGATCACAATCCTGAAAATAACGAATCAATATTCAAGATGTCCATACCCTTTTACACAAGTGGTACCCTACTGACTCGTTCCCCAGCCACATGATGGGATCACCGCCCCGACCAAGCCCAAGCTGTTTTTCATTGATCACTCATCACAGATATTTCGTCGTATTGTCATGGAACCCCTCATATCTCCCCTCCCCCATCCCATGCCCTGCCCCGTACTAGCAAGCGCGAGAGACAGCCCCCAAGCCAGCGCCTCGCTGCAGCTAGGATGCTATTTTCACTTATAACCAACCAAAAAAATACAGCACAGAACAAGCGGCCCGTCACGGTATCAGCCGGTCGTGGAGGTGATCTTGTGGTCGGGTAACGATACAATGATGCTACCTACTATTACATAGGCCATCTTACCTGGGATCTAATGAATCATCCCGGTCCTTCATGGATGCCGGTTTAGGTAGCCCTGGCCGCCAATACCGCAACTTGTAAAAAGAAGCCTTGCTCCCTTCCGTCTTGCCTCAAAGCACGTCTTGACTTGATTTATCGTCTCTTACATCCTTGTCTATGAGCAGATAGACTAACACGCACTAAGCATTTAATGCTTACAAGTCATACCCTTCTGTCGCAAATATGTGCCAGTCTAGTACGGTCCAGGAAAGTTCTATATATGACGAGAATAGGACCATTACACGCAACGATACAGGACGCCACACAACTACGAGACTATGAGCAAGCAGCGCTCGATCTGTGCGGCGAAGTAGTAAATAGGTTTTCGGACCTAGAGCGTTCGAAGGTGGTAACATCATCATCACCAGCACCAGTTTCAAGAGGGGTCCGCATCAGTCCGAAAGACATACTATTATTTTACGGAGTATTCAACGCGGTTCCGTGCGAGCTCCAACCACGCAGATCACACGCCTGCATAGATGATTCTGCGGACACACACATATCGGTCCGCCGTCCACTATCCACCCTAGAGCTACCCCACGGAACATTTACTACGTAGGCCATTAAATAGGTCAACGACGTTCTCCATATCGGCGACCTAAAAAAACGACTATGAATTACTACGTGCAGATAGACCACTGGTAGCAGTTTGGCTAGCGATGCTGCGATCCCCATAAAGCGTTGGGGCGCTTCTTCCCTTATCTTGTACTCCGAAAACAGGCTCATTTGATTGATAGCCCGACTTATATTACCCTGTTCTCATACCGCCTAGGTTAGCCAAGTTCTTGTCTGCGACTGTTACAAGGAATTGCGAGTCCGCCTATCCGTCAAGACACCGCCCAGGTAACCTAGCCTGCATCATCACATCACGCTGACTTGTATACCTATTTTGTGGTGCGTTCGATATCATGACGCAGTCATGCTACGAAAACCTCGTCGGTATTGCGCCGCTCGTAATCTTGTTAATAGGCTCAAGTTTGATGGTATGCTGTCCCACCCAAGACTACCTACCTAAGAATGATGTATTTGCTAGCTTACGAGACGAAATTCTGCTTGCAATGGTTGAGCGATCAAATTTGATGAGAAAAAACAGAGAAAAAAAAAGCCATTAAATATCCTCCTCAAATTCCTCAGTACCACAGAGGGAAATGTTGCAGATCCCAGTAAAGCGATTAGGACCAACAAAGATCTAGTTTGAACCTTGAGGGGGACAGCCGACAATCAGTTATTGTGATCCATATATTTCACCATGAGAACTTTATGCTAGCCACCCTCTCACCAACCAGAACAAAAAAACCACTCGAAAATACCGTGTGTGGCTTTTAGCTTGGGAAGTCCTTTTCTTTTTTCTTTTTTTTTTATTCCCGAGGCGCATATTGACTATAAGCAGGCTAAAATGTTGTTCAAATCACTCATTGGAAGCCGTACTATAAATTGTCAACCGGTAAGCAGGCAATGTCAGGATACCAAGGTACTTTTCCTATGATCTCAAATCAGACTTCGGTTTATCAGAATTGGTATCGTACATATCACCTAACGCACCGAATCTGCGAATTAACAATATCCTTATACGCACCATTCACCTTTTAAACGATTACGAAATCACCCCGCCAAAACCCTGTCATTATGTAATGTTAGAAACTGTACCCACCGTATCTTTGGAAAGTTTGTATGGGATCCTTTCCTTAAGGGAATCGATTAACACTCCCTGCCTCCACCCGTACGAAAGGACCCTTTGTCGTTCTTGGTAGTAAATGGAGAGTTTAAGTGCTTTGATTGGCTCCCTCGCAAAAAGGATCGACCCAGGGTTCTACTCATCGATTTTGCAAAGCGACTAAAGCAACTTTTACGGCCTTGCAACATCGCAAGGGCAGGGCATCTTACTGTATGTTCTTAAGTGCCCAAGACCCCAAGTCCCCGTTCGATGCGAACATGGTCGGATATAACATGGACGTATAACATGGGTTCATGGATTCATGGATTCATGGATTAACGGATTCAACCATGCGTGGTCAGCTGGAATATGACCTCGAGGACATTTTCGGGCGTTTGCCCCGTCCTACTATCAATATTGAGCCAATGCCTCAACGCCATCTATTCTCTTGGTATTTCAAGCCTATCGCCAAACCTACCCATGCAAATGGGATTTGGCGAGAGGCGAGAACGAGGCCTGCTATTTAATTCACGATTTGGAAGGCCAATCCATACGGCCCGGATCACAGCACAGCCTATTCTTTTCCCATCCGTGCTCCTGGGCTTTGTGGTTTACCTTATTACCACTACCCATGCCCCCA